AATGTGTGTGTGTGGTGAAGAACAAAATAATTGACTAATCTGTCCCTTCAGACATTTGTAGAATACCGTCAGAAGTGACGTTGAGTGCTTTGTTTATATGTCACCTTATTGGAACTGAAAAATGCAAAAACACTATGTAACCTTCCGTATAACACTACTTTAAACGATCTAGCCAAAAATCGAGTAAATTGAAGTCATTTCTCGACAAACAAATGATTTCTGGTCGAAGTCTCTTACATTAAATCGATCGCGAACATTGAAGTTTTAACTCATTGGTACTATACCATATTTAGTTATCTCAGTCCTGCATCGATTATATAACTTCAATAACAAGGTAAAGAAGTAAGAGGATAGCCTACTTAAAGGGCTTTTTGTGCTTGTAGTTTGATTGACATCTATGATTTATTCATTATTTTTTTAATATTATTATTTTCTTGGCTTACTCAACTAACTGGTTTTTCAGGTCAATTATATTGAAATAAGAAGGTTGTTGTTCAGGTTAATGTTGGTTAATTATGTGTTATATAAGCAAAAAAAGTTTGTGTTCCTCCAATAAATGCTACTTGACAATTTCATTAGATTATCCTGTCTTGGCTTGACAGTTTACAAGTTGATGAGATGTTTAAAAGCCATGCCACACGATTTCCTCATCGCCTTGGCATTCCAACGTCGAGTGCGTTTAACGTTTGTGTGTCGACTGTCTGGATTATGATTGACTGACTCTTTCCATGCTGAAGCCCCACTTGGTGGGGAGTTGGGGGGGTGGGGGTGAGAGTGGGATGGGGGACACTCAACAAAGTTTTATACGGGGAGTTCCTCCCCCCGGGTCCAACCCCTTACCATTTTATATACTATTTCCGACAGATAAGGTACCCCTTTCGTATACAGTCGAACGTCCATTAACGGCCACCTTTCCGTTTTTTGGCGCACAGTCCGTTCATCGACGCTTCTTCAAACCTTTCTCCAACAGCCACCTCTCTACAACTTTCTTCCGTCTAAAGGTCGCATCTTCCATTGATGACGGTTCCCATTTCACATCTCTACAAAATAACACTGCGTTCCTTGTAACTGCTGTTACTGGCCCGCCTTTTGAATACCAATAAATTGCTAAAACAGGAAGTCTTCTTATTATTTGGGAGCCATAAATACGCCCTTTAAAATACTTAATCAAAAGCTCTTTTTAAATAATGGCGAGTGGCAGATTTCCCTATCCTTTCATATCCTTCAATTCGTTAAGTCCCAGCCCTCTCATATACTGAAATCTGTAAAGGTACCCCTTTGTAGCCTGCGAGCAAGTTCTCCTATTTGAACCAGCGAAGTGAGCCTCGCGAGACGAGAACGCGCGAGCGAGGCCCCCCTCGTGGCTTCGCCGCTCGCTCGCGTGTTCTCGCGAGACTCGCTTCTCTCGCCCAAATAGGATCCTTCCCGTACAGACAATTATAGAGCGGAGTAGCCCCTTCCCAGGTTGTCACAAGCTATCCCCTATAACCCTGTCCCTATTGTGCTCGTAAAATACTGTAAAGTTGCTTAATGGAATCCCGAAAAGTTGCTAAAAAAATTGCCAAAAATCCGAAAAATTTGCCACGTAAATTTCTTGATATTTTAAGTTTAAACGTTATTAAATTAAAAGCTTTGATCTCCGTTCTACACAATAGGGCCATTTATAAGAGGAAAAATAAGACGCGTCTTAAACTGGACCATTTATACGAGCATGTCTTATCTAAGACGAAAACAGCTCGTATAAATGGTTCGCGTCTTATTTCTGTTCTTGACTCGTTTTCATGTGAATGAATTGAACTTACTTTTCAAGTGTAAATTTATAATACGAAGATAGCAATTTGATTAGTAAATATAAATTGTGATTGTTTAAAGTTAAAGGGTCTACTTACGCCAGCAGATGTCACGCATTTGTCCAGGAGGTCTGTTATCGCCTTCTCCTTACATAATAACAAAAAATCTTTTCCCTCTGCGATGGACCAAGTGTTTCTCTTTACCTTTAACGGCGTGCTCATTGAGCGAAGAAAAAAATAAAGCAGAATAGACAAGGAAACTAAAATGCGTTGTAATTTGTAAACAATTTTTCCCCGCCAGTGGCCTGCCAATCCACCGCAGGGCAAGCGATAATTTTCCCGCCAAAAATTAACGCATGCGTACTATGCGTTCGCGTCTTATGTAAGACGCGAAGTCGACGCGAAGGGCATTTTGATATACGAAGTTTTTCTCGTCTTAGCTAAGACGCGTCTTATCTAAAAACAGGTGCTAAGGGCTGTTCTAAAATAAGACGCGTCTTAGCTAAGTCGCGTAGAAAAAAACTTTGAAAATTAAATTTATTGAGTTGCTCGGAAATATATGGGGGCGCGAGTAGTTTGTCCCGCCAGCTTCTAAAACAGGGTATTTAGTTGGGGTCATATTTTGCTTGATTTCGTCTTTCCAGCTAATTTAGCGGATAACTATTACTTTCAGGAAAAACTAGAGATGCCCCATGGATAAAAATATTGAAGAGCAAATCAAACTTGCCAAATTTTCAGTTTTTATCCATGCCATGCCAGAAAATTATTATGAATCAAAGCAAACCTATTTTAGTTATAGTCTTCGATTTTAGCTAGGCAAAATTATTTTTCATTTTTACAAAAACATTTTTATTTTATTCTGTGACGTTGTAGAAATGAAATTTGAAAATTACATTTAATTTATCGAACGTAGCCTAAGCTCACCATTAAATTTTTTCTTAGCTAAGTAATTATTCATACAAAAACATTTTTATATTCTGTGACGTTGTATAATAATTTCTACAATTTATCGAAATGTGCATTAAATTTTTCCTTTTAAGCTTACCTTTCGGTTGATAGACACTCTGAGAAATTCGCATAACTTGAAGTTCTCTGTGTCATCTTTGAGATTTTCGAGTTTGATATGTGTTCTAAACCTAATTTTGCGGCAAAAATTGCTCAGAATGGCAAAAGTTGTTCGAGGTTGCGAGAACCGCAAAAAGTTGCTCCCAACGGCATAAGTTGCTCAAAAGTTGCCGAGCGCAATAACGATATGCTTAATCTTGGTCATCCCAGTCATCCCGGTCATGCCGGTCATCCCAGTGATCTCGGTCGTCCCATTCATCGCGGTCATCCCAGTCATTCCGGTCATCCCAGTCATATTGTTCATTCCAGTCATCCCAATCCAATCAGTTGTCCCAGTTGTCCTGGTCGTCCCGTTCATCCCAGTCATACCAGTCACCTTGGTCATCCCAGTTGTCCCACTCCTCCCTCATGGCCCGGTCGTCCTGGTCATCCTAGTCATCCCAGTTCTCCTGGTCGTCTCAGTCATCCCGGTCACTTTTGATTGACTCAAATCCCCCGGCTAATTCTTCATAACCAGCTAAAGAGTTGACCAAATTGCCATATCCGATAAAATGGCGTCAAGAGGGCATGGCAACCTAGAAGTCTTGGCGACGAGGTTGCATAAACTCAGGCTATGTTCACAAGAGCGTTTTCACATGACGTCACGGCGGCCATATTGGTGTTCCATAACAATGAAATGGGGGCCATTAGATCATTAACGGTAATTACAATAAACGCCTATGGGCTCCTGCTCTTGTCTAATAAACGCGCCACCAGCCCCCCTCCACGCCCCCTCACGGTTTTCACTCACGTGGCCAGCATCTATGCAAATTTTCTGGAACAAAAGAAAGCGTTTGCATAAGAAGAGAAGTAAACTCCCGGCGGACTGCTTTGGAACACCAACATGGCCGCCATTTTATTGTTTTGGACTGACCAATATGGCCGCTGTGACGTCATGTAAAAACGCTCTATGCCGGATAGCTTTCTGCGCCGATAGGAGAAGCTATAGTAATATCAGGTTTTGTGTGAACACCTATCCGATATGTATGGCGCGGCGCAGCTTCAATCGGGCCGAAATCACCTTTCTTATGTGTGAACAGAAGTTATCGGCTATGGGATGAACATGTGACGTCAGCTGTTTTGTCAGAGCTACAGTGCTGTAGAGAAAATGGCGGAAAATTTCACACATTTTGAGAAGAAGAGATTAACGAACTACTGCCTAACACATAGGAACAGCAAAAATACAATTTGGGGGATGACAACCGCTATTTGAAGAATATGTGCTACGCTAAACATCCCTCTAAATCCTAAAATTACCGAGGAACAGCATCGACAGAGACAAGCATGTTTTAAATTGTTTTAAAAGTATGAACAATTATTGAATTCGATCTGAAGAATAACGCAAATCAAGATTTTTAAAAGGAGTAATCTTAAAAGAAAAAAGTCTGAACTGACCTGTTTCACCTTTGCCGTTAACGAAGATATTTCAACAACTCCTGAGCCAGTTAAACCAGGGAGCTCACGCAAATACGACAGCGGCGACAGCTAAAACGTCGCATAAAAATTGATTCAACTTGCTTACAGCTTAATCACCTTACTCCTTGTCGTTCAGTCAGTTAAATGGAGGCGAATTTTCCTGAAGTTCAATTCTTAAGGACCATGTACAAGTTCAGAAAAAGAAAGACGTGGTCGTTTTTGCGTGTACGTCTTCCATAAACGTGAAATTAGGAAGTTTACGTTGTAGTCGTGCAGTGATGGCCAAAAAATGTACAAAAACGCGTGATGCACGTGCAAAGGTGTTGTTTTGCTTCTCAAGGGTATTTCACAGGCTGAACAGCTTGACCGGATATTTCATTTACACGGAACCGTTCAATATTTTTGCTCGGTTCACACGCAACTGACGATCCAGGTTAAGTTCTAATTTGATACAACACAGCGACCGGGCACAACTCTGAAAGGAGACGCCTTTGACGGCAAAGGCAACGAGAACAGCAGAACCCCCATAAGCAAAACAACAACTCTGCACGTGCATCACGCTTTTCTGCATATTTCTTTGCCGTCGTTGCATGACTACGACGTGAAACTTCCTTATTTCACGATTTCACGTTTAAATGGTGGACAAGAACTTAAAGACAACGATTTTATTTTCGTTTTCTTCACTTTGATAGGGCACTTACAATCCATTTTGTCAGAACCGGCTTGCCAACCAGTACAGTCGTGTAGAGAATTCCCTATTAATCAGAACTGTTCAGCCATCATTAGGCCTAGGTCAAACGTCGAACTTTTCACGAGACTAACCGAACTCATGAAAAGTTGGACGTGTGGCTCAGTTAAGTTCGTCTGAATGAGTTTGGATCGTCCAACACGTTCTATCCGTCTGCTTCAGACGTCTGAAGATCGTCTCCGCGACAAACGTCGATCTTTACATGCGACGAATTAAACTAGTGAATTAAAAATTTGAGAATGTATATTTAGCCTCGTTCGGCTAAAATTGCTTTTTGGTCTTTTTCAGTTGATTGGTTCGACGGGTCCTACGTTCGACGTCTGATCCAACAGACGAACTTGACTTAATTGAGGTCGACCCAAATTGGAGTTTCGTTCGTTACATGAATAGTTCGACGTTTGGTATAGGCCTTAGATAAGCTTCTTTTGGAATTCATAAACTTCAGAAAAATTCGCCAAAATTTGATAAAATTGAACGAGATCGAATAAGAGCGATGAAGTTTGAAAAGGAACAGATTCACTTTTTAAGTGATGCTTTCGTCGCCGACACCGTCAGCGTCGCTTCAGCTTCTTATTTGGGACCTTCAGATCCGACAAAGGCGATGGCCGCGAAAACATCGCCTAAAAAGTGAATTCGCTTTCATTCAATCTTCATCGCGACAGTTCCAACTAACTTACTTTGTGAAATTTAGACGAACTCTCCTGGGAGTTGAATTCCTAAAAAGCATATCCAAGTTCAGAAAGAGAAAGAAAATTTCTTAGTAGCTTGTTTACGTCCTCCATAAAATGTGAAATTAGGCATTTTCACGCCGTATTCGTGCTGTGACGGCAAAGAAATGTACAAAAAAGCGTGATGCACGTGCAAAGTTGTTGTTTTGCTAATCTTAACCTATTGCTTTTTTTGCGCTCCAGTTGCCGTCCCTGTCGTCGCATCTTAAGGTCCCTATTAATTGAGCGTAAGGTAACCGACGGAACATTGAGGAGACCAAAACAGTTCACTTTTAGTACATATTCACGTTTATCTTGCAATGACATAAAATCATGAACTCATTTTTCCAATGACTTAGAATAGAGATTAAGAACACTTCAGTTAACCTTGAAGCGAGAATTTTTTTTCTTCACCATGAAATCTTCACCGTCACCTTCCTTTACAGGATAACCGGCTCAGGTTACAATTTCTAGACGATTATTTTTCAACAACCAATTACCACTTAGAACATTTGCAAGGACAAAAAAATACTCATTTCTAAGTAACCTTGACAACGGTTACCTGGCGACAATTGCAACACGTGCTGTTTTCTCATAATATTACTTGCACTTTCCTAAGGATCATCAACGTGACGCAATACTTGCAGAGAGAAGCCTTGCGTGACAAAGTAATTTGCGAGACACCGAAGGATTGTTGGGCCTCAAAGGAGGCTGTGCATTACAAGTCTATCCGGCAAAAACTGTGAAAGGACAATGTCCTTCAAGAAATAAATTTAAATATCATCAAAGTTAAAAATTACTGCGACCTCACCAAGGCCACAAAGTCAAAATATATTAAAGTTCAACTTTTATGAAACACGCTTGCTGGTGAACTCAGAAGTGAGCACACAATGCCAGAGGTTTCCGTCGTTATCATGCGCCGCCTTGGTGAGGTGTTTGAGGTATTCATTTGATCAAATCTTGTCTTTTCATCACGTTTCTTCTTCTCCTTCAAATTGTTCTGTGTCCTCTTCGGCTGCTTCATTGTCAACTAGAAGCGCGGAGAATTTGCTCGCCTTGTGAAAGACCTGTCGAAAAAGACGTAAAAATGGACTAATCAAGATTTTTGCACGACCTTGCGACAAAGCAACTCAGTGGTAAACGTTTTGAATCCAGGAACATCAACTATCTAATTGACCAAGTTACTGTAGGTCGTCATGAGCAAGGCGAAGAGTGCTTTCGATAGTAGGAACACATTCGGGATTATTATAGACGAGTCATTGCTAATAAAACAAATTTGCTCTTTTCGGAATTATGTGACAAATATGGCGTAACTCTTGGGGAAGAATTAACGAAGGAAAATTGTCGTATAGAACATTTTGCCTCATCTTTTGGAGAGTAACATATCTGACGAGTGAGAGGAAACTGTTTGCATTACTGGCTACGCCGGTTTAGAATCTCAGTAGCTTTCATCGCTTTCTCTTCTCCATTGCTAACCTTTTCTGCGCAAGCGCCTCATTTTCCTCATTAAATATCGTTTATTGCCGCGAAGCGAAGAAAACGAAGTCATGATTCCGCTTTAATCCAAACAATAAGGAACAAAGACGTTTTTGAGCGACGGGCGTTAACCAGAAGTGGGATTTTTGCATTCTTGGGTATGGGTTTAGCCCAGATTTTCGGAAAAGTCGTCTCTGTAAGAGTAGAGACACTATGTAACAAAGATTTATCAGCATCAAGGTATATGAAAAGACAAACGGCCTCTTCCTGTTGACGTGCGTAGCTCAAAAAGCGCCTTGGCACAATCTTCTCATTTTACTCTAGGCAGCAGAATGTAACTTTCAGAGAGACACAACGCGAAAGAAAAATAAAAAACTCGGGCTTTTTAGCACCCCTCTGACGCTTAAAGTACCTTTTTTACTTTTTTATGTCATCTATTGAGACATATTCTGTTGTTAAAAATCTTAGGCCTATCAGTTGTGTGCATTTACTCATCACTATTTTTGAAAATCCTTTTTTTCTTTCTTTGGCCATTTTCCCGCTATCTGCAGGCTCCGTTACTTATTCGGAGGGCAGAGATTCTCTCCGAACGCTAAGCAAAACTTGCTTTTACATCAACAGCACCTACCATTTACTCGACAACTTTAGGAAAACACTCTCTCGACTATTAACCCATCATAAGGCACAAGGAGTTTCATTTTAAAAAGAACTTCGCCAAGGATGTAGTACACATGTGCTGGGACTTACCGGTTGTGGCGCTTCCTCGTACTTCTTGGGCTCCGCAGATTTGCGTTCTCTTCTGTCCTTTTTAATCCCTCTCCCCGCAGGGGCATGTGTACTTGACCTTTCCCCTCCTCTCCCTCTCCCCCTTGGGGGACCACTGAACTCTCTTTTCGGACCAGGTGGTTTGCTAAATCCCTTCCTCTCAGGGGAGGTGGGAGGAGGAGGAGAAGTCACTGACATACTAGCACTGTCCACATTAATTTCCACTCTGTGCTCTCTTGTGGGGCTCTTAGCCTCGGTGGCGTCTGTCGCAGAAGCTGCCTTCTGTTGCTCCATCCTTTTCGCCCATACATTCACAGCAGGCGGAGGGGCGTCTTTAGGGGGCTCTTTAGGGGTCTCCTTGGTTTCTTTCCCACCTCCACGCGGGCTGTCACGAGAAGGAGCCTCAGTGTCCTTACTAGAAGTGCCCTCGTCACTGGACCTCCCACTGTCACGACGGCTTCGATAATCAGAGCTATCCCTATGTTCCCTCGCACCACGCTCACCTTCATTTGAGCGATTGCTGTCACGACGGGGCCTGCTGCTGGAGCTACGTGGCCAGTCCTCTCGCTCTCGGCGCTCTTTCTGTCCCTCCTTCTCTCTAGCAAGCTTGGTTTCCTCTTCAAGCTTTTGTCGAGCGAGCTTTTCTTCAATCTCTCGCTCTTTGGCTGCCGTATCAACTGGTTTGGCGCCACCAAATACGGAGCTGCCAGAGACAGGCCCGCTTTTATCTTCTAATGGTTTAGTTCGGGGCTGTAGGTGAAGTTTGGGTCTTTCTCTAACTGCAAATGAAAAACAATACAACCGCCTTCAAAGTCAAATTCTCATTAGTTATTTTGTGATTTGGATGCGTTTTCTGGCCCAGACTGATCTCCAGGGTTCAGATTTTAGTTTTTAAAGGAAGTGTTTTTTTGTTGCCTAACATTAGTTGACGTCTCCATCAAATCTTTCATTTCCGTAGTCGCCAAAGTGTTCGAGAGGATTGTGTACGATCAGTTATACGACTTCTTCCTTCCAGAACTATACTGACCAGCACAAACATACCGCAGAGAACTTAATATACTTTTGCACGTAATTTTTTTGTCAATCTGAAATCCACAATAACAGCATGAGAACGAATTTTTAATCCATATTGCATATATCCTCAGAACTCTCACTTACTCAATTAATCGGAGGAGCTCTACAAAGCTTTCAGAACGAGTTGTTCAATTAGCTAAAGGTGATGTTGAACGGGACGATTCGCAACAAAGATTTTTAACGCAACGTAGCGTTGCAATGTTGGCACAATGTAGCAACTAATCGACACAATGTCGCAACAATGGGGCAACTATGTGTGATTAATAACAAAAACAGTGTCTCTAGCCCTGACAACAATAGCAGTGAAAAGGGAGCTGAACAGAAGTTTAATGAAAGGGGAGGTTTCTGAGAGTTTCGTAGCTCCAGTAATAGGACAGTAAATAGTAATTAGTTTCAAAACAAAATATATGATTAATCTGTTACTACCTGGTTCGCGCTCGTCTCTATCAAAATCGCTTCTCGCATCGCGACCACGATCACTGTCACGCCACGTATCTGAGTCACGGTCATCGTAACTGTCATGCCTCCTATCTCTGTCTCCATACCGATCACCACCTCGGCGGTCGTCATAGCGACGATCATCGTACCGGTCTCGGCCATATCCGCCGCCACGATCGCGATCTCCTCCATACCGATCACGATCTCCGCCATAACGATCGCGATCTCCTCCGTACCGATCACGATCTCCGCCGTACCGATCACGATCTCCGCCATACCGATCGCGATCTCCGCCGTACCGATCGCGATCTCCGCCATAACGATCGCGATCTCCACCAAAGCGATCACGATCTCCGCCAAACCGATCTCGACGATCGTCGTAGCGATCTCGGCCAAAACCGCCGCCACGATCACGGTCGCCGCCATATCGATCCCCATACCGACGACTGTCGGGTCTATCTCGGCCATAACCATCATATCGATCGTTGCCTCGCTCATAGTCATCTTGCCTGTGTTGATGCAGGGTAAAAATTACCAGTTAATGACAGAATTTGCCACTTCGCTCAACAACAACAACAAAAAAAACAAGAACAAAAATCATGTAACCTCTCAGGTCTTCGACCATGGGCCCGTTTCTCGAGAATCCCGGAGACTGTTCGGGGTCGAAATATTAAAATTCAAATCTAAAGTTTTTTGCCCCACCAATGAGCCTAGCCCCAATTTTTCAACGACTGGATAGTGCTGTCCTCTAGATTAGCCTCTATCCAGTGGATAACGCAATTGATTTTTTCTGACAACTATCCACCGGCGGATAGCGATTTATCCCGCAGTAGATATTGCTGTCCAACCTTTGAACAACAGGGGCCTGGGGCCCGTTTCTCCAAAGTCCTGATAGTTAACGGGCCCCGAAACCTGTTGTCATTCATATTCAAGGTCGAGGTACTAATAGTTCTATGCAGAGAAAGAAACTTGATAAAACTATCAGGTAACAACAAAAAAAAAGGTCAGTTTGTTTGCTAGGACTGGCGCATTTATTAGGCAAAAAACGGGGCGCAAAAAAGTCTAGGGAGGAACTGGGGAGGGGGAAAGGGCGGCGGCCGCCTCAATCCCCCGTTGGGTTCGCGCTCGCCCCGTTATTCCCCAGTTTACCCGACTAAGGAGGCTGGTCTCAGGCTCTGACTGTCTTTTGTTTGAAACCAAATTTTAATGCTAGTACTCTTCAAAATTGAATTTTTTCATTTTGTCCAGCTAATGGATGAAAATTTCGTATTTAAATGAGTCCTCAGTCGTTTTGTCACCGTGTAAATCTCTTAAACGAAGACCTAAATGTTGGAACATACTCACTGGGGGGGAAGGGGGGTTCGGGGTGTAATTCTTCCGCTTCCGCCACACCTCCCAGAGAGCTTGCTCTCACATTTAGATCTTCGTTTAAGAGATTGATACGGTGACAAAACGACGAAGTAGAACGCATGTATAACGGAATCGCGAAAATTTCTCTTTGTACAGACCCTAGAATTAATAATAATACTAATTATCATAATGAAGAAACTATTCCAAAGACATAAGGGTTTCATTTGAAAGATGACACCAAAAGATGTCGTCCACAGATTTAAAAGTTAGAGTGAGAAATAACCTCCATAACTTACAGTACACCTGAAAATTAGTGACAATTAAGGGTGTGTTCGATTGGCCGTATTCCGGAATAAGAATTGAAGGAATAAACTCTAGAAATCGATTGTCTTTGCTTTCATTGTTTTGCAATTTAAAAAACTGCTTGAAATGAAATATAAAGTTAAATGGTCCAAAAATCACGGTAGAAGAGATTTGTGACAAAACTTTATATTATTCTTATTCTGGGATACGATCAAAGTGTAAAATTTGCAACAATCAAATACTGTGAGCGTACCTATCACCCCATCCACTGCCAAATCCTCGAGAGGGACCATCATCATAGCCTTTGTAACCCGATCTATCACGAGAAGGTCCATCGTCATAACTTCGGAAACCCGATCTGTCACGTGGTGGTCGATCGTCGTACCCTCCAAAGCCCGATCTATCGCGGTAAGGCCCTTCGTCATCACCTCGGTGTCCCCATCTATCCCGAGGTCCACTGTCGTACCCTCCTCGGGGGCCATCGTCATAACGTCGTTCCCTGTCGTTATATCCATTTTGATTCGGATGAGGCTCGGGTTTACTTCGCCAGTCACTCTCTGTACGGTCAGGTTCGCCGCTGCCTCTACCGTCCCTGTCGCCTCTCTCGCGATCTAGTAGTGGAAAACGTGATCAAAATCAGGGAAAGTCCAAATTTCACTTCAAAAATGCTGCACAGCAAACATTATTCAAATAAAAGCTCTGTTAAGTAGCATTCAGGTCAATGCTCACATGCCCTCCTGTACTACGCATTTGAATGGAAAACTGTAGGATTTCATCCAAAGACTCAAAAGTTAGAATCACCTTGTACAGCATAATAAACAGTACCACATGAAAGTACTGCTCAGTAGCAGTCATTGAATGGTCACACTTGAGGATTTCATCTACAGACTTAAAAGTTAGAACCACCTTGTACAGCATAATTAACAGCACCACAGGAAAGTATTCTGTTCAGTAGCTTTCATTTGAATGGTCACAGCATAAGATTTCATTCACAAACTCAAAAGTTAAAGGAAAACTTAACTGAGGGTACAGAGAGAGTTTCATAACATTATATTGAGCCACTGAAGATATAAAGATAATTCCTCACCTTGTTGTTGCTGCTGTCCTGCAATATCAACTCTTATTCTTCGGTTCTTGAGATGCTGGGGAAAAGAAAACAACAACATTAAACAAGTGACACATTTGCTTGTATCTTGGCTCTTAATAACTCCAAAAAATAAATGCTAGTTTTGCCAGTTGCTTTATTAAACAATATTATTGTGCAGCTCAGCTTTTGTTTAGGAACAATTATTGGTATACAGTCAACTCTCTTTATAGCAGACACTGTAGGGACCTCAAGTTAGTGTCCTCTTTAGCGAGAGTCCGTAATAGCGGGAGTTTATTTCAGTCAAACGTCTGCAATACAGTATCTCTGCTTGGGTATTTGCTGCATTCCGTATTATCACGGTGTCCATTATAGTGGGGTGTCTGCAAGGCAAGAGTTGACTGTAGTATGTTACTTCAATTCCCAGGTGTGACTTCGAGTTGTTGCTTCATCTTCTTTCCTTTCTGAGTAGCTTTAAGTATTAAACCATAAAATGGAACAGTGATGGAAAAGAAGGTAGTAAAATGCACCCACCATATGCCCAAGGTTTGTGAGAGATAATGACTATTTCGAGCTACCACCATAAAAAAGTGACTCTTTGCCATTACCTTTGACAGGTAAGAAATTACAACAGTGGGTCCACTTTGGTACATACCTTCTTAGGGTTTTTTGCACCACAATTGGACAATTGAACAAGGTGTATTATCTACCTCACCACGAGGTGTATCCATCTTAATCTGATTTATGGCTCAACAAAGAAGCTTGTTGGAAATTAAAAAGTAAATCCCTCAAAGAGACCTATCTGATCGTGGCTGAGAGTTCGTTTCACCCCCAAAGGAGATTATGTTCCCACACAGTTTGTTTGTTTTTGAAGGCAATATTAGCTTTCAAGGAAGGCAATATTAGCTTTCCATCCCATCCTAAACACCAAAAGTGAGACCAAAGTTTGACAAGACAGTGAGCATCCCTGTCAATCCCAGGAATACAAGGTAGTTAAAAAAAATTCCGTTGAACTTTGTTTCATGAGCCAAAAATGTTACCTCATTGTTCAGTGTGAGAGCTGCTAAAAGGGCTTCCTTGTCTGCAAACTCAGCATAACCAAATCCTTTGAGTCGTCCATTGTTATCCTGGGGCAGACGCACTTCTGTAATCTATCATGAAAAGTTAACGACATGTCCCTTACTAAATAAGGTGCCCTGTCAGGGTTCTCAATAGATTTTTAAGTAGGAGGTGATCACTGATAAAGTAGGAGGCTCTTCAGCAAAGCCAGAGGTGTCAAAACAAAGTAAAGAAAAGCGACTTAAACACAAAGTAAGCGGCCATAAATCCCAAAGTAAGCGGCGATCAATCGCCGGGTGCCGCCTTCTATTGAGAACCCTGGCCCTGTGTGCCAACTTAAATGTTTGTCAATTAAGAACACTATAAATTTTTTGAATGAAAACATTGTGAAAAAAAGAAGAACAATCTCAGTCATCTGGTAAGTCCTAATCAACAAAACTACTGGATAATTTTCTTAAGCATGTTTGCAACAGGGTAGAGGGGGGTGATGTCATTTAACACATGGTTTGTACAACTTCTGACAGACAAATTTCAAGGACAGTTCAAGGGTTTTTCAAGGAGTAAGATTTCTGTAATAAATCAGCATTCTTTAACCTCCTTTGATCACCCAATTGGCTAAAATATAAAGTCATGGAGTCATTTATGAGTTTTGCTTCTTTGGCCTTCGTTGATCACGTTATTTTATACTACTTTCCGCAACAACACTTTGCAAAATGACTGGGTATGACTTGCAATTGCATCTGAGGTACAGAAATAGCATTTGAAAAAAAGAAACAGTAATACAGTTTTGCTTATGCACAAAAATGTTTTTACTTTATCTGTGAGTTTTACAGGTTCTTATACCAAGGATGAGCCAAATTTTCCTCTGCAAAATAATCTAATTTTAAAGAAAAAAAGTTGTCTGGCATAGATAAAGTTGTGAATTTCAAGGACTTTTCAAGACGACTAGTAAAATTCAAGACCTTTTCAAGATTGTAGGAACCATGTAACAATCCTGCTTTGGATGAGAAGAAAAATGTATGTCTCAAAGTCTCACGTGGTTTGAATAATTGAGTTGATCATGTCTATGTACCATACTTTGATCCATGCACGTGGAGCATCACATTTGTGACTCATTTACATGAATGCATTCAATTGATCATCACTTGTGTTATTACGGAAACGTTGTAAGGGGCTACCTTTATAAGATACCAGAATGAGTTTCGTCACAGAGTGAAGTTCGGACTGCATTTACATGACAAAATCCAACGGCTCAGCCAAAGGAATTCTTTCTTGCGTGGTTTTCATGCCAGATCAGATATGCATGCGCCACTCACCCCAGACTACTTGATTTGCAATTTTCAAACCGGAACAAAGTTCATTTTCAGTTTACAGGATACCAAAATAGTTTCAGAATGACAATTTCATTGGGATTGAAAACCAGGATGAAATCATTCCGGATTGACTTGTATGGGAACAAAATGTCATTTTGGTATCATGTACATGTAAACAAATACAGAGACATAATGGAGATGGAATGATCTTGTTCTAAAATGAAAGTCACTCTGGTACCATGTGAATTGCCCGTAAGAGGAGGGTATTACAGGAGGATGAAGCTCAATTACTATCCTTTTCCAAAAAGGTGGAAAATAAGACTAGAAAGAGGAGGCTTAGCTTTGTAGTAAAGGATTTAATATTTAATTTTTAATTCTAAAGGCTGGTTTTCACTAGCGACAGAGTCAGAATTAGAAGCGTAGAGTTTATGATCTAGAGAAAACAGTGTTGTAATTCTGCCTGAGACTCGGTCATTTATGTTCCACTTATGATCTAGTGAAAACCAGATTGTAAGAGTCGGAAGAAGAAGCGGAAGAACTAAACCAATCACAAATCGTGGGAATGTGCACTTGATTGGTTTATCCTTCCACTTATGCTTCCAACTCCAACAATCTGGTTTTCACTAGATAATAATCAGAAGGTAAGTGACGCAGTCGTAAGCGGAGTCAGAAGAAACGGAAACATTCTGATTCTTCTGACTCTGACTCGGTCAAGCTAATGACTGCACTTACGACTCTAATCTTTGATTTTCACTAGGTCATAAGTGCTCTTACGACTCCATTTATGACTCCGCTATTGAAAACCAGCCTTAAAATGGCAAAAGTAAATACAAGATTAGTTGACTAAACAAAGTTGTCACTCTTCCGAATGAAAAAAAACCCTTCACTATTCCGAGAAAATTTTATGTCCTTTAAACAATTTTCACTGACATCGTATCTTCACATTTCCTCTACAGATGCTGAGAATTCATCTCTTCATTTTCAATCCTAATGTTTTTTCCACATAATTTAGAGTACAAGTTTTCTACAAGCTTACAACCTTCAGCAAACATTGTAAAAACATACAAAGTGAAATTTCCTAACTTTCACTGATTTTGTCAAGAAGTAAGATTCTCCTTCACTTTTTGCCTGATCCCCCAATTATTCTCCCTTCAACTTTAAAATGGTTCATTTTTCTCTAACCGTGGCTACTGGAAACCGTTCGTTTCAATACAAATCTTTTCCATAGAAACTCAAACAGTGAAACTGCACAAAAATTTCATTCACCTCAAGAATACATGTAGTTTGCACCTGAACAAAAAAACCATTCGGGTGAATATTCTTCGTTCTTTCAGCCAAGTATGTGGAACTATTTACATGTACACCTTGACTGAATGAAATTGATTATTGTATCGAAACGACTTTGTAACAAAATGACCGATAACCTGGCAACTAAGCTTCATAAAACTATACAAGAAAAATTGAACAGTACCTTGCTAGTACCAAAGAATTCTAAAATATCATCTTTGTCCACATCATAAGACAAATTTCCAAGGAACGCTGTATAGGGAGGTCCTTCAGGAATCTTCGAGGTATCAATGTCTGGACCTCTAGCTGCCCTAGGGGCAGTGGGTAAGGCAGCTCTATCCATAGCTGCACGCAGTTTTTTGTCAGTAGACACACCACCATACGCCTCTTCAGGCCATGCAGTATCAACTGTCAAGAAAATAAAAAGGGGACGAGATAAAGTTGGGGTGAAATTCTATGTACAGTCAACTCTCTGTTACTGGCAAGATGTGTCAGTCTTATAAAGATGTCCATCTTAAGGCTGGTTTTCATGAGCGACGGAGTCGGAGTCAGAGTCATAACCAGAAGCGTAAGAGCTTATGATCTGGCGAAAACAGCGTTCTGACTCCGCTTACAACTCTGTCTCTTACGTTCCGCTTATCATCTAGTGAAAACCAGATTGTTGGAGTCGGAAGCAGAAGCAGAAGAACTAAACCAATCACAAAGAGTGGGAATGTGCATTGTGATTGGTTTATCCTTCCACTCCTGCTTCTGACAGTCTGGTTTTCACTAGATCATAAGCAGAACATAAGCGATGGAGTCCTAAAGTGGAGTCAGAAGAAATTTAAACGTTTTGATTATACTGACTCAGACTCCGTTGCGCTTATGACTCTGCTTACGACTCCGATTTTTTATTTTCACTAGGTCATAAGCGCTCTTACGACTCCGCTTATGACTCTGACTCGATCCGAGTCCGTCCGTAGTGAAATCCAGCCTGTAAAGAGAGCCAACTAAAAGGAGTAAGGAAAGGCAGGGAGGACGGGACCAACACTAGGTGTCGGTATTTACGAGGCATCTGTCTTATAGAGGTATTCCTTAAGAAAGAGTTGACAGTAGTTCTAACTTTTGAATATGTTAACAAAATCAATGTAAAAGCCACTCATTCTTCAGCAGCATTTCAACTTAGGCCTCTTTTAGTAATGAAAGGGTAAAACAGGAGAAAAAGAGCATTTACTGTGTACTCTCTTAGTATGAGGCAAAGTGGCCAAGCGGTTAGAGCGCCGGACTTGCAATTCGGAGACCTGTGTTCAAGTCCCACCCTGGTCTCTAGCTGGATTTGTTCATGGTAGTCCCGAGTTCAAATCCTTGGTCATGCTTGTAAGTAGCCAGTTGGTTTGCCTCCAGCCAGTTGGGATTCTCAACCCTGTTATGTTTGATTTAAATTATTTGTTTCAGTCATTCGCTCGGCCCCACTAGCATAAGTGCTATAAATACTGCCAAGGGTAAATAAAAGAATTATTATTATTAGTAATGGTAACTGGACCGAGAGGAGTCCAATTTGGTCTGTAATCTTACGAGTGATTAACAAAATTGGGTGACCGCGTAGCGGGAGTCCGATTTGTTTAATCACAAGTATGATTAGTAATGGTAACAGGACTGAGTGGAGTCCAATTCGGTCTGTAATCAGACGAGTGATTAACAAAATCGGACGACCGCGTAGCGGGAGTCCGATTTGTTTAATCACGAGTATGATTACAGACCGAGTTGGACGACACGAAGTTCTGTTACCAATTAATCATAAATTTAACAAAATTTGTGATATATAGGGCTCTTTTTAAATCAAAACACAAGAAATTCCAAGATTTTTTCGCTAGCAATGAAAAAAAAAAAGCCATTTAAGCGCGCGCGTACTGTCCAATTACTTAGGCATGACGCGTACTGTCCTGTTAAACTGTCCAATTAAGGCTGAAATCAGGGCAGTTGAGAACCAATCAGATTTGAGAATTTTGTTATAGTTATGATTAAAGACTGAATTGGACGACATGAAGTTCTGTTACCAATTAATCATAACTGTAACAAAATTTGTGATATACACGGTCCTTTTTTAAAATCAAAACAGAAGAAATTCCAATTTTCTTTTGCTAGTAGTGAAAAAAAGACATTTAAGCGCACGTGTGATGGCGCGTACTGTCCAATTACTTAGGCATGACGCGTACTGTCCTATTAAATTGTCCAATTAAGGCTGAAATCAGGGCAGTTGATAGCCAATCAGATTTGAGAATTTTGTTATAGTTATGATTATGAATGAAATCAAGCAACGTGACTAATCAATTAAACCCCTTACAGAAGAACTCTCTCATGATAATACCCACTTGACAGAAATTTGGATTTTTTCTTAACTTCTAATGAAAGCCACTTTGAAAAGTGGGAAGGATAATGTACAACAAAACATTAATGAATAAATAAACAAAAAGTAAACTCTACATGGAATCAGTCAACACAGGCATGGTTGGATAACACCAGTCAGTGATAAAACTTCTCATCTGCATTTTCTACCAAGTAAAACAGTTCTTATAAAATTATGATAAAAAGTTTTACTTCTCTATGTGAATTTTCCTTTAATTCAATTCAGGAAAGTACATGTGACATTTTAGACACGTCATCTTTAATAGTAAATGAAGCCGCTCCATAAATGAACTATATGCAACGTCCAGCCGAGTAATAAACTGTTTAAGGATCTTTGTTACTTATTAATAATATTTTGTGTTTGGAATCTTCAATGAGGTGAACATTGTTTAGTTTAAATAATCAAATCGGTGAAATCTACCTTCAAATCGAAAAAGAAGGTTGTAAATAAACTCAATAACGCAAAGTCATTCCTCATTTCTTTGGACAGTTGTTTAGTGCTATCCTTTGATGCAAAACGATACTAATTTCTGGAAGTTTGTATGACACGATTAAACCAATACGTTTAAATCATAAAACTCGAGGGAAAAAATAGGTCCTGGTCTTTTCACAGCAGATATCTAGTCTACTTGAAACCAAAAAGTTTAATCTACTTGTAGTTGCGACAATTACCAGCGAGCAAGGTTTCACAATCCGCCGGGACTATTTTTTTTCGCAACGGCGTTTATATATAAAAAAAACAGGCTTTTGTGAAGATCGGAAGACCTAGGTACGAATTACATTATTCTCCAACTATAGTTAACAAAATTGTAACCGCTTTAGTACGGTGCTTAAACCATGCATGCATTAGATTGTTAAGTAGGCCGGATCTACGTGCCGTTGCGAAATGAACACTTTGTAAGTCCCTGGGATACTTTTTTTCAAAACAACAGCTACTTTAATTAGTACCCAAACGCTGTTCATACCTTCAGTGTTAAGTTCCTCGCTTTCGTCGGCCCAGCTTGTTGATCGAGCGGAGAATACGGCCGCATGAGATACAGAGGACGATCCATTTTCGCCATCATCGGCCAAGAACTCAGTCAGGGCAAGAGTCTTCCCCTTTTTCTTTTTAGCTTTCTTAGCTAGGACATCGAACAAAGTACGTTACAATACAGCAATAATAAGGGATTTATATAAATGAGAAAGAAGTATTCGAGAAAATCGACTTAAAAACGAGATCAAAGGAAAAGAAAGAGAGTCAGTGAAATTGCCAATCACCTGTTTCCGCCATCTTGGACAACGTGATTGAAAGTCCCGGATACTTTCCCACGCGCAGTGTTCGCGCCAACTCGTTTTGGCTAGGGTGGGGTGGAGTTGTAGCAAAAGTTCGGAGGGGATGGGGGTAAGGGTTGACCTCAAAGCGAAACAATACAATCTAAACTGGGCCATGTTTTCGGGTGGGTGAAATCGTTGATCAGAAATTACATTTGGTACAAAAAATCAATAACTAGATAAATAGATAAGCCCTTTTAAAAGCCCTGAAAGTGATCAGCGTCCAATTTCTCCTTGGGAACAAAGTGGTCACGAGAATTTAGGACATGATCACAGAAGATGAATCTTATTCAACAACTTGTCCCCACTACTTTCATAGGAAACCTATAGGGGCAACAAATGAGAAATTGAATTTTGATATTAGGATACCGAGGGTTAAATAAATAAATAAAAAGTGAAATGCGAGGCCAGCGAAACGTGTATTTTAAAGAGGACATCCACGGGTCTCCATTTCTCGCTACAATAGGGAGTTTATTTTTTTTTTTTTGAGCGACGCACGTAAACGGGAAGTTGTCTTTTTGCACTCTTCGGTGGTGAGTTTCTACAAATTCTTGGGCAAATCGTCTCTTTAAGAGTAAAGACAGGTAGCAATACAAATTTGGTAGTGTTAAGGCATACTGTATTAAAAGAGAAAAAGGCCCACTTCCGGTGGCCGTGCGTCCCTCAAAAACGTGGCTGATTAAGCTCCCAATAGACCTTTCCCACATCACGCTCGGTGAGCAAACATGAAGAAATAAGGACGGGGCTCGGGCGGACAATTTCATACAAATCACTGTATTTTGTCCAACCGAAAGCTCTATGGCAGGTGGGTTGCAAGGAACGCGATTTACGCGTGCAAGCTCTCTATTGGTTGAAGTCGAGAGAAGTCACGCGAGTCCCGCAAGCGAAGAGAGACGTGGCCCACTCGCACGTTCTGCTTGCTCGCTGGCTAAACGCGGTTGCACGCTGGTAACTTAGTCGCAACTAGAAGTTAGACTTTCTAAAAGTCCTTTATTTTTCTTCCTGGTTGGTTATGCCATTTTCAAGACTTCGTCACTCGCTGTGCGACCTCATGCATTGAAGCTCGCTTTGCTCACTTTTAAGAGCTTATGAGAGGTCGACTTGTAGTAAGTCTACTAGAAGTAAGCTCAGTCATTTGTTCAACAAGGGCGATAGGTTCCGTTACCAGATTTTCTTTCAAACTTGTCAGTCACCTGTGTGTGTGTTTCCAGACCATCGTTTGTGGAAGCGCTCTTCATAGGCATGCTTCCGAAGATTTCCTGAGTTTTCCTTCTCCTGTATGTCTAGCCGGATTTTTGAAAACGTTGCCGCCAAATGGACCTTTTGTGTCCAACAGTTTTTTTTTCTCCAAAATAGCCATTATAGAAACTAAGAGTGCAACCATTGCTTTTTTCTCTTCTCCTCCTTTCTTCCTCCTCGCTCTTTCTTTCTTTTTCTCCTTTCCTTTTTCTTCGTTAGTGTGAGTTGGGAGCTTATCGGGCCCAAGAAATCCGCCTTTTAACGCCTTTTCACTCAAATGACGTCAAATTTTGTTAGGATGGTTTTCCAAAAATCGATGACAATCGTAGTAACGATGACGTCACAAGGGAGATAACCGAATTATTTTATTTAGAACATTTCACTGTCGATAATTTTTTTTAAGATGGGAGTGTTACTTAAACTAAATTTGTTGCTTTTATTAGTATTTATAGAAAGAAAAAGCAGTTGTAAAGTAATTTTTTATTGCTTTACACCAGAACTCCAAACACTCCCTTCTGCTCCAAACGCGGATCTGCCAGTCTTGTCTCGTAGTCTCGAAGGTGTTTTGTTTTGTTTTTGTAGAATTTTTTTTTTACAGTTTCTCCGATTTGTATTGGCAACATCTTTTCTAGGTTTCCTCTCTCAAATATCCCCTTGTACTAAAACTGGCAAATTTTGTTAAATGATCTGAATAAGTAAGAACTCATGACCCCTCTACTTGGATTGACAGTGATCCCCGCGACCGTCTTGGGAATATATCAGCTCATATTCGATCATAATTATCACTAATCCGTTCACCCCCAAATCAGTCAATTCAGCCAAACACAAAAAACTGTTTCATGTTACGAAAGCGAACACTTTGAACATAATAAAAATAAAGTAAACTGGATAAGCCTCTTTCTGATTTTCGCTTAAACAGTGGCATATCCTAGATTTTGTCCACACACACACGCACAAAAGATTTTGTCCACACACTCAAACGTCAGATTGCCATCACAACTCCAAAAATAACAGTGATCCTGAAGTGTTGTGAAGTCGTTGTTTTAGCTAAAAAAAACACAGATCTTATTTTAGCAGCCTGGACGTTATTCGTAATACACTCCATAGACAGTGCAAACGGCGAAAAATCGCTCATTCTCGAAACAAGCGTTTACAAAAGTATCACACTGGCCATCCCACAAGCAGCGGCTGGCGATTCGTAATCCCTGTGACGCCTTGGATCCAATAGTAGTCAAGCAGATTACTTTGTACCGCTCAATATTTAACTGTTTCACACTTTCCAACACACGGGAGCTCAGCAACTTGGCCATGAAGGGCGAGTGAGTTGCACTGTATTTATGTGTGGCTAAAGTTTCTAATGCCTCCTCAATAATTGCTTGAACTTTTCCTTCGGGAAAACGATGCTTCGGTTCTAAGCGGTAAGTGTTTTCGTAACGCTCGTGTGGATTCCTTTTAGCCTGAGAGCGATCAACGTTGTCTGTTTTTTTAAAACCAGAAACGAACGCTGTCGCGGAAAATCGTCTTGCCGAGCCGGCGACTGACAATTTTCTTGATGAGGAGCTTTCGTCAGAAAGTTTGCGTTCTCTCTTGACGCTTTCCATTGGAAAAGGCTGTTGAGAATAATCCGACCAAATACGTTGCTGCTACTGACTTCACTTGTACTTTGTGAGCTTCTTCTTCGCAAGCCGGGTTTTAGTAATTTTGGAAAACGCGACCGGTGGTGATTTGCCAAAAGAAGCTTTAGGATTAAGCAACTGCTTGTTGAAAAACTGATCTTACGCAACGAAAAAAAGTCGCGGAAGTGGTCAATAGCAACCTTTGTCCTGCACTTTTTCTGATAGACAAAAATAACTGTTTCCATGGCGTGCATTCTCACATTACTTTTTTGAGTCACGAAGAGCGCAATGGGTCAAGTCACGCGATCACGCGACTCTTTTTTTTCCCGGCTGCGTCAAAGGGGCAGGGCCCGGGGTCTGGGGCATTCTCGTCCCCAGAGCCCGTCGTTTCTTGGTCACGTGGTCTTGACAAATTAAGCCGAGAATGGGGTCTATGGCGGAAAACCGTTTTTGTGTTTTTGAATTTATTATTTTCTATCAGCTCACTTGGATCACACGCCGGTGTCTCACACAATTACAATTTAACACTTTTAAGAGATATGAATTTCTTTATTGCTTTGTTCAAACTAAAGTATTCTGCCATCGGTGGTTTAAACCGCCATAAAACCGGGCAAGTTTGTTTAAATATATATATTTTTGTTTTATTCTTTAGTTTACTTCTTAACCGCCTTGCCGTAAGGAAGGATCAGTTTGCCGTTTTATATTTTCTCCAAGTTATTATTGTACTGATCAAGGTCTACAACTGGGAGATCCGGCATCACTCAACGGTTCGTCGCTGTGTACTTACTGATATTTTATAAACCGGGCTCAGCCTGGTTTGCGCGGGGCGCTCAAGACAATATATAAGAAAAATGTACGGTTAGTATTCTACTCTCGTTAAATAAAGATTGCTTTGCATTGTGTTGTCTTCTACTGCGTCAATACCGTATCGTATAAGTGCATTGCATTACATTGCATTGTACAATTATTGTGTTTTGTATTGTATTGTATTGTTATAGGGCTATATACTCAACTGACTGATAGAAATCTTACCTTTCTAAAGACGTTTACCAAAAGTGAGAACTTGCCTGCCAGACTGGTCGTTTTTTCGAGAGTTTTAGTTAAAATACACTTTAGGAAGGGGGGGGGGTGAGAGACAGATTTGATTAGACAGTACTGATTAGCAATATAGTTCTCTTCACGGCTGGAGTGATCTGGCAGACAGTTTCTGACAAAATGGCAAGCGCCCTAAGACCTAATTCCTTGAGATATATGTAACTGTAATATCCGCGTTGCCCCTCGTGGCATCTGCGTTAAAACGAGAAGAAGTGAAGGTCTCTGATTAGAAAATAACTTTTTATTCTCGTGTAAATAACACTCATTTTTTCAAGAAAAGTTTTGTCCTTGGCTTGGTTTCCAAAGTGGGGATGTGTATGTTTCCATCAGAGTGAATTTTTCTTGAACAGTGAAACAGATACTAACACCTAGGGCAAAATAGCGAGAGGCAAACAAAAGAAGACCATAGAATTTGTGCATAATAGTGAGTAGTATTCTACCTATTTCACGGTTCAAGTAAAATCACTCTAACCAGATTTCAGTATCAAAATTTGGATTGTTAAAAATCCTGTACAAAATTGTTAATCTATTCAACCTTCAACACACTTAATGAAACACGTTTTCAATGTAAAGTCTCCGAATGAAAAATGACTTTATATAACTTCTTAACATTTTGTTTAAGTTTGCATGTAGAAAATAGGCCATTTCCGAGTTGCCTTAAGCCTCTTGTTTTTTTTTAAGCGAGGCTACATGCGAAGCCATTGCTATAAAAATGATTTTATATTCTCACGCAAATAAAAGTCATTTTCTCAACAAAGGTTTGCACTTAGCCTCGTTTTGAAAGTGAGAGAAATGGCCTATGCTATTCTTGGTTTGCAACCACGTGATCAGGCGGCCATGTTAGCTGACAAGGCAACAGACCTTTTTCAAAAATATCATAATGCTCTTCGTTGTCTGCAAACTTTTGCATAAGCATTGTTTTCAATTTCTCTTGCGACTTACAGTCGCCCCAAGAGAAATGGTTATTCTTGGTTTGCAACCAAAATTTGGGAGGGACAACAAAGGGTATTTTGGTATTTTTCAATTTCTCTTGGGAAAATCGCCCCAAGAGAAATACTTTTTTGGGAAGGACAACAAAGTGGAATTTTTTGAAAAAAACGTTCAGTTCCCGCGGAATTTGCATATAAAAGAGTAAAGTTCCCAGCGAAGAGAATCGCTTATGTTCCTGTCAATCAACATGGCCGCCGTGACGTCATCTGCAAACCAGCAGTACCTAAAAAATCTAAAACTATAGATATCATAATGCCGCGTATTACCGGATTTTATTATATAAAACATTTTCACTCTAGTTTATGTACTTTTTTTTCTACGTGAGGGAGTCGTCGTCGTCTTCGTTATTATCGCTCCGTGTAACTTGTACCATGCAGAATAAACGCTTGGAAGTGAATCTACAAAAGAATCAAGTAGACATTTTTTATGCATGCAACACTATAATCTCTTATCGGGTATAGCAGCAATATAAAGGTCTAACATTGTTCCGGACCTGTAAGATACCTCAGAAAAACATACATATAGGATCCTGTCTTTCCTCAAATAAGCACCGTCCCCCAAATAAGCGCCCACCCCAAGGCCATTAGATCAAATAGGCCCCCCTTAAATAAGTGCATGCGCGGACATTAATTTTAAGAAGGCTAAGGAGCGAGGGCTTTTTCCGATTTAATGCACCTTTCCATTGATTTAGAACCAGCAGATCATTATTGTAGCCAATTAAGTGGCACAGTAGGTTATTATTCGTAGTAATGACCTCCTGATCCACCTCAGTGGCCTGCTCTTCCATTTGAGTTTGCTTTTTGAGAAATACCTTCAGGAAGCGGCCATTTTTACGAAGGAGCGATCGCAAGAAGGAGAAAAGAGTGGTTTCACTTACGCATGAGAAGAATATTATTTGCAGCCAAACACAGTTGGACGACATTGCGCATAAGCAGACCATTATTGGTCGGCAGTTATCTGCAGGTCACGTGGTGGGCTCTTGGCCAAGTGAAAAGGAAGAAACATTTGCATCGAGTGATAATGTACATTACGCTACTGACCTCGAAAATGTGTTATCGAAAACTAGAAGGTAGACTCCGGGAGTGGAATCCTGTATTTCACCCTTAACTGCGCGTTCATGGGAGTTGTACTGAGACAGTGGAACAACGGTCTGTAAAAAGAGAAAAACACAAAAAACTTTTTAGATAATCCTAAGGAAGCATTTTTACAAAGAAATTAAAAAACACCAACAAATGAAAAGACGCTACTCTAGAAATCTCTTTGTTGCTGGTCCCAGTTGTTCAAAAGGTGGAGAAAGCTAACCACTGGATAAATTTCTATCCAGTGGAAAATACAAATGTTTTTCCTAGCATTTCCCCATTGGACAGTGATTTATCCGGGGCAAAGCGCTGTCTAACTGTGGAACAACTCAGTCCAGACCTCTAGCGATGGACTGACTCTACAATGATGCATATAAAGCGGTCTTAATAACAGTATCGTAAAAGAAAACAAAAGAACTTCACTGGCCAATCAAAATACGAGTAGGCACTTAGATGAACCAATGAGATCTCAAAGCAAATTTATACATCAGGTGCAAAAAGCGCGGGAAAACAAGTGCCGTAAGTAGGCATTGGTTTCAGTCCTTACTCTTGATTGGTTCAGGAAGTGGTGCGAGATTTTTTCAGCCAATCACAAGTACGGCAATGCTAAACCTGGACAACCGGCCACGTAATTACTTTAGAGCTCGGATTAGTACATCGTACAAAGTAAAGACAAGCATTTGCAAATTACTCGATTTGGTGCCCTAGTTTTACACGTAGGTAGTACGGTACAACTATCGCCTAGTTCGCAGACTTCTCTACGAGAATTTTTGGGCTTCTGAGCATCACAGATAGAGAAGCGATAGAGGTCTGGGTTAGAGTAAATGCCTCTTTTTTCATGATTTACTCTCTTCCCAGTCCCCTTCTAGCCATGCCACTGAGTCTTGCCCCAGGATTATGATGAAAAAATCGTGAACAGAAGAGAAAGAGCTCAGTTTTGTATTAGCGTTTCGGATCAGTGAACTGACGTCATTGACTGAGTAAATTTTGTGCAATTTACAAGCGTACCTACTTACCTGGCGATAACAAAAACAAGCTCGTTAGCAAATTACACTGGTAAAAGTTATATTAAGCAGTGTTAAATAGATGTCTGTTCGCGTTGTATGTAATAAATCTGTTTTACCTTACTCTCAACGTCCGTACTTCTCTCCGACTTCTTAAAAGCAACCCCAAAACGTATGCTCTAAATAAAATGTACAAGAAAACTGCGTTAAAAGCCTTTCACAACTGTTCCGCTTAATGGAGGTGGGTGGCAGGGCTATCCAGGGGCTTTCACTTTAAGCAACCAGCCCTCTCCCCCTTGATAGAGTAACACCCCCCCACATAATTCCCCAATTTGTTTGTGTTTTCTTTCTAATTTTTTCCATCACTCTTCCTGCCGTAAGGATCAGTTTACTGTTTTAATATCATAGGTGACGAATTACTTCTTAATTTTGCGCGAAAACTTAGCGTTAATTTGTAATTTCACACGTGAAATTACAAAATTATCATGGCAACCTTCCGTGCGTCTCAGTGTCAAGATGGCGACGAAGTTTTAAAAATGCCGTTAATGAAGATGTCAGGGCACAAAAAGACGCTTTAGAAAACCTGAACACACGAAAGAACACATCAAGAAGGATTCTAACAGGTATTCTGTCGAAAAATTTTGAAAATTCTGAACTTAAGCCAAATTTAAGGTCTAAACATTTGAGAGAGTGGAGTTCTCGATCGATATGATCCAGGATAAACATGTCAAAAATTCACAATTGCTTACGTAATTCGTCACCCAGGCCATGATATTAATAGGTAATCAAATGGTAGACTCGTGAAATTAGGGAATAATTTCACGCGCGTTTTGTCCAAATCCAACTAATTTCCCGTTCCCTCGTCACCATTTGATTACACAAACTAATTTTAAAATTCACACCCCCATGGCTTGTAAATCCGCAGCCCCACGCTAACGGAACCAGGCACCTGTCACACGAAATAGACTGGGTCGGTGTTGTTTCGAATTGCATTATGGGACTGTTTCGGGGGTCGAATTTGGACCCAGTGTCCTTTGCAACGTCGTGATAGCCAATAAAACAAAGGCAACGTCTTCAAAATAGTTCCATGGTGCAATTCGACACGACACCAGTCCTAAAAATGACCAATGAGCTACGCATGTTTTTACCTTTTTTTCTGTCGAAAACTTCCAAGACAACGACGCCCTTGGAGTACCAACCATCACCTGAATCAGGTGACGTTTTCCGGGGCTGACAGTTGCATGCCAAAACGCGCCGGGTTCCTCATTAACCGAAGGTATGACCAACTCCTCCCTGCTGTCCGACTCGCTCAGCACAATCTGGGCTCCAGGCTGCTCGCATGCATATTCGCCGTTGGACGTGTCCACAATTTCATACTCCTCGCATTCCTCCCTTTGCTCTACTTCAGGCGAGGATCGATCACTTTCTTCGTCTGAGTTCTTGCTATCTGTCACATTCTTGGCGGTGTTGGGCGAATTCAGAGAATTTTCTTTCACTCCAGTATGGTCTGTTTCGCTGTCGCCGATTTCGTTCTCGCCCGTGTTGTTCATGCTGGGTTTAACAGGTGTAGAGGAAGACTGGGGAGGATCCGGGTGACTGCTGCGCGAGGTACTGGGACCTAAAGGGTGACCATCATTGATACAGAATAGAGACCTTTAGATTCGAGTACGAGAACGACTAGAGTACGAGATCTGATTGAAAGTTTTTTGGTGTAATTTCAAAAAATAGACACCCCGGAATTCTTTTATTGTACTTTTTTTCACCAGAAAAGTTAGCACCGTTATCGTTGAATGACAAGAAAAAGAGTGACCCTCTGGTCCTCCAGGTTGGGGGTTGGGCGTAAGGCTTATGACCCTGCTCCATAAAAAACACTAACTGTTACAGAAACCAGAAGCGTTGATAATGAGACAGCACTGACTGGGGGTGTTGCTGCTGGGGCTGCAATGACGCTTTTGGGTCAAAGCCAGCCGGAAGCCCAAAGGCCGACAGGCCCATAGTAGCCCCCAAGCGAAAGACGATCATCGGTTGCTGGAACGTGAGGACCATGGCGGAGACAACACGATTGCAGCATGTTAGACTATCAAAATCAAACACGCTGCAATCAGCTTGTGACCAAAAAGGCAACAAGAAAGTTTGAGAGCATAATTATAACGTGCCGTTAGAAACTGTCTCGCCCACAGGGATCTCTCCTTGACCTTATGCGGTTCAAATCGCATTGGAAGCTTACGCAAAAACGTTTTTGAGCGACGCACGTCAACCGGAAGTGCAAGGGCCTCAATTCCAGTTGACGTGCGGTTGGTTAAGCTCCTTATAAGTGGACGCAAGCTTCTTGCATTCCTTTCATGATGCCCCCGCGCCCTGTTTTCCTTCGCTTTGGCAGCAGCACCTGGGGACAAGCCAAGCCTTATTTCAGTATATAATCCTACCAGGCTGTGTGGTACTGGGTCCTTCATCAGCGTCCAGTCCTCCTGTGTCACTTAGAAAGCTCACTCTCCGGTCTGACAGCCGGTCACTGGTATCTGATCTGGCGTCGTCTTCTATCCACTGCGACACTCCCGCATGCTTGACTTTAAGTCTCTGCTCGAAGCTAAAACACTGACGGCACACTCGACGGAGTTTCCTGAAAACCAATTAAATCAAAAACAAATAAACAAATAAATAAATAAATATAACTGGATTTTTGAAAACCGGGTTAGCAAAAATGTCAACTCATTCTACTACTTGGCAATTTAAAACAATTAAACTCATTCAAAGGCCGATTAAAAGCCTTTATCTGACTGAGCTACGAAGTGGCAAGTACTAAATTCTATCTCTTTTACTTTAAATCAAGAAACCAAGACGAGCATGTCGCCCGGCTGGGTGACCTGGACAATATTTTCAGTCGCCAGAGGCCACGTCTTAGTCGCCTCAGGCGACCGGGCGCCGTAACTTAGAGCACAGCCCTGACTTTGTCCTCCTCTACACAGTAAACTTACTTTTCCCCCATTTGCTGACGCAGTATCTTTTTTCTGCTTTTGCAATCCAACCTGACTTGCGCGTACTTCGACGTTGCAGCCAATAAAAATCACACAATTTTTCGGGAGGGGCACGGGATACGGGAAAGTTAAAAAAGCAAGGCAATGCTTGACTCCCAAGAAAAATACGAAAGGAATGCGCTACCGAATTTATGACGCTGGCTGACTACGTCGTCCCGCGTGATGAGCAAAAATGTAAACAATGACGTCAGCAGAGATTCGCCTATTACTTAACACGATTGTGCGCCCATAAAGTAAGGTTTTTGGATCGTTTCACTTCGCTCGCCTTTTGCACCAGAGTTAGCTTTGTAATCTATACTGATTACCTACGACCACCGTCCATAAGCCTCTAACTCAAGTTACAATTGCCATTAGATCGAAATAAGCCTTTTCTTTTTTCAAAATACTCGATACGTTCGATTCCAGCTCGGTATTACATACTTTATTTTCTAACGTCAGTGAGCTGGGTTTCAAGCCTTCTTTTTGTCAATGTTGCAATGTCATGTATGACTTACACAGTGTCATTTTTAATATAGGACCGATATTGGATTATTATTAGACCATTATTGTTACGGTTCCCGCTGATCAAAAGTGGAACTTAACCAAGTCTACCGATCCAGTTACCTGCTGTGTGGAGTTTGAATCCAGTTGTCAGAGCAATTGTAACAGAAGATGCGGCCACACATTCTACAATGATGCTAAGGAGGAACAACACGAAAAACAGTTACCAAACGCTAACGTGCACTCCGATATCATTTGAAAAGGTTCTGGCAACAATGATGCTGTCACAGTGAGGAACAATCCCCATTCCCAAACCCTAAAAACATGGGTTAACCCTAACCAAACGCGTAACGTGCACTGCCGATGGGAATGTTTTGGGGACATTTGACCCATAAAGGCAACTGTCTGAACAGTTCCATACCCTCACCCAGCCCCACCCAGTCTCGACCTCGCCCTAGCCCTTGCCAATATGGAAAATCTGCGAGCCAAAATCAATTTTTTTTGTTTTCATTTTCGACAAAGTTACATATACAGCACGTCACTCGCAGTTTCTTTGATCTCATCATAACTATGATCTCATGTGTGTGAAATTTATCCTTACGTAAACTGAAGAAGTGATGAGAACGCAAGCAGTACAAGGATAGTGTTCTCGCATGTGTAGCTTTGGAATTTAAGGTGAAGTTGGTCCCTTAGTTTTGACTTGCTCTACTACAGTTCTTTACAAAACAAACCTTTCTTAAGAGGAAGGTAAACTCAGCATGACAACCGAGGCAGTGCGACGCCTCACTATCATCCATCCATCTGTCATCAGCTTTAACTTTGATTTCATGCTCCATAGCGTCTGCTTTCTGCCACAACTCCGCTTTTTCTCTTCAAAAAGAAATTTTTGTCAGACACAACTAATTTAGAAATCTTTTAACACTATAACATATTCAAAATTTCATTCGTTTGGATCTTCTTCCCTTTGCCAGCAGGATTGGGCTCCGTCGACTTTCGCCGCTCTGTTGAGTCCGGACTTTATTCCTCCCCGAAAGGAGATTGGATGAAATTGAAAATGGTAAATTATTCGCCGTCTTTCCAGCGGAGGAGAACAGGCTCCAAATTCGTTCCCAGCGTCCTCTCCTACTCGTCCCCTCTCTCGGTCCAGGGGGACAAGTAAGACAAGACCCTGGGAACGAGGTAGCGCAGGTTCATTTCCCAAACCGCGGCTGGAAATCGAGGCCTACATCAGAGAGACCTGGGAACGAGGTTGATACCTCCCATTTAACAAGGAAACGAGCACTTGCAGCACTGATAAAAGTAATTTACAAGAAAGAATAAAATGATCTCATACTTTGTAACCTCGACAAGCCTGCTTTTCAACTCTTCCACGTCCCCTTTAACCGCCTTGATTTTGCTTTCGTATTCTTGGTCTTTCAATCCTTTTGCTTCCTCAAATTCATCAACTTTTCTCTTCATTTCCCTTTGTCTTGATCGCTCTTCCTCCAGCTGCTTCGATGCCAACAACAGTTCGTTCTCAAGCGCACGAATCCTGAGCTTGTTTTCGTCGGATCCACTTTTAAACTGCTGGACCTATGGTGTTTTTGAAGGAAGAAAAATAAGGCTCACGATCAGATTTCACGTTAGTTCCATCTATAAGAAAAACACGCAGGCTCTGTACGCCCTCCACCACGGCATATATTAGGGAGCTTAAGCAACTACGACGGCGAGGGTACCGACAGCGAAGTCGCGAAAACGGATCGAGAAATGTCACGCTTTCCTCCCGACCGTGGACTCATCCAAAAAGGGCAGTTAAAAAGTCAAGGAACAGGCTAAAACTTACGTGTCCAAGGATGTCCACACACACAAACACCACATTATTTTTCTCTAGAATCAGGTTAACCCTGGGGGACCGTTTACAATGATCGCTCTAACAAAAGTCGTCCACAACGCGTCTGGACATGATCTGTACTCGCAATTTTTCCACGATGATTTAAAAACAGACTAGCCTGTGTCAGGCTCTCGGTCAGTGCAGACGAGCGAAGAAAGTGGGAGAGCAGTGAAAAAGTGAGCTGGCAAAAAATTGCGGGAAGACAAAAACATATGAGGCTATTACTAGTACTAGTACTCTCTCTTTCCCAATTCTACACGGTTTTCGCGCAACATTTCTCGATCCGCTTTTCCTACTACAAGGTTCGTACAGTTTTTGGATGCAAAATTCATGACTTTTTCCAGTGTTTTTTCTAAACATAGTTTCTTTTCCAGACTCAAGGTTATAGAGACCTTAAAAAACACAGGAACAAAGGTTTTTTCATGATGAGTTGCAAACGTACGGGTAAGATTGAATAAGATTCCACCAAAACCCAAAACTTCCACTCATAAAGCACTTGCTGTGGCTTAAAAAAAGAAAAAAAAAACTCAAGACTTTTTACCATTTTTCAAGACTTTACCTCTATTTTCCGGACTGTTTCCAGGTCTGGAAAATTGCTAAGCAAATTTCAAGACTTTTTTAAGAATTCAAGACTCTGTACGAACCCTGCTACTATCTCGGGGCCTGGAAAAGGCTACAGACATTGGGACTCGAGCGGACATATCATTATGCATTTCTGGGACACTGCCCACCCACCCCTCCCTTAAGCCAACATTTTGCCCTCAGTGAGAAGTAAGTGTTAATGTTGGCTTAGGGGAGGGGTAGGTGGGGACCGTATAATGATTCACCTGGTGGATAGGGGTAGCACTACATGGGGAACGTATCTGATCACTGAACTGACCTCGTTTCGAAGGTGTTTTATTTCTGACACGTATTTATGTTTGTCATGTTGGAGAGTGTCGTTTCGTTCTTTGAGTTTCGACTCCAGGTCCACAATCACCTCTTGCTGCTCGGTAAGGCGTTCTTTAACGCTGTTGTACTCCTGGATCTGATCTGATAAACTCTGCAAACAAAATCAAAATGTAACTAAAATGTAAAAGCTCGTTCGTTAAAATCTTGAAAATAATGTTCATTTCAACCATTCCACAGCACCAGCCTCAGTGGAGTTCAACTTACTCGTCAAAGCAAACCCCTGAAGGATTCTGGTCGTAATAGTAAAATGACGTCATCGTGCAAGTAGCCTATTAACGCAATCCTCTGTTCTCGCCTCCCCCGGGGGGAGGGAAGAGGGGCAAGGCATTATTTTTGACATGCTCGAGGGACGGCGTATCAAGTAATAAAAAGAATGGGAAAGACATAAACTACAGTTACGGAACTTTATTTCTTGTTTTGGAATAAAACAATGACCGTCTGTAACTTGCACGGCACCTCGATCAGCGTCTTGTACTTGTATTCGAAAGACAATTTGGTCGTTTAACTATGTGGGGGTGGGGAAGAGTAAGTAGGGGATTGACTAATTATGGTATAATAACACAAACAAGGAAATTCAGCGGCAAGGGTATTTATGATGTTCACAACTTCTGACATAATATTCAGTATTTAAAGAAAGCAAACCGACATTTTTCGTTAGGGAACCATCATACGAAAAGCTGAAATTTGCAGTGAAAATTGGGCGATACTTAATCTCGTTATTTTCTCACCTTGAGTTCTGTTTCATACTTCATTGTCTCTGAACTAAGCTGAAATTTGAGCGCGGCAATCTCCTGGTCCATCATGCACCGCAGGCTTTCCAGCTGTTCCTGCGCCTTGACCTGGCCTTGCTCCGCGCGTATCCTTGCCTCGTTGGCCGCCTCCAGCTGTTGCCTAGCAACATCCAACTCATCCTCCAGACCGATTCGTTCGTCTTGACAAGCCAACATTTTTTCTTCTAACGTTCTTACTTGACTGTCCAAGAACTGTTTCTCACTATCCATGGTCTGAAGCGTTTGTGTGATGCTCGCTAATTCTTTTTCTAATTCGTATTTTGACTCTACAGTCTCCTCAAGCTGTTCTTTCAGAGCCGCCAGCTCTTCTTGAGCACTCAGTCGGAGTTTCTCTTCATCTGCTTTGCGGCTCTTTAACAGCGTCAGTTCATTGAGAGCTTTGCACTTCTCTTCCACAATCAAAGAGATGTTGGAGTTTAGAGACAGCTCAGACTCCTTCAGTGCAGTTATTTTGCTATCTGTCTCTACTTTTTCCTTCAACGATGAAAACGTGTAGAGATTAAACAAAAAAATAATAATTAGTGACGAAGGTCCTCTACTCATTTCGAAGAGCAGTCTGGGTTCTTTAACGTTCCAACGAAGAATAGTAAAAGAGCTGTAAGACAGGGTCTACGATTTTCCCTTCCTTATCGAAGAAGACCAGATTATTTAACCATTTGCAGATATCAGGGCAAATGACGCACATCCTTTTCAATAAGTTTAACATCCTGAGTGTTGGTCCGGCCGGTAAAAAGCGCACTTTATTTGAGTGTCAATGTATTTAGCACGAAAGCACCAATTGGGACACTATATTTTGGACCGCCATTTTTACGTAATCATCCGAGCCACGCGAAAGTCTAGCCATTTGCAGGGCAAAGGCAGCACCTCCGCATTTCTCAGTCATTTTTAAGACCCTGAGTGTTGGTCCGGTCCCGGGAATTGAACCCACGACCTTCCGCTCCGCAGTCAAGCGCTCGACCGACTGAGCTAATCCTGCCGCGGTAATCAAGCTCGGGCCATATTACTGGTTTGACAGTCTGTTATTTAACCCTTTTAAACCGATATCGACATACAAACTCTCCCTGCATTTCCTTAAGAAACTGGTTGAGAGAATTTGGTAAATAGAGGATATTACATGCCCGCGCGGAGATACGAAATTTCTCTTCGGTTGGCGCGCGAACGAGTGAAATAGTTTTCAACACGAGAAGAGAAATTTCGTATCTCCAAGCGACCATGTAATGTTCTATTTATTATATAAACACCACTGAAGTACCAAACCATTTCACTTTAATAGCTTTTTGCTGTGAAAGGCGCGATTTATTATGCGCCATAGCAACGGTGATCTTTTCACAAGGGATTTCATATGTGAAGATATCATGTTTTCGCGCGAAAGCTCACCTGGTATTTCACGGGTGTTAATATAATAAAAGATCAAACCGCTTTCCCTTGGGGGATTATTTTAATAAATTCTCATAATCTTTTCTCTTGATGACGTATTGATATCGTTAAGAGCAAATTCAAGTTGATCACTCTTGGAAGTTAAAAGGGTTACCAGAGTAAACAGAGTAGCGGTCTGGGATTAATTTAGGTTTTTGAGAAACTGCCCACCTACCCCTCCCTTAAGCTAACATTAACACTTCCTTCTTATTTACGGCAAAATGTTAGCTTAGGGGAGGGGTAGGTGGGCAGTTTCCCAGACACCTTAATTGATCTGTACATTACCATTTCAAGGAGTTCCTTTTCTTCATTGATGAACTCGATTCTTTTCCTAGAGCTGTCAACTTCTTCGTTCAGACTGCAAACATATTCAACTCAAAATCAGTTAAATGCCTTCGGCATTATTTGCATGATGATTCCAAAAAAAAGATTTGCAAAACACGACGTGGCACGAGCGCACGATGCTTGTGGAAAATTCCGCGTCATTTTAGCGAGAAGTGTTAAGAAGCACGGAGTGCGAATTAAGTCTCCAAAAAATCGACCGAACCAAATCAAGTGACACTTTCCGGATAAACGACGACTTCAGAGAATGCGTTATAGTGTTTTTTCTTTTTTCTTACAATTTACCACGTAACTTACACCTGTGTTGAAAATTACATTACCAAACAAAAAAAGAATTTTTTGAATGTGAAAAACTCATGAATACGCACACTCGAAGCAGGTGAACAGGAAAGACAAAAGCTAAGCTCTGATTGGTTTAATCAAATAGCGCAAGTTTGTACAGTGAGAAGGACATCTGTTTGTGATTGGTTACATTCTGCACGGGGACTGTCTCGCACGTGCCACGAGTGTACGTCCTTGGCACGGGAAAAGCACAGGAGTCGATGACTGTGCCAAATTTCTCCGCATTCAAACGTCTGTGGCGTTTCTTGATTTAGTTAGCAAAATTTCATTCACCACTACGTAGGGTGGATTCATTTGCAACATACGCGTATAACTGTCGCATAAGCCCACTGGAATTTTTTTACTGTTTTTAGGCTTAAAAACAATAAAAAAAATCCAGCCGGCAAATGCGACAGCTCTACGAGTATGTTGCAAATGAATCCACCCGCAGCAACGGCGGCAAAAATCTGACTATAAAAGCGCATCGTTGCTGTTTAAAACTACATCGCTCTTGTTTCATCTCGTTCAATTTTATAAATGTTAGCGAATGTTTCTGGAGTTGAGTTCTAAAAGTCTGTACCTAACTTTAGAAAAAGAAAAGAAAAGAAAATTGTTGTCTTCTGTTCACGTTCTGCTGAAACGCGATATTAAGAAATTTCACTTCGTAGTCGTGCAACGATGGCAAAGGAATGTACAAAAAAGTGTGATGCACGTGCAAAGTTGTTGTTTTGCTGTTTTGTTTTTTTGCCGTTCTCCTTGTCGTCGTCGTTACTTAAGCTCCCAAATGGCGCCGACTGTAACACCAGTTTTAACCTCCCACGCCAACGTTCTTCGTTACTCGTTCCTTATGGGAGGCTACACCAATTTTAGTTCTGAGACACTTAGAACTTTCTTTATTAGTACACTTTTTAAACGTTTAGTCAATGAACAGCATATTGGTAATAATTTAAAGGAAGGTTTAAAACATTTTGCAGCGTACGCGTTAAGCCGTCGCATTTGCCCTATGGACTTTTTTCTTATTTTAAAGCTAAAAAAAACACTCGGAAAAAAACTCACATCACTTGCGCGTGCAACCTCGTTCCCAGGGCTCTCCCCTTCTCGTCCTCCGGAGAGAGAGGACGAGGACGAGAACGCTCAGGGGGACGAGTTGAAGGGAGCCCTGGGAGTGAGTGAGTGAGTGTCTCTTAACTGCATGCCACGACCGTCAAATCGTGGATCTAGTACAGTTTATGGAGCGTTTTTTGCGTTTCGATACAAACTCAAGCAGTGAAATTGCACAAAAAATTCGATCACGTCAAGTAAAGTTTGCAATTGAACAAGGAAAAGATGTTGCGCGAATAATCTTCGTTCTTTAAGCCAAGTACGTGAAACTATTTACACCTCGAAGGAATTAACTTGTATCGAAGCGACTTGTATCGAAAAGAGTTTGTATCGAAAGACTCCGCTGGCAGGATGAACTAAGCCCCTTTAAAGTGTCAATTAAGAGCTCATATTACATTTTTCTACGTACCATCTGATTTGGCATGTTTTCCTTTCGATGCTACCCTGCAGCTCTGCTACGTGTTCCTCGAGTTGTTCCTTCTGAGCGCTTTTTTCGTGCAGCATATGTCGAAGGGAGGACATTTCTGATACAAGATGCGTGACTTGCTGAAAAGAAACGACACGTGTTCAACAGCACGCCGTTAGCAGTTCTTTTCTAACTCTACAACCAAAGGGGCGCATTGCAGATAACTACAGAAGAACTAAGAAATTCACAAAGCATTTCATTCTCTGAAGGTTTCTTCCCACAACTAGTCAAGGAGGCAGAAGAAGAATTTCTAACTTCCTTTTTTGAAGACAAAACCTTGTGGTGCGACCATTCACTTGAATTTTCTTAAGCCGTGGTACTTTCATTTGATTAGCCTCTCAAGCTGGGATTTCGTTCCAATTTTCGCTCTGGCTTATCTACCTTAGGAGTTACTAACCAAAGGGGAACATTTGGTCTTTGGCGCACACACTCAAAAGTTAGAACCACGGCATACGCGACTCCACCACTCACTCTAAGAGGGAAAGGGTAAATGAAAAAAAATTTTGGAGTGTTTTTTTCTTTCGTGTATTTCAACTTAAGCCACCCTTTAGAAATTTGCACCATCATACAACTTCATTTATCCTAGCAGGAGGCAGTGTGGCCGAGTAACAAAGGCGCCGGAGGTGCCCGGTTCAAGTCCCACTCTGGCGATTACCGGTCGTTTCGGTACAAAGTCTTTTCGCTACAAGTCTCCAACTACGGGAAGAAAAAAGATTTTGGAAGGATTTCACGAAAATATCAACAACATAAACTCAAAGTATGAAGAGACTTAGCTTTTATTATGATGGGAATTTACTCTCGTCTGCAGCAAAACGAAAAATGTTTTGCAGCAAATCAACAGACAACTTCATGATGCAGCGAAACGACTTTACAACTTCGCTGCGAATCGACTTGTAGCGAAACGACCGGACCCCACCCTGAGCACCCGCTGGATTTGTTGATGATTGTCCCGAGTTCAAATCCTCGTCCACTCTTGTAAACAGCTAACTGGTTGCCTCCTGCCTTGCCAGTTGCGGTTTTTGATCCTGTTATGTTATATTTGAATTATTTGTTTCCAATAAGTTGAGTGGAGTGCCTGTAAACTGGCTGGATAAGTAAAGCCAGTCGCAGGTTTGTTTGAAAAGACGCAATCTTCATGCGTTTTTTTCCGAATGCGTTGACATGATTTTCTTTTATCTCACCTTCAAAACTCCTTTCCTAAAATCTTTTGCTCCGTGCCCATCTGTCTGATCTTCAAAATCATTTTGTTCACCTGCATGTCCGTTCTGTTCATTACTGTCTGTACCTTCATGAGTTTGCAAGACTTCGTTCAGTTCTGACAAAAATCTCTCTTCTTTTTGCGGTTGTGAACTAAGCTGAAGCTTTAAATCTTCAACAACGGTTTGCAATTCATTGTTGGAATTTTCCATTTCCTCAGCCTTTGCTTTTGCATCCGCAAGTTGATTATTTAACTCTCTATTTTGCTGCTGAATTTCCACAATATTTGTTTCAAGTCTTCTGTTCTCCGCACTTTGATTTTCTAGTCCCCTTTCCCTTTCCACCAATCGAGTCTTCAACTCGGTCTCCAACTCTTCGAATGAACCGAACACCATTCCATTCAACTTTTCAAACGACTCCTGAACTCGTTCCAAAACGACCGCTTTCGCTTTCAATTCTCCTTCCAACTCCGCCACTTTGTTGTTGGATTCCACTTTTGACGATTCAAACTTATAACACTTTTCTTTAAGTTCTTTAAGCTTTGTTTCTAATTCCAAAGTTATTTCTTCCTTGTGCTTTAATCGCTCTTTGAACTGTTCACACGCAGACGATAGTTCAGTCTGCTTTCTTTCAGACGTCGTTAGTTGTCTTTCAAGTTCAATGGCTGACCTTTGAGCTTCGTGTGACGAAACTATCGAGACCTTTACTTCTTCTTTAAGCATCTCTATTTCCCTATCTCTTTCACTTAATGCTATCTCAGCTTTGCTTAGCTTAGAAGACAACTCCTGGACTTTTGTATGCGCATCTTCAGTCATACCTTTCATCAAAGTGCTATATTTTTCATTTAGTTGCTTATTTTTCAGTTCGTATTCTTGACTTAGGAACTTTCTTTCATCTTGCGCTTTTTTGGCCTCATTGTGAGCCTTACTTAATTGCGAATCTTGCTCCGACTTCCATTTCAAAATCGCCTGGTGGAGATGAGAGATTTCTAATGTCATTCCAGTGATGGTGGGAGGCTCTGCAGACATTGAATCAGTGTTGTGAGTATCATTGGAATCACTCTCTACGTTATCTGCAAGTTCATGAGAATTTTCCGCCATAAAAATGCTTTTCAGTGAAGCGACTTCTGAAGATAGGCCAACCAAGGGATCTGGCCTCTCATTCTGCAACAACAACAACAACCACAAATTTTGGAAATCAGCACAACCTACAGATTAGTTTTTAAGGTTTGTTATCTGCTAGATGATAACCGTCTAGTCTGTTGGTTTCTCTTGTATTACATGATGTCCAAGAGCAATGTCAAACTGTGCTCCTTGCGACAGTGTGTTTGTATTAAAACCAATGTATAATTAACAATTATTTCAAACCAGCCCATGAGGGCGAGAGGAGTAATTGTTTAATAAAACATAACTAGTTGGTCAAAAGATTCGAGAATAAAAAAAAATTTTAGGTAAAAGCCAGACTTAATCCCCGCCAAAATAATCAAGGGGTCATATAGGTAGAGTAGCTCAACCAATCAGAACGCAGCATTGATAATAGACCACTAGTTGGATTTTACTAATAAAAGATATATTAAATTCGGTTTTCGTGATACCCCGAATAATCAAGGCGTCGGTAAGTGTTATCAACTGAAACCAACAACACTTCTGTTGTTCTTGAAAAACACCTCATCCATTATTTGTTTATAAAAATGAAGTACTTTTTACCCTTAAATCAACGCTAGTAAGACTACTGATGCTGCTCCTTCTGCCGGACACTGAACCTTGACTTTCATCAAAAGATCTCCTGAAAAATTAGAGAGAAAAAAGTAGCAATAAATAAACAATATTAGTGACAGTCTACAGCATTTGGCGCAGGAAAAAACATGAAACGGCCATATGGTAATTGGACTTTGCCTTTGGAGAGAGGGATGCATTGTACTAAACAGTTGTAAATCTATTTTTCCTTGTTATTCAAGGACTCACAACATAGCCTAGGAGTTCATCCATTACCATGTATGACCATTGTGCAATTAATAAAAAAGGCATGTTCTGTAAACTCTTTCTCTCCCAAAGTGAATGATGGAGTCGTCTGGAAGGTGGTTCTAGCTTTTGGGTCTGTGAATTCAAAGATAACCTCTTCAGCAGTACTTTCACATGGTACAGTTCTACTATTTATTTAGTATGTTTTTCTAACTTTTAAGTCTGTGGTCCCATGGTTTCACTATTCAAATGAAACCTCTTCAGCAGTACTTTTACATGGTACTATTTATATAGTATGTTTTTCTAACTTTTGAGTCTGTGGATGAAATCCTATGGTGTTACCATTCAAATGAAACCTCTTCAGCAGTACTTTCACATGGTACTATTTATTTTTCAGCATTTTACAAATGAAATTTGGAAATATTGTTGCGTTTTAACTCTTGGCCCTCTTTGGGAGTGAAGGGTTAAGCACTAGGCATGATTATTAACTGGCTTGTTATTCAGCATGAAGACACTTTACTTGAATTTCTCTACCATGCAAAATATTTATTTAAATCACTTAATTGTAAACTGAAGGTGAACCACAATTTTTTTGTTGTCTTTTTTGAGATAATTCTGAAGTTAAATCAACATTTTGGCTTGTAACCTCGCGTTTTTCAGTAAAAGTAAGAAAACAGAGGTTAATATTAAAAGTGGACTCTTGATTTTACTTGACAGAGCCAGTTAAACTAGTCAAAACTTCAACTTGGAGTTATAAATTAACCTCAGAGTAACCCAGAGAAAGAAGGAAACTTGTGTTTTTGAAATAAGTGGTGCAAGTTTTAAAGATATAACTAAAGGTTTAGTGCATAAATTTCCTGAATTGCAATCACCTTGAAAATGCTGGCCATGAAATATCCAGCTCATGTCCAGCACATGGCAAATCAAACTCAATGTCATTCAAATCATACAGCTTGTTAATCAGTGCTGTTGACAGCGATGGATGGCAGAGAATTGCTTCAGCTCCATAACATGAACTGAAATATAAAGCAAACAGAGTGTGACAGTGGAATTTGGCACACAGTAAAAGTTATCCTTTATTTTCTGTCTGATGATGTATGATCATAAAACAAAGAAAAATAAGATTAGGCCAGTTTCAGAAAATAAAATTTATATTTGACTTCAAGGCTAAGGAGAATAAGACAAAAAAAGAATGGATATATTTTTTAGTACGTATTATTCATTTCTGAATTCCATGACAGGGCTTAAAAAAAGTTTACAGCTAGCACTGGTCAAGTTGCCCAGTCAAACCTATTTTTGTTCGAACATTACCCATTTTTAGCCAGATAAATATCTAATTATCTCTAATAAAAGACCCTCCTATCCTCTCCATCCCCACGCATGCCTGAGAATCAAACAAGTATATTACATGTAACTAAGCTCATTTTGTTTATGAAACGTTGCATTAAAAGCAGAAAGTATGGAAAACACGATACGGCGGCCCCTCTGGGAAAAATGCAGCATTAGGCTAAATTGAAAATAAAAGCACTTATAATGTTGACTTGTGAATGCCAACTGTTTCTTCAGATATATTCTTCTATTCTTTAGTTCTTCTTATTTGCTGCCAGTTTCAATTCATTACCTTCCAAAATCATCTAGGATTATCACACTTCATGGAAAAATCCAAGCGGACTATAAGAATAATTGGCGTACCGCTACACATGCTACTCCTGAATTCGCAATGACTTGATGGATGACAACGCAATAATTTGCAACATCCAGAAATTAAAAAATCACTATTATGAATCATTTAATTGACAAAATTCTTGATCTGGTAATATCTTTCTTTCCCCCTTTTGTTTCTTCATGAATAGCAATTATGTCCAACCTTATCTAAAATCAGCAGTTCCCAAATAATTTCCATTAGACGCATAAACTACCGGGCAAAGTGTCTGGTCATCCAAGGATTTGACTGGACAGAACCTACTTTTGACCGGACATTGACTACTGACCATCCATTATTTCAAGACCTGCTGAGAGAATTTTTTCTTGAAGGAGATGGGGCAATCAAGGAAAAAGGAGAACATAAATCACTTTAAAACATAAGCAGCAGTACACCTACCTCAAATGTTTTCTCATTACCAAGCATCTCTGGATTGCATCTGCCAGTGATCTTTTTACTAGTGAATAGCGAATAAATGCCCTGCCTTTACCTTGGGGTGTTTTAACCTAGAGATCATAACACAGGAAACAGCGTTACAAAAAGTACAGAAGTTATAAGGGGTAATGTACCATGGAAGTAACTCCATCCTCAACAGAAATAACCAAGTGAAACCTCTTCAGCAGGACCTAGTTGTTGCTTGTACAGTATTGCTTTACAAAAAAATTAATTCTGGACAAGTTTGGTTCAAGCTGAGTTTAAACAAAAACTCAAAACAATAAAATCCAGGAAGATGACACTAAAGTTTTGTGATAAAACTAAGACCCCTTACACACAAATCCAGATACATGTATTTTTGAAAACAAGGATTGCTTTCCTCTGTTTTAGCCCATTGTCCACAAGTAAATGGCATTTTCAGGTACCCAAAAAGGTGACATATGTCACAACACACATGCTCTCTAGTGGATCCTATTGATTTCCATTGTTTTACCCTTTTTGTATGTGTGGACATGACTTTTTTCAAAGCAGAAAATACTCTTCATTTTCAAAAATATCCAGATATGTGTGGACAAGGCCAAAGATTATCTTACAGTGTAGTAGTCTCCCAAGGGGATAACCAGGTGCTACTATAGCACAGCCCTGCTCTTCACCTCTAAATAAATAAATAAATAAATAATGATCTGGAGGTACCACATCCACATAGTGGCTCTTCGTTCCTGGTCGAATTAGAATTTGGAAATGTTGGTTTTGAGGAGAGGGGAAAACCGGAGTACCCACAGAAAAACCTCTCGGAGCAAAGGAGAAAACCAACAACAAACTCAACCCACGTATGGCGTTGATTTGAACTCCGCCACATTGGTGGGAAGCGAGCACTCTCACCACTATGCCATCCCTTTGCTCCTTCACCTCTAATGCCGATCTGCTGATCTGCATACCCTTTCTTTCTCCAGCTAGCACAGGCATATAAATACAGCTTGGAATCTCACTTTTTTAAAACCTGCCGGGAGCCTGGAAATGGCTGCAAATAATTTTTTTCTTTAGAAAGGACAAATGTCCTACTAAGACACCATCTTGGTCAGACAAAACAAAATTTTGGTTGGACATCACCAAAAAGTGGTTGAACTTGATACCTGGTAAAATAGAGGACATACCACACTAAATGATGTTTCATGGGTTTGAGATTGTCTTAACAAAAAGTACGATTTACTCAAGGTAGTTTTTTATTTTTCCTTTAGCTATCGTAAAATGATTTAAGATTAAAAAGATTCTCCGGACATAATGTCTGAATACAGAACACAGGTGGGACTTCTTGGGACACTAGCAGATTTTTGTCCAATGACCGTTCATTATCTGCTGCCCTGCTGGAGGTTTTTTAAACTGGGATAAGACTACAGTGCTTGGCCACAGCTTGAAAGACCCCTTTGGTTAAAAATAATCAGGGGAGGAAATAACAGACAGGAAAATCTGCATTTTACTGTCAACATTTTACAAGTAACCAGAATAAAAACATGAGTAACCTGCTTTGATATATTAAACAAACAGAAATGTTTACCTGAGGTACAGCGTGAACAAATCTGATTCCATCATCCTTTGGAATGCAGTCACTGATAAAATTCCAGTAGTCTTTTCTAGCACCAAGAAGAGAATACCTTTCTGAAATATTTAAAGAAAGAAATTATGCCATGAGCTTGCCCCGTACAACAAGATATATAGGTGGGGATGGGAGGTGGGGGTGGATGAGAGGATAAACTCAGGGGAAAGGGGGTAGGGAAAGAGAAGGTAGTTTGCCAACATCTTATGACAAAAGACAGCTGAAGGAAACAGGAAAGTTTTGCAACATAAAACACTGCAAAGAAGCATGAAGTCCACCTAATAATTTTTAACCGTAACAAGGCTTAACAATAATTCTCTTAATTAGGCAGGGCGCTGAAGGTAAAACTTTTATACCTGGGGGAAAAACTTTTATACCTAGGGGTAAATAGTAAGCCTGATAACCTGAGAACTAACAATAAAAGAGCAACCTTCTTTTTAAAAGTTACTAATTCAGATACCCATTTTGCTTTCTGTCCATTGAGTCCCCCCTTCAGTCTTAATACAGTGTCAGTACGTAGAGGCAGCAGAGCATTTTGAAGCAAGGGGGAGCTCATCTTTCACTCAGCAATATGCATACCCCTGCTCAGATTTTCCAAAGTGCCCTTTGCATTGTTCATTGGCACAAGCAACTGAACCTGTTTGCAACCTACACAGAGGGAGGTTGCCCATCTGAATTTTAAAACATCTCGTGTCGGTGTTTATAGATGCTTGTCGCTTATTGTCAGCTCTGCCGTCACTGTCACAATTTGGCTGAGGGAGGTTGTCTCTTGTCGCGATTTCATTTTACGCGCTGTCACTACTTTTTGGGCCATGTCGCTTGTCGGAATTTACCCTGGCAGGGCCTCTTCACAGTGTCTAGTGTGTCTGTAATCAATTTGTGACAATCCATCAGTAGGCAGTTGCTCAGGTGGTCCTACTTCATGGCTCTTCTTAGGTAGTACTTGAGTCATCTGAGGGCAGAAGATATGCACTCCGAAGTTGCCTATGTCCCAGGTATTGTCAAATACACCTTTAAAAGTGTTTTTCAGGACCAAAACGTGACAAAGCTCTGTCCCCCCAAGATTTTGTTTGTGGGGCTAATGATCCTCCTGCCCCCCCTTGCTCCGCCACCTATGTCAATACCTACCCTTTTGTTCATGTCTCATAACAGTTTCAAGCTTAACACAGAACTTATGAAGAGTTGTTTCATCATCTGTGATGGCCCTCTGGGATGTCTGGTAAATATTTTTCAGTTCAGTGATGTACCCTACAAAGATAGACAAAAAAAAAACAAAAGTTACAAATACTGTCAGAGCTGTCATTAGGAGGCGGGGGCCGGGGATTTTCCCCGGCTACTTTCAAAGGAAAATAGCAGAAAAATAGAACCAAAGGAAACCCCTAGCTGTTTGATTCCACACCTACTTCCTGTTGTATTTACCCACCAACTTGAAATCTTAGGGACAGCCCTGACTGTATTGTTATTAAGTTAAAACTTAAGGCTGTGATAATCAAATAAATTAGTGTTTGAAGAATTTTCAAGCTGATATCAGGCCGTAAGGGGTTAAATAAGTACCACAGCTCTCTATAAGAATGCGATGTTTGGTTAAAGAAATTAAGAGCTCCAATACAGTAAACTCTCTCTTAGTTAGACGCTGATAGGATCAATAGTAAGTATCATCCACCTCATAGTGAGTAAAGGACAATAAGTAAAGACCCACAGGGACCAATCCTAGGTGTCCATTTTAGGGAGGTGTCTATCTTATAGAGAGTCAAGAAAATGACTGAAAAATGGCAGGGACGAACTCTAGGTGCCTCATTTAGGGAGGTGTTCATCATGTAGAGAGTCAAAGGAAATGACTGAAGAGTGGCAGGGACCAACACTAAGTATTTATTTCATGGAGGTGTCTATCTTATAGAGAGTCAAGAAAATAACTGAAGAATGGCAGGGACCAACTCTAGGTGTGTGGTTTAGGGAGGCGTCCATCATGTAGAGAGTCAAAAGAAATGACTGAAGAGTGGCAAGGACCAACGCTAAGTATCCAGTTTACGGAGGTGTCTATCTTATAGGGAGTCAAAGAAATTGACTAAAGAACAACAGGGACCAATTCTAAGTGTCCATTTTTGGGAAAATCTGTTTTTTGGGGTGATTGGGATTCAAATTGAGATTTTGAAAATATTTTTGCCCAGATCTGATTCAAAATGGATTTTAATACCATCCAGTACAATAATAAAATTGCAGTGGAACGCGAATTAATCCATTTTTTGTGCCTGGATTTTGGACTTTGCATGTAATTAATATATTTTTGCCCGGATTTTGGATTTAGGGCAAAACTTTAACAACACATTTGGGTAATAAATCATAAGAGATCGGCGGATTTGCATACCCCCTATTCAGCCCCCTCCTTATTGAGGTGTCCATTAAGAAAGAGTTGACTGTTATTAAACTAAAAAATAGAGTGCAAAACATAAGCTTTTTCACCTCATTAAAATAAATATTTTTTGTTTCCTGAAAGAAGAAGTGTAGGATTTATTTTTAAAGTATCAAGGTGCTTATTTGAGTACACTTGGTGGGGTAAAATTGGTGGAGTGAGTGAGCCAGATAATATTCATGAATGGGGGAAGGGAGTGTTGTCCATTCTCTGGAGGCTTTTTATAGAGAGATCTTTGCCCTGGAATTTTTACGCATTAACTCAAGTTTCTGATAAAATAGATTTAGCAAAATATTGCTATTTCTTATAGTATCAATTCTTTATGCAGCCTAACCATAATCACCTTAACTGATTGACATTTCCGAAATTCAAATACTTGCTTATATTAACATGAAGATGTCTATTAGGGCCCGTTTACAAGGAAGTAAGGTAAACCACCTGTCCATATAATGTCTCATATGGTCACCCCACCTATCATGTAAACGTGATCAAATTAAAATGAGAGATTACATGGACAGGTGACATGGGTTACCCCACCTTAAAGCGGGTTACCTACCGCCACGTAAACAGGCCATTAAACTTACGTTAATGATTCATCACACATAGAGAAACCTGCGAGTCTTAAACATTTCATTATGTGCTTTTGCGAATATTCCATCTGCGCACAAAAAGCTATCAATAATGTGTGAAGAATATATATATATTATTCACGGCTTGATGATTTTATCACGCAAAGTTTTGAAAATACTTACCGACTATATCGCTTATCAGTCTAGCTGGATCGATTATAAACGCCTCCATCGTTTGATCCCGCTACGTGGCTGACTTCGCAAAGATCAAATCATTTTGATCAAAATACAAAAAGAAGAAAGTTATGCGAAGTCCGCCATCTTGAGGAGCAAAGTCACACGACGAGTAATCACGAGGACAGTGAGGACTAGGTTCTAGAAGCTTATTTTCTTCCCAGATTGCATTGCGCGATGATTCAACATGGCGGAAAGGTTCTAGAAAGAAGAATTCACTGATTCATTGCAAAAGAAGCCTTCTAACGCGTGATCTACATTGAAACGTGTTCAGTATTTCGATGGTGGGTGGATAGAGGTCCCCTGGTTGTTCTTGGCACTGCAGAATTTAGGATAAAGAAGGCTAAATATGGCAAATCATGAGACAAGTGTTTCGTCAGTTTCGAAACCCTCTCCGGAAACCTCTGTCATATCAATCTATAAGATGACGAAAGGATCTACCATGCTTAAGGCTAAACGTCATGTAAGGTCAAAGTAACCTTTAGTTATGGTTCTAATTATTAATATGGCTGTTATTTCCCAGGATCGAGCGTGCGTTGCCTTGTATTTTTGCATTTGTGCACATCTATAAATTTGTGGTACAAGTATTTGCTCATCTTTGCTCAACTCTGCTTATCCTTGCGGGATTTTGACAAGGGATTCACTGATGTTATAGCAGTTGGAATCTTTCTTACCATAGCCTCATTTCTGGACTAGAAATTGTTTTCTTCAAGACCTGTTGAACTCCTTTTTGAGCAGCCTGTGTACAACCGCCCCCTTGAGGGGTGGGGGGGGGGGTCTGTACGGTGACAAAGGCTATTTTTTGGTACTTTGCCACCTTTTTTGTACTGGCACCTTGCAGAATGCCACTAGATAATGGTACATGTGCAAAGATAGAATAGATTTTTGGTTATCTCTATTTTATATTCATTTTATTGATACAATTAGTTTTTAGTTACAGGGCATGGTAGGGAAGGGGTGCAACTTCCCCCCTTGCATGGTCACTGTTGGGGGCAATTCTACAACTACAAAAACTGATACTGAGAATTTGTATTAGAGCACTCTGGGAGTGAAAGGGATAAAGAGAGGATGTAGTTTTGTTCTTGTAATTTTCTTTTTTAAAGGTTAAATGTGAATAAAGAATGGTCATTGACTGCTAATCTGCGTTAGACCCTTATACCCACTCTGAGACTGTACTCGCATAGAGTCAGATCCCTCTAAGTTGGATACCACTGGGGTTGGCACAAAGTGTCCCAAGATGTCTGCAGTGATCAATGAAGAAAAACAATGAAGAATTGCAGGGAGCAACTCTCAATCTAGATTAGGAAAGTGTTCATAATCACCCAAAGATTGTACTCATTTATCTAACCAGTTTTGTTTTGTCTCAAGAGATTAGTTCTTTAATGATAACTGGTTTTTCCCTTTACAATATTACTAGGGAACACCTCAGTTCAAGAGATTTGTATTATCTCGAGGTAAGATAGGTGGAAATAAATTCTGAAATTTAAAATGACATGTTATCCTTTTACTTTTAAATAAGCATACATTGTATTTCACTTTATATTCTTTCCCATACTTGATTGTAGATCTTTCACATCTTCACTGGGGATCACCTAGAAAACAAGAAGAGAAATCTGGTAGGGTTAATGTTAAGCTGTAATATCCACATACAAATTCTCCAGCCTAATCGGACTTCCATACATAATATCCTTGAAGAATTAGTGAAGAGAATTTGTTCAAAGATCAAAGCATTTTCTAGTAGATGATCCTTTCTTTAAATAAGCCTCATAATATTTTCCTCTGATTTTTTAAACATTGTATGGATATTGTTAGGAGAAATTTGATGCTGGTCAGTCTTATGGCTAAATAGACTCTGAAATTAGCCTGTTTCTGGTTCTCAGTTAGTTGGGGTGAGCGAAAAAGAAAACTGAGCATGAAAAAAGAAAAAAAAATGGCAACCTCCTTAGTCCTTCCTTTTCTTTTTTTGCAGAGCAGGAAAAAAATTTTATATAATATGGAAAGAATTTTCTATTCTTCTACCAAGCAACAAATTAATGTGAATGATGATTTTGCTTCATTCCATGCAGTTTTAACTTCACAAATAACTCAGTTGTTGAAGGGTCAAGTATCTAAAGGATTTGCAAGTTGTCCTGTGCCACAAAAAGAGGTATAAAATGCAAAAAACTGCAATGTGACTGTACCACTGGAAAAGAGACACAGCCCTTGTAAATATTTAGGTCTTTTTGATGTAATCTGGAACAAAGTACATGTATATGTTACAGGTGAAAATATTATTAAATTCAGGTGAAAGTTTTTTAACATACCGGGTAGGTTGATTCTCAAGTTCCTTTATGTCTCCTAACCTAATCCATGAATAATTAGGGCTAAGAGACAAAGGAAATATAGAATCAACCTAAACCTGAAATCAAATTTGACCATGTACGTAACATTTGTTAACTGCAATCTTAATACCATTGTTCAATAATTATTAAAAATGAGGTTCATGAGAATACAGTTATTTAATAAAAATCAGTGAAGAATTCAGGAAAACAATGCAAGGCTGTGCTGTGAGAAAAATTTGTTAGGGAGCCTAAAGCTCCAAATATTTGAACTCCAAGATGTTGAACATAAACATTATGCACCAATGTTTAAGGTTGCCTTCGCTCTAGAGCACAGTCCAGCACAGGGCTCAAAAAAAGTTCCATCCAATAGTCCAGGACAAGTACCGGCAGATGCTCTTACTGCGCAAGTGGGCTAGAGTCCAAGCAAGTCTTCTTCTAACTATTTATTATTTAAGACAAGCAACAAGTGGCCTGAGACAAGCGAAATCTGAGAGGCGCTTGTCCAAAGGAGAAGCTAGAATTCACATTTTCTTTAGCCATGCCTGCAGTACATATATACTTCTTGTGGGATTGAGCATATTCAGTCTGAAATAATCCTTGAAGTTTTTGAATCACCTTCCTTAGCAAGCTTTCAAATACAAGCTGTCTAATTTAGATTTCCCAGGGGTCAACTAAAATTGTACTCCATTTTCTTTTCAGTCCATCTCTTTCTCTGTGATCTATAAGATTGGCAGAAGTTTGCATAGCGTAGATATTGTTTGTCTTGATAAACAGCAGTACGACGTCTGGACAGTTGGAATCCAGGTAATGGCACTTTTGATCTTTATTTTTTTATAAATAGCATCTTACCTGTATATTTCTGTATGATCCCACACATGGCACAGGTTTATTTCTTTGAATTATTGATAACAAATGTTGTAAAATATTTCTCAAATTACAGGCTCTGATCAATGGCTTTAATGACAAGAAATCTATTGATCATTTGTATGAAAGTGGGGGATTAAATGACGACTCTGATGGTAAACCAATGCACGGAACTGATGAGGTAAGGACACTGTTAATGTGTGTTAATACTGTTGCTAATCTATTTATCACTTGATACAGTATATGAATTGAAAATAATTTGTGTAATCTATCTATCTCGGGTGCACCCACACTGATTTGATGAGTCTGTCCCATTCCTGTCTGTTGGCCATGACACATGAAAATTTCTGCCTTGTTAGCAGAGTATCAACTCAAGAGCCTAGATACTGAAAATCGCCCTCCTGTTTCAACTTTGAATTATCGTCTAAGTTAGTAATAAGGTGCCCCGAGGTTGGAGGTTCTTTGTGTAAAATAGAATAATTATATATTATTATTCAACACAATCACACATGGATAAAAGTTGTTTATTTAATAATTGTTACACTGTTGTCATGGGTTTTCTCCAAGACATTAGCTATGTTGCTACTTACAGAGTATGCAGTGTATGTTATGGGTGAAAATTAAAATCAGGTTAAAATTTATTAAGCTAACAACAGGTTGATTCTCAATTTCCTTTGTCTCCTAGATTCCTATGTCTATGTTTGGGTCTGGTGGTAAACCATACAATGAAGGTATTCCTACATCTATAGTGGCCCATATTATTATTTAGGGGTGTAACGATTCATATTCCTTGCGGTTCGATTCGATTTTGATTATTGCCTTTGGATTTCGATTATTTTGATTCGATTGTGTAAATGTTTCTTAATTCTTATAACATAATGCATAATGTAAACAACATGCAACCCTAAACCCTCAATTTGAGAATAGTAGCAGGGACAGGAGGATTCACAGTCGCTTGGTTCGTCGCCATGTTTGAGGACCTGACAAAGAGCGTGTCGCACATAGTTTGCCATATTTGGAAATTCTCAAGGAGTGGTTGAAGGACAGCATTTTTATCGGGCAACACAAAATGATGCACAAAATGCTATCATCTTTGCTTGTCAATCATAAACGCACAATTCAAAGTGTTCTGGAGGACACCCTGGAAAAAGTGTGCAAAAATCGAACCAAAATCGAAACTTGGAAGCAAAGAATCGTGAATTGAACCAAACAGTCATAATCGTGATTAATCGAGAATTCGATTAATCGTTACACCACTAATATTATTGCTAATGCATGACACAGTGATCAAATCTCACAAAAGCTCAAACTGGCAACATAACATGTGTGTTATATCATTTTTTAAAATCCTTTATGGAAAATTTTTAAGGCCTTGAAATATTTTGTCATGGGATCTTTTGGGGGTGAGTTTTTGGTCTAGGGATTTTTTAATTGGAACCCCTAAGAAGTTTTGTGGGATTTGATTTTCGCCCCCTTTCAGTCACCCCTGTCACTTAAAATCCAGAGTACGCCCTTGGTTGGACTTAGAAGAGTTGGGGAAATGGGGCCTAGTGTACTGGTATAATTAAGACAGGGTTCGTACAGAATCTTGGATTCTTGAAAAAGACTTGAAATTTCCCCGGCAGTTTTCCAGACCCGGAAAAAGTCTGGAAAATGGAGATTAATTCTAGGAAAAATGGTAAATAGTCTTGAGTTTTTTTCAAAGCTACAACAAATGCTTTAAAAGTGAATTTTTTTTTTCATTTTGGTCGAATCTTATTCAATCTTGCCAATATGTTTACAGCGCATCATGAAAAAAGCTTTGTTCCTGCATTTTTAAGGTCTCTTTTGATCACCTGTTTGATAACCTAATGAGTCTGGAAAAATAAGTTCATGTTTTGGAAAAAGTCTTGAATTTTGGATCGAAAAATCTGTATGAACCCTATTATTAATCCATGTTGCAGTTTGTAGTAAGTCGTGTTTGTTTGTGCTTAGATGCTTGTGACTTATACATGTGGGGTGATGGTACCACCGGAATGCTGGGACATGGCGAGAATGGAGAGGAGAATGTTCCAAGATCCGTAGAAGCATTATTATCGAAGGACGTTTGGAAAGTTGCTTGTGGAGTGACGCATACCATTTCCTTAACAAGTAAATTGCATTTTGTTAAGAATTGCTGCAGCTCATTGTAGAAGGTTAATAATATGTAGATATGAATTTAAAATTCCCTCAGTGCTAACCTGTTTACTTCCTAGAGGGCATGAACAGTCTTCTTTGTTGTAAAACACTGAAAAAAAAATCAGAATGCTTGTAAAACACCAACCATAGTTTCAATATTGTTGTTGATTTGTAAATAAATGCCTTTTAAAGGGACTATATTGACACTATTTGCCATCTTTTCATTTCCATGCTATGCCTACAGAATCACCAAAGAATTGTCATGGTTGGTGTTCCCTCATGAAAGTTTTGTGATATCTTCTTCATAACTCCATGGCTGTGCTGTAAGGAAAATTGAAGGGAGCCCAGTGCTCTGAAACTGTGAAATCTAGGGTGCCCAGCGTATGATTTGTATGAAAAATCTGAGATTTTCTAGTCACCTGAGGGCAAAGTTAGGCGCCAGGGACCACTGGGCTCTGCTAGAGTACAGCCCTGAACTCTACAGGAGTACATGTAATTCATGGAGTAATTTATGGATAAAGGCACTAAAAATAAGTTAATTCATTATTGACCTAAACCAACAGTATCCTCTTCATGTACGCCCTTTAACTATCTTACTATCTGTTTTGTTCTTCAGGTGAGGGAGAGGTTTTCTCTTGGGGATCAGGGCTTGGTGGAAAACTTGGACAGGGACATTTAAGAGACAGGTCATCACCTCTCAGAGTTGCCGCACTGAAGGACAAGAAGGTGACAAGTATTGCCTGCCATGAATTTCACTCTGCAGCTGTTTGTGGTAAATAGATGCATCTTCACATTATAAGTCAATACAAAACCACTACAAATTAATATTAATAATTGTAAATTCTTGTAAAGTCCTCAGTGTTAATCATGGTTCTTCATCCTGCCAAGATCCTGGAAAATTTTTGTCTAAGAACCTGTTTAAGATCCTACAGGAACCTATAGGATGCTACTGGCTAAGTCCTACCAAGATCCGGGAAAAGTTTGTCCAAAATCTTGTTTAAGATCCTAGACAAAACAAGACGATTAATATAAGACAAGGATTTTATTTATACCACACACACAAAAAAGACATTAAAAAAGACAATACTACTTATGTAAAATAAAAGCCACCTAAAAAATAACCTGAAAGCTAATCTAGCTAGGAGGCATATTTTCTTACAGAAACATAACACTAAGATGCTGGAACATTTTGTCCCAAATCCAGTATAAGATTCAACAGAAACCTATAGGAAGCTATTCAGTTAGTCCTACCAAGATCCTTTTAGGATCCTACTGGAACCTATAGGAAGCTATTGAGTTAGTCCTAGAAGGATACTGTTTAGGATCCTACAGGAACCTATAGGAAGCTATTGACTTAGTCCTACCAAGATCCTGTTTAGGATCCTACAGGAACCTATAGAAAGCTATTGACTTAGTCCTACCAAGATCCTGTTTAGGATCCTACAGGAACCTATAGGAAGCTATTGACTTAGTCCTACCAAGATCCTGTTTAGGATCCTACAGGAACCTATAGGAAGCTATTGACTTAGTCCTACCAAGATCCTGTTTAGGATCCTACAGGAACCTATAGGAAGCTATTGACTTAGTCCTACCAAGATCCTGTTTAGGATCCTACAGGAACCTATAGGAAGTTATTGACTTAGTCCTACCAAGATCCTGTTTAGGATCCTACAGGAACCTATAGGAAGCTATTGACTTAGTCCTACCAAGATCCTGTTTATACTAAATTATTGACTTAGTCGTACCAAGATCCTGTTTAGGATCCTACAGGAACCTATAGGAAGCTATTGACTTAGTCCTACCAAGATCCTGTTTAGGATCCTACAGGAACCTATAGAAAGCTATTAACTTAGTCCTACCAAGATCCTGTTAAGGATCCTGCAGGAACCTATAGGAAGTTATTGACTTAGTCCTAAGAGATACTGTTTAGGATCCTACAGGAACCTGCTATTAACTTAGTCCTACCAAGATACTGTTTAGGATCCTACAGGAACCTATAGAAAGCTATTAACTTAGTCCTACCAAGATACTGTTTAGGATCCTACAGGAACCTGCTATTAACTTGGTCCTACCAAGATACTGTTTAGGATCCTACAGGAACCTGTAGAAAGCTATTAACTTGGTCCTACCAAGATACTGTTTAGGATCCTACAGGAACCTGCTATTAACTTAGTCCTACCAAGATACTGTTTAGGATCCTACAGGAACCTGTAGAAAGCTATTAACTTGGTCCTACCAAGATACTGTTTAGGATCCTACAAAAACCTGCTATTAACTTGGTCCTACCAAGATACTGTTTAGGATCCTACAGGAACCTGTAGAAAGCTATTAACTTAGTCCTACCAAGATCCTGTTTAGGATCCTACAGGAACCTATAGAAAGCTATTGCCTCAGTCCTACCAAGATCCTGTTTAGGATCCTACAGGAACCTGTAGAAAGCTATTAACTTAGTCCTACCAAGATCCTGTTTAGGATCCTACAGGAACCTATAGAAAGCTATTGACTCAGTCCTACCAAGATACTGTTTAGGATCCTGCAGGAACCTATAGAAAGCTATTAACTTAGTCCTACCAAGATACTGTTTAGGATCCTACAGGAACCTGTAGAAAGCTATTGACCTAGTCCTAGCAAGATACTGTTTAGGATCCTACAGGAACCTGTAGAAAGCTATTGACTTAGTCCTAGCAAGATACTGTTTAGGATCCTACAGGAACCTGTAGAAAGCTATTGACCTAGTCCTAGCAAGATACTGTTTAGGATCCTACAGGAACCTATAGGAAGCTATTAACTTAGTCCTACCAAGATACTGTTTAGGATCCTACAGGAACCTATAGAAAGCTATTGACTCAGTCCTACCAAGATCCTGTTTAGGATCCTACAGGAACCTGTAGAAAGCTATTGACTCAGTCCTACCAAGATCCTGTTTAGGATCCTACAGGAACCTGTAGAAAGCTATTAACTTAGTCCTACCAAGATACTGTTTAGGATCCTACAGGAACCTATAGGAAGCTATTAACTTAGTCCTACCAAGATCCTGTTTAGGATCCTACAGGAACCGGTAGGAAGCTATTGACTCAGTCCTACCAAGATCCTGTTTAGGATCCTACAGGAACCTGTAGAAAGCTATTAACTTAGTCCTACCAAGATACTGTTTAGGAATCTACAGGAACTTATAGAAAGCTATTGACTCAGTCCTACCAAGATACTGTTTAGGATCCTACAGGAACCTGTAGAAAGCTATTGACTTAGTCCTAGCAAGATACTGTTTAGGATCCTACAGGAACCTATAGAAAGCTATTGACTCAGTCCTACCAAGATACTGTTTAGGATCCTGCAGGAACCTGTAGAAAGCTATTGACTTAGTCCTACCAAGATACTGTTTAGGATCCTACAGGAACCTGTAGAAAGCTTTTAACTTAGTCCTACCAAGATCCTGTTTAGGATCCTACAGGAACCTGTAGAAAGCTATTAACTTAGTCCTACCAAGATCCTGTTAAGGATCCTGCAAGAACCTGTAGAAAGCTATTAACTTAGTCCTACCAAGATCCTGTTTAGGATCCTACAGGAACCTGTAGAAAGCTATTAACTTAGTCCTACCAAGATACTGTTTAGGATCCTACAGGAACCTGTAGAAAGCTATTAACTTGGTCCTACCAAGATCCTGTTTAGGATCCTACAGGAACCTATAGAAAGCTATTAACTTAGTCCTACCAAGATACTGTTTAGGATCCTACAGGAACCTATAGAAAGCTATTGACTCAGTCCTAGCAAGATACTGTTTAGGATCCTACAGGAACCTGTAGAAAGCTATTGACTCAGTCCTACCAAGATCCTGTTTAGGATCCTACAGGAACCTATAGAAAGCTATTGACTTAGTCGTACCAAGATCCTGTTTAGGATCCTACAGGAACCTGTAGAAAGCTATTGACTTAGTCCTATCAAGATACTGTTTAGGATCCTACAGGAACCTGCTATTAACTTGGTCCTACCAAGATCTTGTTTAGGATCCTACAGGAACCTATAGAAAGCTATTAACTTAGTCCTACCAAGATCCTGTTTAGGATCCTACAGGAACCTATAGGAAGCTATTAACTTAGTCCTACCAAGATACTGTTTAGGATCCTACAGGAACCTGCTATTAACTTGGTCCTACCAAGATCCTGTTTAGGATCCTACAGGAACCTATAGAAAGCTATTAACTTAGTCCTACCAAGATCCTGTTTAGGATCCTACAGGAACCTATAGGAAGCTATTAACTTAGTCCTACGAAGATCCTGTTTAGGATCCTACAGGAACCTATAGGAAGCTATTAACTTAGTCCTACCAAGATAAACACCGCGGCAAAACGTCTACGCATGCGCCAGGTTGAGCATTTCCGGTCTCTTTTTCAGTCACACTTTCCAGTCAAAGTCTCCCGCGCGCTTCATTCTGTGTGCAGCTTGTGGTTCAGTTGTTCTGCTTTATGCTGCTCGTGTTTTTGACTATTTTGTAGTTATTGAAATTGCTTTTATGGATAACCAGGCACAGATCACTGAAACAATTAGTCGATTAGATTCAGAAAAGGTAAGATGATAATAACTCAGTGTGTAATTTTGGCTAGAGCGTCAGGTAAACTGATTTTCATTCACGAAAATAAAGTTTTTGACTGTTATTTTTCACTTAACCTGGCTGAAACTAAGACATAAAATTAAAACGTTATCATTGCAAGCTTGTGTATTGTAATTCTAATTTTCAGTTCTTCAGTTTCTCAGTCTACATGTGTTAAAGCCGATTCAAACTTTATTTGGAAAACGACAACACACAATCGCTTTGTAGTTTTGTTTACCAGTGGGTTTTACCGTGTTTTCTAACGAAACTCTTCTGGGTTGATTGCCATGAAACATAAGCTTAATTATACTGTTGAGCCGGTTGGCAGCAAGTTGACAACTCTATTTATTTATTTTTCCATTCTCAGAATCAGAGAGCGAAAGCTGGTTCAGTGGCTTTTAGAAGTCGAACTTTTCATGCCATGTATTTAGCAGCTAGAAGTTTCGTGTTTGCATGAGATGCAGCCGAGCCGCACAGTCTGAAATTATTGAAGTCTTCAACAAAAGAACAACCATGTAAAAGAATTAAATAGGTATTTTCTTGAATGAAAGTCATTTATAGGCATGTTTAGTTTCCCGGTGACTGCAGTCATCAATGTCAAAGTTGTTATTAAATCCCGCCTATCTTTTGTTTTGAGTTCTTGTTTTTTCTGATAATAAAACAAATTATTGAACGGACTAAAATTTTATTTCCTGGTTTTAGTGTTTTTTATTGAATGATGACGTCTTTATTTTGGTTTCTTTCATAAGTATTGTTATTCTTTTCTTAGTTGTCGCCTTCTCCCAAATTAACTTATGCCAAACCAGTAGCATGCAAGAAAGCCAGTAAAAACAAATTGGTCTTGTCGAGCGCTCGCGACCTGCAAACTTCAAACATCATTTTCACCGTTGGTGCAAACAGATAACCATGTGGTGCAAACGTTTGAGAATAGAAAAATATATAAGCTTTCGAATGAAGTGATTTTTTTGGCCCCCTTTTTTGTCTGTTTCGCCCTTTTTGCTTTTAAACTTGGCGCGACGGCAAAGTTATGCTTTCGCTATTGGTTTATATACTAGACCGGAAATAAAAAGCTGACCGGATATTAAATTTTGTGCTCATGCGCATTGCGTTTTGCCGCGGTGTTACCAAGATACTGTTTAGGATCCTACAGGAACCTGCTATTAACTTGGTCCTACCAAGATCCTGTTTAGGATCCTACAGGAACCTATAGGAAGCTATTAACTTAGTCCTACCAAGATACTGTTTAGGATCCTACAGGAACCTGCTATTAACTTGGTCCTACCAAGATCCTGTTTAGGATCCTACAGGAACCTATAGAAAGCTATTAACTTAGTCCTACCAAGATCCTGTTTAGGATCCTACAGGAACCTATAGGAAGTTATTGACTTAGTCCTACCAAGATCCTGTTTAGGATCCTACAGGAACCTATAGAAAGCTATTAACTTAGTCCTACCAAGATCCTGTTTAGGATCCTACAGGAACCTATTGAAAGCTATTAACTTAGTCCTACCAAGATCCTGTTTAGGATCCTACAGGAACCTATAGGAAGCTATTGACTTAGTCCTATCCCACCAAGATCCTGTTTAGGATCCTACAGAAACCTACAGGAAGCTATTGACTTAGTCCTAGAAAGATACTGTTTAGGATCGTACAAGAACCTACAGGAAGCTATTGAGTTAGTCCTGCTAAGATCCTGTTTAGGATCCTACAGGAACCTATAGGAAGCTATTGAGTTAGGCGTACCAAGATCCTGTTTAAGATCCTACTGGAACCTATAGGAAGATATTGACTTAATAGTTGCACCAAGATCGTGTGTAGGATCCTACATGAACCTAGTCCTGTTAAGATCCCACAAAATTTTTTCCAAAATCTTGTTTAAGATCATACAGGAACGTTAGGGACTAGAATGTAACACTCTACCCACAAAGGCTTGACAGTTAAACATACAGGATAGTAAAGAACAGATCAAAAGAGTAACTGCTATTAGCGTTCACAGTTAAGAACTAAACTGCAAAGAATTCTTTTTTACTTACTGAAATCAGGATAAGCTTGTGCAGGGTGTCAGTGATGAAGTAGAAGATTTCTTTTGCAATGCAACAGACCCAAAGTTTTCTATCAAGTTACAAAACATGGCATAATTATTTATCTGCCACAGAGGGTTGTCAAAAATGTAAGTACCCCACACCCATTCTTTGAATCACTCTCACACGTCTTTCTGTTGTAGGACTGGGCGAGTTATTCACTTGGGGACAGGGTGGACCAAGACTTGGATACGAAAGCGAGAAACGAAAAGAGGTCCTACCAAGAATTGTTGAGGGACTTCAAGAACACAGAGTAACTGAAGTCGCCTGTGGACTTTCCCACACTCTTGGTAAATTATATGTCGCTAGGAAGATAGTTATTTTAGGTGTAACAACTTTCTGAAAGATGGTATGAATAACTTTTCGTTATGGCGTGACAATACTATAGAGGATTGTGTAATAGTGGTGACAGCTACTTGTATTCTTTGGTAGAGGGCGTGACAGTTTCCCCCTGTTGTGATATTAGGGACCTTACGATCCGACGACGGCGACGCCAGTGGCGACGTCGCTGAAAAACAGACTTTGCGTCCTTTCAAACGTTTTCGTCCTTATACCAAGTCACCCAGTAAGAGTTACTTGAAAGTAGGGAAATTAGGTCGAAGCTGAAGAGAGGGGAACGCGTCCGAGTTCAGAGAGAGATGGTAAAATTTATTGCCTTACCGTTCCTGTTCTCTAGTCGACTTAAAATTTGATCATTTCACGTGGTAGTTGTTCAGGGACGGCAAAGAAATTTGCAAAAGAGCTTAATGCACGTGCAGAGTTTTTTTTTTTGCTCCCTAAAGCTATTGGGTCAGTTATTTAAACGGAGTTTGGCCAGTTTTTAACAAAACCGCGTTCTAAGTCTTTTTCAGTTCGCCCAGTGCTCTTATACACCATTTATCTTGAAAAGTTTCATTAAAGCGCGAGGCGTAGACTGGAAAAGACCTTATTTTCTCAAAATTACCCACTAAGGAAGATATCTAGAGGTACAAAGACTTGCTAAACCGCGGCCTAAGTTAGGCCTCGTTTAAAGAACCGACCCATTGTGTTTTAGGCGTTTCCGTTGCTGTCGCCGTCGTAGTTTCCTAACGTTCCTATTGTGACAGTGACGACCGCTACATGTTCGTAGTAAAGCTTTCTGTTCATACATTTCTTCGCTTTCTTTGGGACAAGTTAGCATAACTCAGACACAAATGCTATCTTAAAATGACGATGTTTGTTCGTGTTATTCGTCTTTCAGTTTGTACAAGAAATGGTCAGTGCTATGCTTTTGGTGATAACACATACGGCCAGTTAGGCATACCAGGGATCGCTTCGAGCTATGAGCCTGTCCGCTCTCAAGAACTGGAGAGCTTTCATATCTCCTACATAGCCTGTGGCTCTAATCACAGCGCTGCTTTATCTGGTTAGTTTTTTTTATTCGTGCTAATTTCTTTTACTTTTCAAACTGATCTTTCCCCCGCGCACAAATTGCCAAGAACTGCATCGTTCAATCTTTCATTTAATCTTTAACCCTTTTACTCCCAGGAGTGACTAAAGTCAAATTTTCTCAAAATTTTCAAATTCACTTTGTAAAATGCTGAAAAACCAATAGCACCGTGTACAAGTACTGACAAAGACGTTTCGTTTGAATGATAGCAGACCATGGGATTTCATCCATGCACAGACTCAAAAGTTAGAAAAACATACTAAATAAATAGTACCATGTGAAAGTACTACTGAAGAGGTTTCATTTGAATGGTAACACCATAAGATTTCATCCATAGACTCAAAAGTTAGAAAAACATACTATATAAATAGTACCAGGTGAAAGTACTGCTGAAGAGGTTTCATTTGAATGGTAACACAATAGAATTTCATCCACAGACTCAAAACTGAGAAAAACATATTATATAAATAGTACCATGTGAAAGCACTGCTGAAGAGGTTTCATTTGAATGGTAACACCATAGGACTTCATCCACAGACTCAAAAGTTAGAAAAACATACTATATAAATAGTACCAGGTGAAAGTACTGCTGAAGAGGTTCATTTGAATGGTAACACAATAGAATTTCATCCACAGACTCAAAACTTAGAAAAACATACTATATAAATAGTACCATGTGAAAGCACTGCTGAAGAGGTTTCATTTGAATGGTAACACCATAAGATTTAATCCACAGACTCAGTTAGAAAAACATACTATATAAATAGTCCCATGTGAGAGTACTGCAGAAAAGGTTTCATTTGAATGGTAACATCATAGGATTTCGTCCACAGACTCATAAGTTAGAGAAACATACTATATAAATAGTACCACGTGAAAGTGGTGCTGGAGAGGTTTCATTTGAATGGTAACACCATAAGATTTCATCCACATGCTTAAAAGTTGGAAAAACATAGTATATAAATAGTACCATATGAAAGTAACGCCAAAGAGGTATTATTTGAATGGTGACACCATCAGGATTTTGTCCACAGATTCTAAAGTTAGCATCACCTTAAAAGACTTCATCATTCTTTCTGGCTGTGAAAGGGTTAAATGATTAAAAAGAATATCGTCTTTAGTAAGATTTGATTGAGGTAGATGGAGAGTATACTACCTCTCAAGACGAAGTAATAGGATGGTAATAAAAAGTTGCGGAGGTAAAGACTAAGGCTACGGTTCACACGGCAGCGGACGAATTTTCCACCGGTTTAAAATAGGTGCGTTTAGGTTTTTCGTTTACAGGGAAGCACCTTAACCGTACGAAAATTTAGAACCCTAGCGGTTCAAAAATTGGAGCGACTCAATCGAGAAAAAATTTTCAGCGGGAAAGGTCTAAACAATTACATTTAAAAAAATGCACCAAGAATCGCTCATGCAAAGAGGCGATTTTCCCATTCCTTTGGTTTTACTGACAACTGCTTTGACAATGGAACCTAATCATGTGGGTTATACTTTGCCTTGTCCATGTACGGCGTCTTTCCAGACCTTCCTGGTCAGTGCATTTCGGTGACGTATCCAAGACGAAACTCGCTCAGACCACGTGACCAGAAACGCATAGGCCTCGCGGAATATAATATCTGAGGTTCCTCAAAAGGCACGTTGTGTAGTAACACAGCTGATAGCTCACAAACTGGTCACCACTTTGCTTCGTTTAATAACTGATAGTTTCATTGTATCATTTTCAAAATTTTTGAAACTTTGATCTTGAATGCAAACTCGGCAGACATAAAACAGCTTTCCCGAAAAACGGGCCAGTCATGGTTTTATTTAGTTTGTGTTTTTTCACTTGTAGATGGTGGTATGGTTTGGCTTTGGGGAGCCAACCACTCTGGTCAGTCGGGATTAGAGAATGTTGACATTTCATCAAAGCCAAATCTTTTGTCTTCATCAGTAGAGCTAAGGTAATCAACTCTGCGGATACGATTTTTAGATTATCTGGTGTTAAAATACACACGACTACCGCAGAAAATCTGCGCCTTTTTTAGGCGATGCCGTCGGTTGGAAAAGACCCTGTGTGATCTAGGTGATTTCCTGCTTTATAAAGCTTTGTGCTTGGAACCGGATAAACTTGAAAAATAGTCTGCTTGTTAACGATTCTCAATTACCTTGATGATATTGCTTGAGTATAGTTTTTCACTATCGGATTTGAAAATCGACTATCAACTGTCTCTCTTGATTCCTATTTAGCCGTTCGGCTTTCACGTCTTCTTCTTTTCACTGTTTCAAAGGTTCTTGTGACATTGCGCATTACAGTTATTAGTTCTAGACTTTTTAGGGCGTTATCTTACTAAAAATTCAATGGTCTTAAATAGTTAAACAATTCTTTCCTATGCACTTCTCGTTAGAAACCACGCAATCATTGATGTTAGCTGTGGAACAAAACACACTGTACTTTTGTCAAGTAAGTATACGCGCGTAGTTTACGTCTTTTGTTTTGAGCGAAAAGAGGGGAAGGCAATTTCATATTTTCAGTGCTGAGAACTGGAAGTGTTCTTTTATTAACGATGTAGCTCATACATACAATATTAAAAGCTTCTAAGGGGTGTTTCTCTGTGGTTCTGTTGATGGTGTTGTACAAGGTGACCTCAACTCTTGAATTTGTGGATGAAATCCTTAAGTGTGACCATTCAAATGGAAGCTACTGAGCAGTACTTTCCTGTGGTACTGTTTATTATGCTGTACAAGATGGTTCTATCTTTTGAAATGAAAATCAAATGAAAGCTACTGAGCAGTACTTTCTTTTAGTGCTAGCTCAGTATTATGTTGTGATGAGCTATTGAGTAACAATTTCTTTTTGTGGTTTTCAGAAAAAACTGGGGATATTGTCAAAGAATAATGTTAATTGTCGTTGTATTTGTTCCAGAAAAAGGAAAACTGTTTGGAATAGGTGATAACACAGAGAATCAGCTAGGCATAAACCAGCGAGGCAGAACAGAGGAACCTATTTTGAAGGTTTCTGTACCAAGCAGAATACACCTCTCTGCACACTCCCGAGCATCGAAACCTATTCAAGTCTCCTGCGGTGCTTTTCACACTGCTGTCGTGACAGGTTAGTCGAAAGAAACCAGTCAAGGGGCTCGGTCACGCAGTCTGTTTTAACCATTAATCAAAACTGTCCAGCCAGATCAGTCAAATCCTAATGGCGTACACGAAGGAGATGGTTTTTGGCAAAAAACTAAGCTCTTGGAAAAAGCCTATTTCATTTTCAAAACTACTGGTCCGGCCGGCCAGTTCTGACTTTTGTGGAGTGCCCTGAGGTAGGGACCAACTCTAGGTGTCCGTTTTACAGAGGTGTCCGTTAAGACAGAGTCAACTAATTTTGTATGTACCCCTTTTCAGGAAAGTTTCTCAGCAATTTTGTGCTACTTTGTCAAAATCTTTCTTCGGGCACTCCGAGTCAAGTAATAAACTTTCGTCTTCTTTATTGCTTCTACAGAATCTGGAGAACTTTTCACTTGGGGCAAAGGAAAAGCTGGTCGCTTAGGGCATGGCGATATAAGGGACAGGTTAGGTGCTAGATGTATTTAAGTACCGCTTTTATATAACGGCAAAGGGAAGAAATGACCACAGGACTGTTAATATATTCAACAACGAAGCAAAATTGCATTTCTCCAAACGTTTTCATGAACGTGAAATTTACTCTTATTGCCTTTGAAGAAGGCAACGGCAAACGTGATAAATGGCGTGAAAATGGTCACGTGGTCGTGGCGGTGTTAAATCGCGAATGACCGTCGCTTAGGCTGCGTGCAAACGGGCGCAACAATGTTGGGAGTTGGTGCGTGCGTGTTGGCAGTGGTGTGCAAACGGATGCAACAACTCCCAACAAGTTTGGGACCTGCAGTGCGTCGTGGCAAGAATACAACCCATAAGTCTTTGTAATCCATGCGTAATGAGCGTGCGTGGCCCCTGCAGTGTTGAAAGAACCGTGCAAACGGATCCAACATTGTTGCCCTACGCTTCAGCGATCACAGAACAAAAGAAATGTTGGGAGTTGTTGGCTGAAAAGTTTGACTGGTTTCAAACTTTGCGCAACAACACGCAACAACATCCAACAACATGCAACAGGGTGTGCAAACGGACGCAACATGTAACATCCAACAATGTTGCCTCCGTTTGCAATGGAACGGCAAATAAGGAATTCACCATTTTCACAGACACCATAATGCTCCTTGTTTACCCCCAAACCTTTGCATAACCATTATCTTCGATTTCTCTTGGGACGTCTGTGTTACTCAGGAGAAATTGACAACAATGGTTTTGGCGGGCAAACAAGTTGCATTATGGTCTATGTGAAAATGGTGATTAGGTTTAGATTAGCAAAACAATAACTTTGCACACGATCACGCTTTTTTGTACATTTGTTGGCCATCATTGCACGACTACGACGTGAAAATGTCTAATTTCACGTTTTGTGGAGAGCGTGAACTCAAGAAAACGACTTTCTTTTTCTTTTCCTGAACTTCGATACAGTCTTTTAGAATTCAGCTCCAGAAAAATTTGCCAACATTTGAGTAATTAAACGAGATGGAATAAGCGCAATAAAGTTTGAAGCAGCGCAAAATTCACTTCTTAAGTGACGTTTTCGTAGCCGTCGCCGTCGTTGGTGATTAAGCTGCCTAATGTGTCCTGTAGTACATGTACTTCAGAAACCTTTACGCCGAAATGGTTAGAAGAACATTATTGCTTACCTGCTCTCTATGCCTTTTTATTTCTTTCGACTTTCAACCTATGTTTCCAGCACTTACCGTCCGCTCTTTCCTTGGCTTGTGGTTTGCTGAAGTTGCTGCTTCACCTCTAATGCGTTCAAAAACACTTGTTTTTCAGGCCACTACCTTGTGAAGTGGACATGGATGGTAAACGAGTCCGCGCTGTGGCATGCGGCAGTACGCACACGGCATGCTTAGTGACAAGGGCCTGGGTATCTGATGATTTGATAAAGAACTGCATGGCCTGCAAGACCAAGTTTTCACTGGTCAATAGAAAGGTTCGCTTTTTTTATATATGTATATATTTATTATACAGACAAGAGTGTTTTACTGGAAAATATACCACTCGCAAAGTTCATAAAAACTACATCCGGGACCTGAGTGGTTTATTTTCCATAATCTCACACGTGAGTTTATCGATGACGTAATTTCGGTCGTTTCCCTCTATTATTTTATCGACGTCTTTTTGTCTGTATAATAAAAAGAACATTACACGGCGGCTTGAAGATATGAATTTTATTTTCGAGTGGCAAAAACAATATTTTACTCACTCGCTGCGCTCGTTCGTAAAATATTGCTTTGGCACTCGAAAATAAAATTCATATCTTCGCGCCACCGTGTAATTTCCTCTCTCTATATATTTTTTATTTTTAAGTACTTTGAGTTTTCAGTCAACTCTTACGGCCTGTTTACATGGATGTGGGAGGCCCCAGGTAGGAGAGGTAGCCCTCTTAGGTAAGGTAACCCGCCTGTCCATATAATTTCTCATTAGAATTTGATCACGTTCACATGATAGGTGGGGTGACCCGCCACATGTCACCTCAGCTATCTGGGGGGCTCCCCACCTCCATGAAACATGCCCTTAGAATTACAGTCATCTCTCTCTAAGGGGAACTTTTGAGACCGGAACTAAATGTTCTTTTAAGAGTGATGTCCGTCTTATAGAGTCAAATAAAGAGAGTAACTTAGGCAGGGACCAACTTTTAAGTGTCCGTCTTATAGAGATGTCCGTCCAGGGAGGGTCGACTGCACTCACCTGCATTACAGCTTTTTTCTTTATAAATCATAGTTTTATGCTTTCTCTTCCAATCTGTAGCATCACTGTCGTAAGTGCGGCGGAGTCTTCTGTGCTTCGTGCACCTCCAGACGGACCCCAGTCCCCACTCTGCCAGGATATCCTGCAACCAGTCTGAGGCGAGTTTGCGACAAGTGTTTCTCTCTCCTATTAGACGACACGTGACCAAAATGGTGCGGCTGGCGTGACTTTTCACATCGCAAGATAACGCAACAGCTGTCGTGTCAATGCTGTAACAGTTTTGCTCATGTTAAAGTTCTCATTAGGGGTCGTTGGGGAGCTTAGGTAACGACAGCGACGACGACAGTGACAAATATCGCTAACGAAATGAATTTGCGTCCTTTCAAACTTTGTCTACTTAGACTCGCTCAATTTGTGAAATGTGGGCGATTTTTTCTGGGGTTGACTTCTTAAGGACTTTATCCAGGTTCAAAACTGAAGAGAATGGAAAATTCGTCGTCGTATGTCCACATCCTCCATAAAACGTCGCATTAGTAGGTTTCACGTCGTAGTCGTGCAGTGGATGTCAACGAAATGTTCTAAAAAGCGTGATCACGTGCAGAGCTGGGAAAATTTGCCTACATTAAACATTTTCAGCGATTTAGAATAAACGCGATAAAATTTGAAAAACGTTAATTAAGTTTAAAAGTGACGTTTTCGCTGCCGTAGCTGTCGTCGATGCTAGAACTCCCTAATAGTCCTCTTTAGCTTGTATGTTTTGTTTCTCAATACAGGTCATGTGATAATACTCTGGAGAACTGTGTCTTTCAAATTTCGTTTTATTCACGTGCTTATGTACTCTTAATTTATGGAAAGACAAAGAGTCAAGTTCCCCTGGGACTTCTATTAGGAAAACAAAACTTACAAGCTAAAGAGCTATATTCTCGTAGCCTTACCTCATAATGACATATAAATAATGGGAGAAAATTGATGTTGGTCACTCTTGGAACTTTCAGTCGCTTTAGTGAACAAACTCTGTCGTTTTAGCGAATGCCCTTCTTCAGCCTTCATCATTCTTTATTCCACAAACTATCGGGGGAAATGGGTAGAAACATACGACGCAAAGATTTTTGCGATCATTTGGTTGGACAAGTGTTAGCTATGATTGGTAAATGGCTGCCATGAATACAGTCGACCAATCATAACTAAGGCTGCTCCACACAAACGATCCAAGAAGTCACTGAACCCAAAGCTTGTACCCATTCCTCTTAGAGTTTCTGAAGACGACCATTTCGATTTGCCTCTCACGAAGGTCCACAATTTTCGTCTTTTTCCTCGCGCGTTTGTCTCGCTCACTCGCGAGTAACAGGAACGCCTGTGGGACAGTTCTGGACCCAGTTGTTCGAAGACCAATTAGCGCTAACCCGGGCCAGGGGTTAAATTTGAATCCCGGGTTCTTTTTCTTTTGTTCAAAAGCATATTCCAGGATAGTTGTCTCTGTTCGTTTTAACGCAACCAACCATTAAATTGTAGACAAAAAGAATATAACTAAATTGGCTTCATTTCATATCTGAATTCAAATTTGGCACTTACCGTGGGTTATCTTAACCCAGCTTTGAACAACCCAGCCTTGATGGACTGTTCACAGTTTTGAATTCGTCTGTCTTCGGATCTCTTTGCGGTAGCCACCTTGTCAATTCACTTCATAAACCACATTTTAGTACTAAAATAGAGTAACCTGTAATTGTCAATGAATACAAAGAAGATACAATTATTATCTAGTATGGCAAATTAGAGAGTACCGTAAAGATTCCGAAAATAAGCACCTCCATGTATAAGCCCCCTAAAATCGTAACGCAAAAAACCCTCTATTAAATCGCCCCTCCAAATATTAGCCCCCCCCTCCCCCCCCTGGGGGGCTTGTACTTGGAAATTGCCCTCAAATACAATGAGGCTAGCCCAATCGATTTTGAAACGCACATTTCCCTCCATGGTAATCCCCTCAAAAAAGGCCTTTGAGAAATATAAGCCCCGGGGCTTATTTTCGGAATTTTACGGTAGCTCCCCAGTAGGTTCCCTGTGTTGAGCAGCCCTCCTCGTTATCTCTTGGACTAGAGGGGCTAGTTTTATATACGATTCTATCATATGATATATATAGAAAATATATGTGTGAAATAAAATTAACATTTACTCTGTGCCGTTAGAGCTTTTATATCATATCAGTAAATTGGACGCACAGCTACTCACCAACTAGAATTTTCCACTAGATTAGCATATTTATTCTTGCTAAAAAATTTAACAGATCTTACTGCGATTCATGTACTAATTCTTGGGTACGGGAATCATGGGAAAGAATCTTGAAATGAACTAGTGCGGAAATCATGGGCAAGAGTTATAGCATAAAATCTTGGAATACATGAACATAGTGCAGGGAAATTATGGGCATAAATTAGTCAAAACCACTTAAACATAGCAGTGCGGTAGATAAAGGCATATTTTTATCCCTAAAAATTTTTCAAAAGCTGAAAGTCTAGTGATGAAAATTAGGGTCAAAATAGGCAGAGAAAAAGAGGTGACCTCTTTAGGGTCATGGCATGAATTTTTAGATGTTCGAAAATCTGGAATCATGGGATCTCAATCGTCTTCCGAACAGATATTTTTCCGAAAATTGTCGTTGGGTGCCCCTGAAATTAGTACTGGAATCATGGGCAAGCTAGAGTCATGGCATGAATTAGCACGGGAATCTTCGGCAAGATTCATGTCATGAATAAGGGGTATCTACAAAACGAGGACTGAAGACCGAAGACCAAAGCCCCAAAACCGAAGGCCCAATATTTAGTTAATTTTAAGACCATCAACACCAAGGAGACAGTTTTATTCGCTTTGTCAGATGCCGAGAGACACTGTGTCGTGAATGCCGAAGGGCCGTTCTTCACGATATCCCACTTTTAAGCAAACACAGGGTTTATTTCACAGCTTCAATCCTCACGGCACAATGGCTCGCTCACACAGTACACGAAATCGTGACTTGCTTTAATCCGATCTATCATCAAGTTCTCTATGACAGATGAGTGAAACTATTAATAGCAAAATCTAAAAGGAATAAAATCACGCCATCTCACAATCACGCTACACTCTTGCTTCATCACAATACTGTTTCTCTCGGGTCAAACGCGAAACATTCCTAGCGGCGAAGAGCGAAGAGAAACGGCTGTTTTCGCAGCTAGAAAAACCACTGCTCGCAGGGTAAAAAAGGGAGCTAATTATTAGAGGGTCAGCCCCCCCCGGCCCACCTACGTCGATAAAAATCTGTATTAATTTTTAATTTTCTTTTTACTATCCACAGTTTTTATCAGCCCATTGCGTCTATCTGTATTTATCTTTTTTTTTCACATAGTTTTTATTTGTTTTTTTGGAAAGCTAGACTTATTCAAATCATTTAGCTGTCATTTGTCTTTAAACGTGGGTTTTCACAAAGAAAAGGACATTTTTTTGGGGGGGGTGGGGTTGTGATACTCAACTTATCTGGAGTGGTGGAGCTCCAAGCGTCTCAGCATATTTGTTTTTTTAAGAACCTAGAACAATTCGTCATGTGTTTGCTAATCCCTTTGTTTCAATAAAACTGAATGAACGAAAAGTACTTGATCAAAAGACACTCAAATTTGGTCAACAATGGAAAATATCTCGCGCCTTCAGAAAGCTCGCTGTGATTGGTCGGTTTGTTGCCACGGGATTCCACAAAGTTAGTTTCCCCGGCGAAGAGTGGAGTGGACATTGCCATCTGCGGCTTTCGCCGATAAGAAATGTTAGTTTGCGTTTTTGATTATGTCTTTTGGTGAAACAAGGACAAGTCTGGATCGTTTAGATAACATTTATCGAAAGAACGTTTGGATTCTTATCGCGATTTTGGTACAACGATCGCTGTAATTGAAACACGCCATCGAAGTTTGGGACAACGCTTCGTTGGCAAATTCGTAGCTGAACAAACACATCAAGCCCGGTATTTGGCTAGTTAAAATCTTCGTCTTGTTTGGAAATCTGAATGGGATCCTTCATAATTCTAAAGATTCATTTGCTGGATAATCAATCTAATAATTGAAGACGGAATTATCACGTCAAATTGCCCTAGCTGCTAGCCGGTAGTTTGGGCGAAATTAAAAATTCAGCCTATTTTGATCTCATTTTCCCGGAACGTTGGATTTTAGCGTGGATCAGCGGCTTCAATTTCTTCATATCTGAAGAGCGACGAAAAAGAATCATTGGAATTTCCCTGAAGCACAGGATCGAAGGCCAAAAGGAGGGAAATATCAATGCTTAATTTTTTATGTTGTTCATCCAACGTTTGTTTTTCTAATTTTGTTTGACTTCAAATTACTTGGCCCCTGGTACCCGTATAATTTTTGTGTTCTTTGTGGAGAAATCTTGAACTTCTCTATTTCAATTACGTTATTATCAGAACGAACTGTTTGATTTCTGTCGGTCAGCTCAATTAACTTTGGCACTGTAAAAAAATGGCAGAATGTTCTGACTGACCCTTCAATCAATCAAGTCAGGAGTCAACGTTTCTTTGATTTGTTCACTGCGTGAGATTTGCTGGTCAGTTAAGCCTTTAGTCGGTAAATTTGCAGGGTACTTTTTAATCTAAAAGCTGAATTGATTTGCACAGCGTGTTGGGAGTCTTGATTGGGATACATGGAAGCCAAGAGGATCTAGTGAGAAAAAGAGATCTAACGTTTTTTTTATCAGCAACAGTGGAAGTGCTCAGGAAGAGGACGTTATGAATTCAAGGTCGCAAGTAGAACAGGCCATGTCATCTAGGCTTAGTGGTTTGCAGATAAGTAGTAATCAATCTAGCAGGCTGTACAGAGCGAAAGCCACCCCACCTGTTCTCAAGACACATTCAGGTACTTCGCAAAAGGCTACTAAGTTTATACCACACCCCCCTCACAGACCAGTTGGAATTCAAAGGACTCCAACAAGGACGGAAGGAAAAGGTGTTAAACCACCTCTACCACCATCTGAACCCAAATCAAGAAAAACTGCTGTGAGGAAGTTTTATGATATAAAAAAACAGGAAAATATCATTGATGAAGGGCGAATCAGTGGTGATGGAGAGTCCTTGGAAAATGAGGAATATTTTGAAAAATCCCTGTGTCCATCATGGCAACGCATGCCTGGAGATGGCTGTATTTCTGACATTGCTGAGGAAGATGAAGAAGCGGAAGAGGAAAATTCTGACCTAGAGGAAAATGATAGTGAGAATGACGTTGATGCTGAGTGTAATGATGATGACGATTTTGATGACTGTGAGGAGCTGAATGAAGGTCAGTGAAGCAGTTAAAAAGGCCTTTGTAGGGACTGGCTAAGGATTTCCCTAGTATAAATTTATAAACCCAATGTTTCCTTTCCATTAATTTTATAATTGTGTTTTTTAGCATAAGCTTTTTAAATAGCTTAGTTTTCTTTTGAAATCAGCGGTTAACAATAGAAAACAAAGAAAATGTCAATAAAAGCTGGAAGGGCTTGAAGGGCTTATTGTACTAATTTGTAGCTGTATGAAGCGTCTCCCAGGTTTTCAAGTTAACCTCACTGGCTTCATTCGTGAGGAGAAAAAAATAAAACAAAATTTTAATATCAAGAGCACAGACTCAGTATCGACTGTATTCTGAGGTTTACTATGCTCTTGATAAGTCTTGATAATTATTATTTTGATCATTCATGGCAAGTGTAGGATTACTGTACCTTTCATCTATTAATTTGATATGGCTGAAGGATAACTATATATGTTGTAGTCAATTTTTTATCTCAGGTAATTTTTACTTTTCCTTTGTTTCAACTTCATTAGCATAAATTACCATACCGAAAAACAAAGGAAACACAAAAATTACCTGGGATAAAAAATGAACTACAATATATAAATCTATACATCTTGAAGTTCTACTACCATAAAAATGTTTGCTTAACAACATTTGCAAGACACAGATATTGGTTGGAGACCCCATCCCCAACTCTAACATCTTATCAACTGCCATGTTTCAAGCTGATAATGCAAAACCTTAATAATTCATTCACGAGTGGGCTCAAAGAGCCCTTTGATTTGTTTTAACATTAAATTGTTTTTATGGTTGTCTTCGGTAATGTCACAATTTAATATTCTAAAATAAATAATCTGTTGTAGTCAAAATCAATGACTAAACCCTTCAAAACTCATCGCATTGAATTGTAAGACTGAATCGTTTGTTACACAGCTGGTTTCTCCGATAATGATGATGACGATGATGATGCTTCTCAGTCTATGATAAGTTCTGCTGCCTCCTCCCGTATTTCCACGGCTAAAGGAAGAGCATTAAGTGCAAGATTGACAGGTGTTGAAAGATGGTCTAGTGCTCTAGGGTCATCAAAGCCCTCGTCATCAATATCAAGTAGAAAAACCACTGCATGGTCGGCGTCAGGTGAAGATGACAAGCAGGAGGAGCTTGAACCTCTGGTGCGGAGCTTTTTTGCCCATGTCCCACCAACAGTTTATTTTTTTGTCGAGGGTGAAAAAGGTATTTACAACTTTGAGTGCTTTCCTTTGGAATATTTTTGGAACAGGATTTGATCCGAGATACTCCGGATCATGGTGCATTGTAAAGTACAATCCATAACCGGTCTCCATACATTTTCTTAAAGAACTAGTTGGGACAATTTAGTAAAAGATCAAAGCTTTTCTCTGTAGGTGATCATTTTATTGAATCTCATTACCTTTCCTCTCATTATTATGTTTTGTTATGTTAGGAGAAAACTGATGTTGATCATTCTAGGGACTTCAAGGGTCAAATCACATTGCATTTTGCAAACATGGTCCATAGAACTTACAGTATACTGTAGGCCTCAAAATTGACCCACAAAGCATTGCCTTATTATTATGGTGCTTACTGTTTAATTGTGAATGATGTGTTTTTGTATACATATATGTTGTTATGCTAATGATATTATTGTCTTTTTCCAGTGGCTCCACTTTCTGCTGAATTGCGGAAGCTGCTGAGATGGAAAATGAGTTCCATAACCCCAAACGTCATAAAGCAGTGTATTGCAAGAGTTGGTTTTAAACCAACTAAAAGTAAGCTTTCCTTGGTTAATTGATGATTTTGTACAGATCTTTTCAATGTAATAATATTGTATTCCACTTTACACTAAGGTTGTGTTGAGTGTCCTGCTTTAGTATCCGAGCGTATAAGCCTTGTAGAGATTGAGGAAATGCTTGTAATATGGTAAATGTAAATGTAGTATCTGATAGTTAAGTTTAAATATCTAATAGCTTTTAATCGAGTTATCCTATCTATTTTTAATAATTAAACAGGAAATGACTGGTTAGGATATTGGGGAAAGCACATGAAGGCAAACTGTTTCAAAAGTGTGAGAGACTATCAAAAGGTGAGAGAGTTTATTTGAGGTTGGCACTTATTTAAGGGCAGCATTTATTGGAAAGTTGGAGGTGACAAAGAATTATTATTTTAATAGCATAAACATCGTTTGATTTTGATTGTATCAGGGCTGCAGCGCCTATTCGAGGGCAGGGTTTATTAACTTTTTTCTCATAAATGCAGCATATATTATTTGAGGGAAGCGCTTAATCGTGGGCTGCGCTTATTTGAGTAAATACCATATTCAAACAACTATCTTAACCCTCCCCCTGCCTCCCTTCTCAGAGTTACACATGTTTGCTGTTTCCTCCAGTCAAAAATTAACTGATTGTTATTCTTTCCATACCCACAGGTCAATCATTTTCCTGGGACATTTCAAATTGGAAGAAAAGACCGACTGTGGAGAAATCTGTCCAGAATGATGGTTCACCATGGAAAAAAGGTTGGTGTATAAATGTTGTTGAATCTTGCACGAGAGTCCTGTAAATTAAACTGATAGAAAAAAAGTAGGACCTGTTAATATTGGAGTTATGCATGTTTTTTAAAATAGAGTAGAACCTCTATTCAGGGGACACTTTTGGGACCACTGGTAAGTGTCCCCTGAATGGAGGTGTCCCTTGAACAGAGTTGTCCCAAAGGGAGAGGTTCCATGATTGTAACATTCAAAATTATTTTGCTTGTATTGCAGGATTATGGATTTGTTCCTCAAACATATGTTCTTCCGTATGACTTTAAACTTCTTAAAAGAGCTTGGGATGATGGAAACGGCAGACAAAAGTGGATTTTAAAGCCGGTATTTGATTGCCATTCACAATTTTGTGTTTACTTTTAAGTTTTTTTAATTGTTTGTTTATATTTAATTTATTAATAGAATTAATATAATCAGGTTAGGCAGGACAAGACAGAAAATAAAAAGTGTAAAAAAATTCTTAAGCACAATAAAATGGTAGACCAAAAATTCAATCCTTTAATACTATTTTAAAATACTGAAAAATTCAATACTGGTAATAAACTGACAATTTCAGAAAATCAGTAATTCAAAAATCAATATAGCTATATCTATCATCAAGATATAAAATGTATCATCAAAATATCAAGGATTTTGATTCACTTATTTTCAAAAAAATTTGCAGTTTATATTAACAGAATGTTCAGTTTTTATTATGTCATTTTATGTCTTCGACTATCTTCATTCGTCATTAACCATTTTTTGTTGCTGTTGACAGCCTGCTTCAGCGAGAGGAATTGGAATCCGTGTAATCCACAAGTGGAATCAGATTCCACGAAAGAGACCTGTCATTGTTCAAAGGTACTTAAACATGGAGTGTGAAGTATAATAAGTACAAACCCATCTTTCACTCAATATTACCTCACATAGATGCATAATTTAATTTTGGAATAAAAACCTGTATGTTTTATAATAATTTTTATACCTTGTTAATTACTGAAACATTCATTTTCCTTTTCTTCCTACATTTTTTTGGCATTTCTTTGTAATTATTGTAATCGTGTGGCAAATAAATATATACAAATACAAATACAAATACAAATAATGAGATAAATGTAACTTATAAAAGCGTACAGTCAGCCATTTTTTTTTATTGTGTTTCTGTCACCTCTAGGTACCTGGCCAAGCCTTTTCTCATCAATGGCAGCAAGTTTGATCTGCGTATCTATGTCTATGTCACTTCTTATGATCCACTTAGAATTTATGTTTTTGAAGATGGACTTGTCAGATTTGCAACTTGCAAGTAAGTGGGTTTTCAGTTGTATTAAACTAGTATATGAACTTTCTTAGCAAAGTTGAGCCTGTTAAAAAGTATTTATACTGTAATGGACCATGCCAAGTATCCTGGAAAATATTGAAAGCATCTACAAGAGAAAGTGTCCAACATAGTTTTTTAACTTGAGGATATCCAAAGGGTATTTAATGAGTTATTATATATGGTGGGTTGCGATATGCAAATGTGTCACTCCACTACTGTTGTGCTGCGACTAAGACCGGCCACCTCACTAGAACGGCCACTTTTTTTTGTCCCAGCAGACAAATAATCCATACATTGACTTTTAATTAAATTTGTTCAATGGCCACCTCTTTATAATAGCCACTTCTGCCCCCAAGGTAGCCATTGTGGAGAAGTTCAACTGCATTTTGAATTGGTTACTTACAGACTGAATTTTTCCAAAGGTATTCCTCATCCATGAAGAGTTTGAGCAACAAGTTCATGCATCTGACAAATTACAGCATCAACAAGAAGAATGAAGGAGCTTATCAGCCAAACTCTGATGAAACTGTTTGCCAGGGACACAAATGGTATTTCATTTCTAGTGACCTCTCTTTCTGTGTATTCTTGTAAATTGCTGCTACATGGACTACTCAGAGATTATGATTAATACAAAATTCTTGACAGTACAAAATCAGTACCAAATTGATAATAAATAAACATTTCATTTTGTGGTAAAAAAAAGTGAAAAAAAAGAAGAATAAACAGACTTCAAAGTTAGAATTACTTCTTTTAGGCAAAGTTAGTCTGACCAGTGTAATAAACTTTTTAAGTGAATAAGCCACATGAAAAAGTTAAATTCATAGATTTTTGGCTTATCAACTACTGTCAATTAAGAAAATACACCACTTTTCCTTTCGAAGAGCTATACATGTAAAGGCTTTGTGAGACACTGGTAGAAGTGGTTGGGGTGCGGGTACAACTATATGAGTATGTGTTTCTTCATTCAGAATTTCCAAACCCATTATTGCACGTATTCAGGAGAAGACCATGTCCCAGTTGGTGTGTTGCTATTTAGCATGCAAGCAAGGGGGCCCAGGGGGTGGAGGGGAGGGGAAGAGTTCTCCCCACTCCCTCCCTTTCTCCCCCACACCCCTGGGAGAGCTTGCTTGCGTGCTATTTACTACTGTACTAGCACTTGTCTTCATCACGGTCATTGTTTCAACACATCTTTGTGTCATTTGTAACTATTTCTCCTGTCTCATCATTTCAAGGCCATGTTGTTTGTCAGAATTTTACCCTAACAGTACCTCCTCTAGCTGTGGTAGGGACGATGAAATAGATCCATCCTCCAGAAGGTCAACTGACCGAAGGCTCAAATGCAGATTATTCTACTTTGCAGGAGCCTGAAAGCCCTGTGGGGATACTTTAAGCGAATTAACATTAACAATGTCAATGTGTGGGAGAGTATTAAGGATTTAGTTGTCAAGGCCATCATAGCGTGAGTATACTTAACACTGGGAGGGATGTAAATGCCACACCCTCAATTAGACATTGCCTTTTCTTAAATGCCACCCTTGAATAAGCACTGCACCCAATTAGAGGAATGCGACTTGTATTTGAGGATTATTAGAAAAAACTTGGTAAAACGTGGTAATTTACACCAAGCAGACAATAATTATTAAGATTCTACCTCAGCGAAAAAGCGAGACATTAGAACTTTGCATCTTTTTGTTCTACATAATATTTACAAGTGATTTGTCATAATTGAATTGTTGTCAGCGATTTAAGAAAAGTGATTTAGTATTTATTATTATTGCCAATTATTCATGATGTTATTTTCAGGTCAGATTCAGCTGTGAACACCATGGTGAAACAGAATGTCAGGAAGAGGTAACCTTCGTTAGTTAACAAATGTTAATGTTACTTAATAATATTAAATGATAATGATAAATTAATAAGGAAAAATTGCAGGAGGCTAGTTGATCAACTGTCATTGCCCAAAAATAATATCAGAAGTGAAGAGAAGAACAGAGCCAAGGTGGCAACTGCCGAATATAAAAATCTATAATAGTCCGAACTTAAAACTTTTAACCAGTTTTTTTCATTTCTGAGGGGATGATCAATCTTTTTCCTTGTTTCTCTCAAGTGTTATGTTGATGTTAAAATATATATTTTATATTGTAGATCCTGTTGTCATGAGCTTTTTGGTTTTGATGTCATGCTGGATGAAAACCTTAAACCTTGGCTGTTAGAAGTCAATATTTCACCAAGGTAAGTGAGCTGTCGAGCTTAAGCCTGGTTCAGACACCAAACTTTACATGAGCCAAACCTACTTTGAATCAAGGCTGACCCAACTTATTTAGACCGATTTGATTTTTTTATATTTTTGAGTGGCAATTCCCGGTTTCCCTAGTCTAGACTAAAATCTTCAACCAATTGATCAGTTTCCTGGAAAATGATACCCAATTCTAGACCCAAACTCTCTGATTTATATACCCTATCCCACAGTAAACTGCTTGAAAACTGTTCCCTTCACAATGGCACATACCTATATAACCCATACATGGCAGTACCCTCGCACCCCCGGGCTAAATACACAATAACAGTTGACTCTCTTAACGGACATATCTATAAGAGGGACACCTCAGTAAAACAGACACCTGGAGTTACTTAGTCCTCGCTTAGTTGCTCTGTTTATTTGACTCTCTACAAGACAGACATCTGTATTTGATTAACTTCAACTGTACCATCAATGAATTTGATGTTATTTTCTTCCGCAGTCTTCACTCTACCTCTCAGCTGGATCGCAACATCAAGGGACAGATGATCAAAGATTTGTTCAACCTGGCTGGCTTCCGCATTCCAGAAAATCTCATCACAACTTCAACGTCAAGGTACCGGGTTTTGCCTAACAAAAGTAAAACATAAAATAAGGAAGTTTACCATCAAGAAATTATTAGCTGAACCTTTAGTATGGCTGAAGTAATACCTCTGAAGAAATGACAATTTTGAGATTGTTGCTGAAAGTTCTCATGTTAGTGACAAACTCAACCTATTTTGTTATGGTCTTAGAAGTCTGCAAGATTGCAGGCATTGTGGCGTTTTAAAAGACATTATACCTCCCTTTTCCTCAAGGAGAGCTTTTTTTAGAAATTCCTCGCGTCCACCTTCATTCGCTTTGATCATGTCGGTACAAAATTGCAACATACTGTTGTTTTCTTGGTTCTAGAGAAAGCCACTTAAATTCTGAAAAAATTATCCAATAGTAAATCATATGCTCACAGTTTCTTCCACTCAGTGAGGTAAACCCGAAACTTATATTACCTTGGCTAAACTTAGAAATTCATTTTGATCGCAGCACAAGCAACATGAATGTGTTTGTTCAAGAAAAAGGAGCCACAGGTCTGTCAGCAGATGAGAGGGCCAAGGTATGTAATGATGGTCTAAGGGCATTACAAAATTGGTGTATTTTGCAAAAATTTGTGCATTTTTTTTCTTGAATCTTAATGTTTTCTTATTGATTATTTTGCAGCATGCATTTTATGTTCAACGGCATCTGGATGAGGTATAACTATTTCAATGATGATGAGTTTTGTCTTTAACAAATGGATAAGCTTACAATGCTACTGGAATATTGCCATGTCGCAATTAAGTTTTGAAATTTGTCATGACCTTTTTGCTTGCTTATAAATTTGATGTCAGTAATCATTAAGATAGCTCTTCACCAACTTCGTTTCCATGGCCTTTTTTCTTCGCTGGGAACGAGGTTGGCGCTCTACTTAGAAATCGAGAGAAACTATAAGCAGCAAGCTTTTGATTCCTGGGATTGCCCGTGTGGACAAGCGTTAGTGATGATTGGTAATGGTATCAAAAATAACGATTAACTTGTCACGAGTAACGCCTTTTCGCCTACCCTGGGTACCAGAGACGTTTCATGCGCGGTTTCCGTGTTTATAGTGACCTGTGTGAAAACCTCTTTTCTAGAGGAAAACGTCACCGCCGCACTCGATCGTCACACGCGAGAAAAAAAAACCTGTGATACCCGGGCATTGGGCGCCCATACAATCCCAGAAATCATTGCGCTGATTACTTGTGCCCAGACTCCTTTTAGTTTCTGGAGTGGCGAATCGCCTTTTACGATTCTCAGATAGACCTCTAGCAGCCTAGGTCAAACGTCGAACTTTTTATGAGACGAACCAAACTCTACATGTAATTTGGGTCAACCTAAGTAAGTCAAGATCTCTTTTGGGTCAGACGTCAGACTTACATGTAGGACGCATCGAACCAATCAACCTAATCAGACCAAAAAGCATTGTTGCGGGCCAGTAATAAATTTTCTCCCGAGCGAGGCAAAATATACATTATCTTACAATTTTTTTATTGATTAGTTTAGTTCGTTGCATGTGAGGATCGAAGTTTGTCTCAAAGACGATCTTCAGATGTTCTATCCGTCTGAAGCAGACGGATAGAACGTCTGGGTGTTGGACGATCCAAACTCATTCAGACGGACTTAACTGAGCCAGACGTCGAACGTTTCATGAACTTTTGATGTTGCTCAGCCTCATTCAATAATTGTTTAATTAAGGTCTGATAAGAAGCCATAGATAAGTCTTCATCTGTATTCACAGGACACATGTTCTTGTTACTTCACAGCGCACTAAACAGTCAATCCTGGATAAATTGACACCAGATGACATAAGAATCCTTATTGAGACTGAGGATGAGGTATATCTGAAACTTTTGTCGTTTCAACAAAAGAACTAGGGACCTTACGATCCGACAACGGCGACTTCCATAAAAACGTCGCTGAAAAATAGACTCCGCATTCTTTCAAACCATTTCGCGATTATCCCAAGTCACCCAGTTACTTAAAAGAAGGGAATTTATGTTGGAGCTGAAGAGAGGGAGCCACGCTCGAGTTCAGACAGAGATGATAGAATTTATCGGATTGCCCTTCTCGTCCTCAAAAAAAGTTAAAATTTGGTCATTTCACGTCGTAGTCGTGCAGTGACGGCAAAGAACTGTACAAAAAAGCGTGATGCACGTGCAAAGTTGTTGTTTTGCTAACTAAACCTATTGCTTTTTGTCGTTGCCGTTTGCCGTCGCCGTCGTGGCTTCGTAAGGTCCCTCCTACGACGTCGACGGCAACTAGAACTTTATAGAAAACAATAGGTTTAAATGAACAAAATAACAATTTTGCACCTGCAGCGCACTTTTTATTGTACAAATTTGTCGTCACTGCACGACCACGACGTGAAATTTAAAGCGAGAGCTGTCACGGTAAATCGCATGGCCACCCGGAGCGCTTACCGTTTGTATGGAAAACCCGGAAATTCCCGAGAGAATTCAAATGGAACGGTTCAACCCGGTTGAAATTTTTCCGATTACCAGTACCATATGACGGGAATTTCCTCCGAAATTTCCGTGCAAATGGTAAGTGCTCCCGGACTCTTAGAGAGAAATAAAAATTACAAGGCCGAGCCTTTTTGTCCGACCAAATTTTACTGTCTACTCTGACGTGGATAACAGAGAAAGAGCTAGAGCGAGAAATAAAAAAAAAAAAAGAAGACGAATTTTCGTTGGAAGAAAAGCGTGAAAATCTTTTGCGGCGGTAAGAAAATGAGAAATGCTAGAGGCCACCAAGGTGGGTTGTAGTCTTGCAAAACAACGACAAAGAAATGTACAAAAAAGTGTGCTGCACGTGCAAAATTGTTTTTTGCTAATTAGACCTATTATTTTTTTTGCCGTTCTCTCGTTGCCGTCTCCGTTTGGTATTACGCGATTTTATTTTTGTGCTCGAATAAACTATAGGTATTTTAACGAGAGCTTCGCTTTTAGCCCTACTAAATTTATATATTATGAGGACTTAAACTCACACTAAGGTTTTTCTCTTCTTTCTGAACTTGAGTGCGGTCCCCAAGACGAAAACGTCAAAAAACAAACGTCAAAAAGACAAAAAAAATTCACCTGCACCAAGGGTATATCACTATCGACCTAGTCGAATTAAAACTGAATACAGATGATCACTAATTTGTCCAACCTTCAACTTTGAGTGATTAAAACTTGGCATGGAATTACGTACGTACGTAATGGTGCTGATACTGCTATATCTGCTTCGCTCAACAGTACAGTAGAAGAGGATGTTTTCAGAGAGTCTTACCTTCTTTGTCATCCAACAAGTTCCTTAGATTTTTCGAGTCACAGGTGAGCGCTCTACACAGTCTACAGGTCTCAATTATGAGTATACATGAGGCTGTGTTCACACTACTGGAGTCGTTCACAAACATCGAACATGGCGCTGGAGCGGTTGGCCGAGAGGGTTTGGTGAACTAAATCCCAGTCCTCACTCCTGTTGGACGCCTTATGAAGTTTGCACACCCTAGTATTCCTTATCGCTTTTGTTTCGAGCACTAACTATAGTGATTAGGGTTAAGCAACAATACTGATTAGGGTTAAGCACTGAAAATAGTGATTAGGGCTGAGCACTGACTCGAACCGCTTAGCTTCTATTTAGGGTTAGGGTTGTTGATATGTAGCTTCAAATCAATCCATAGACCTATTCGGCTAACTCAATGTTGTACCCAATTCCAACCCTTTGGGAATAAAACGTTTTGTTTCAGGAATTTCCATATCATTTAAATGTGAATGCCACATTATAATGCAAATACAATACACAATGAATCTTATCCCCAGGAGATTTGAATTGGGTACAACATTGAGTTAGCCGAATATGTCTATTGCTCGCCAGCAAATCCTCAGTGGCGTAGTAGTATAGGTGATGGCTGCAGACACCACGCTCCGGGTTCGATTCTTATTCTCGCTCTTCTCATTTTTTTCCTTAAAAACTGAAGAGACTTACGCTCCACTTTTAAAATCGGCCCGGCGCAGCGCAGCTTCGCTCCGGTACAGAAATCGCGCCGAAATCACCATTCTTATGTGGGAACAGAAGCTCTATCCGGAGTAGTTGTCGTGTGGGCCCAAAAAGTATCCAATATTGTGTAAATACAGCCCGGGTAAAAGCAACCATGACACTGACAAAAACGCAGGGTGCAAAGAAAATCATTTTTACAGCTTGCCATTCGGGCAAGCTGAAGCTAGCATTTACTAGCCTAGACGTCATTTCAACTAGCCCCAAAAACCTTTTTGACCAGCAAAATTGATTTCACAGTTCTTCTGTTATTCGAATGCCTCAAAAGACATCACTTGCACGTCGGGTAAGTTAAAACAGAATTCACTTGCCCGATAGCAAAATCTACTAGCCCGGGGCTATTGGACACTACTTTCTTTGTACGCTGCAGAAACGGTACAATTAGCAACACATTGCTTTTCGCGCGCTTTACATTTTGCTAGACTTTTCTGACGCTCTTTTTATAGGCAATCATACGACGTTTCTCGTTCATTTTGGATTTTATCTGCACGAGTGTGTTTTTCAAAAAGTATCAAAATTTGAGCTTTTTGAAAAGATAGTTGCATTCTATTACTTTGTTTTTGCTCTTTGTTTTCTAACAACTGCACTCCTCTCAGTCTATTAGATTCACTGATTTATATTTATTTATTATGTTGAAAACACGATGATCACTTTTCTTTCTCTCCGTGAACTTGAAATTCTCCCTGATTGGCTTGAATTTCATGCATCTAATAGCTCATTTTACAATTTTAGATGGAAACGAGGATGGAGTTGACCTTGTTTTGATACAACCCCTCTTGCGTTCTTATGTAAATCTGGTTGTTCTTTTGCTAACTAGTATTTTTAAGCATAATGTCCATACGAAAACAAAAAAGGTTTGTATCATAACAAGGTCAACCTCAGCCTCACATTCACTCGAAGGCTAAGGTACCAAGCCCACAACTGTAAAATGGTTTTTTTGCGTAATTGAGTTCATTTCCATTCCTAATTTAATTTTTAGCGTTACTATAATATCCTGCTGGATGAATGGACAAGAAAATACATGAGAGAAGGAAGAAGCACTGCACTAGGTAGGCTACAACCTGACTGCCGTTTTCAAGGAGCTCTTGTCATGGCTGACTCGTTCATTTTGTTAATATTGCAAACTACAATCTTCCTTGTGTGCTATTGAACTTAAAGGGGCTGTGTCACGGCAGTCCAGTTCATTTTGTTTAATTTCAGTAATTTTGCCAATCATTCGCCCTCAATCGCTATGGAACTTAAAGTAAGCAAAGAAACTAAACGTAAATGACAAAATCAGAGATCCGAGACAAACAAATATGTCTCCTGCGCATTATTTTCGAAGTTGCAAGCAGCAGGGACCAACTTTGAAAACTGTTACGCTGAACAGTTTTCAAAAACCCTAATTTCAATCCTTTTCAATCTTCTTCAGTTTTGCCCATCCGTGGCATCTGTTGTTTCTGTTATGTTGTTTTAACCTTCCTTTAAAGTTTTAAGTGGCTATTTTTTTATGTTTCTCTTAATTTAACGGGCATTTTGTAATTATCTCATTTGGCTGAATTTCGTGACACAGCTCCTTTAACTGTAACGAAGAAATTAATTGTAAACTACAAAACCAAAGCTTCTTGTCCAACAAACATACTTCCCAAGCAGTCTGAAATGTCATCGGTCACTTCGTCCTAGATCTAGGGTTACCCTTGCTTTAGAAAAGCTATCTCGAATAGGAATATAGGACAACCCAGCTTGCAGCTTTCGACACATTTAACGTGCTCTGGTGGTTTTCTGTAAGCTAAGCTTACAACAGAACTGATTTCAGAGTATGGTATCGTTTTATGTCTGTAGGTGTAGCTGTTTTACAAGGATTTGCCGAAAAGAAACTTCATCTTGGACCAACATCAGATCCAAGTCATCAGGTGAATAATGAAAATACAGTCGAACCTCCCGTAAGCGACCACCCAAATGAGAAGACTTAGTGGTCGTTTACGACAAAAGAACCACAGGGTTCTCGTCCAAGATGTCCGCTCACATCTACTTTGTGAAAGATAGTTTATTGCAATGCATATGTGCAGAGCTGTACAGTTCTATTTGGTCACTAAAGCTCTTCGTACATTCTTAAGTAACATAGTACATACAGCGAACATAGAGATCAGATCTTACGTCTAGTGGTCGCTTACAACAGGTTAAAACAATGGAAAATTATTATACCGTCAGCCAAAAGAGTGATTGCGGTCGCTTACAATAAGTGTTAGGGTTAGGGTTTACGAGAGGCCCCAAGGGCTTCCTGTGTAAATATCTTTATTATTATTATTATTATTATTATTATTATTATTATTATTATTATTATTATTATTATTATTATTATTTATTTATTTATTTATTTATTTTATTTCATTTTTTTAACAGTGGACCTGTCCCCAGGGCATGACATACAGATCCTCGTCCGCTCCTGCTTTGAGCTTAGATCATGGTTTTATCAAGTCCAGGTAAGATCGCAGTTTCTTATCATTAAGGTTAGATTGAGCTTTCTTTTTTTTACCGTGGGGAGAAATATATTACGTTTATGTGACAGCTTCTTCTCGAGATAAATCTACGTTGGTACATGGGAATAACCATGGAAACGTCATAAGTACAATGGCGGGCTTCTTTGTCCAACGTTTTAACAACCAATCACAATTGGCTATGGTATTTTCCGCGTAAAAGGCGCACTGCACGTGGTGAGAACGCGGGAAAACGATACGGATGTGACCGCTTTTGCGTCGATCTGTGAAGTAAATATACCCGCGGAAAACTGCGTTTCCTGTGGTATATGTAATCTAAAGTGGTTGGTGAAGGTTGTCTAGAAGTTTTCATTGCTTTATGAGGATCTACGTCGATTTATATATGTTATTGCAAGGTTTGCCTTTTCAGGAAAAATTTCATAGAATGAAACTTCGACGTTCTTAATTCTACGATATATAGAGGGATATAATTTGTACTTAGATTTTTACTTAGGTAACCGCAACAGAGCGTGGCGCCAATTACTGAGAACCCGTAACGGTCCCCCCCGTTAGGGACATCACCAGGAAATACGACCCCCACTCTTACTGAACAGTGTGTGGATGTGCAAGGGTTGTGAGACGAGGCCTACGGTTTGTCTTCCTAATCCGATAGTCGATAGATAGACGATCATTCTTTTCCTCTGTTTTCTATTTACTATTCTCTTTCTCAGGGTTCACTCAGCGCCAGCGGTGAGAACAAACCAGTCTTCTAAGTCTTCCTTCTCATTTAGGTACTACGGTCTTTGTCATCCAAGTACTCATTTATCTCCTGTTTCAAGGCATCTGACCCTTTATCATGAATTGGTTTATTTTCATTCATTCTCTACTTTTTTCTCGATCTAATACCTCAACAACACTCTCTTTTATTGTGAGGATCCTGAAACCTTTTCCACCCCTAATCTTTTATTGCTCAAAGGAAAAACTAAAGCAAAAGTTCTTTCTGAAAAACCTTTGAATTTGCTCTGACAGTTTAGCTTTCTCTTCTTTCTTGGTTGCTGATTTTTGTCATAACTCTTTTTGCATTTTTTGTTTCTTGTGTGTCCAAATTAGAACTCTAGCACGCCTTTGTAAAATGCATAAAAACAAACAGGTTTCGTTTGAATGGCAACATCATAAGGATTTCGTCCATAGGTTTAAAAGTTAGGACCACCGTGAACAGCATAATAAACAGTACCACAGGAAAGTACTACGCATTCGAATTGAAAACTGTAGGATTTCATCCACAGACTCAAAGTTAGAATCATCTTGCACAGAAAGTACCTCTCAGTAGTTTTCACTTGAATAGTCACTTAACGATTTCATCTACAAACTCCAGATTTAGAATCACCTTGTACAACATAATAAACAGCATCACAGAAAAGTACTGCTCAAACTTAGATTTCATTTTAATGGTTGTTCTTTAGGTTTCATCTGCGGAGTCTGCAAACTCTGGAACCACTTTGTACAACGTAGGAAAAAAAATTCTGGAAAAATTTGTTCAGTAGCTTTAATTCCATCATGCGAAAGGACTTCATCCAGAGATTAAAAAGTTAGAACCGCGTCCTGTCGCAACAGTGTACTCAAGAGAGGAAAGAGACAGTCCTCGTCTTGTACTCTTCTTACTTCACTTAAAGAATTGCTTGCAGCTACTTCCATGTAAGCATCTGAATCACACGTTTTCTACATTCTGCCTCTCTATTTCTAGGGACAGTTCATCACACGTCTCAAAGACTTCTTTTAGAAGCAAATCAGCCTTGACGAAGATCAAGAGGTATCCATCTCAGAGCCTCGCTATTGTGTTTTTTAAGGTTCTGGCGGTACTCCTGAAAATGTGATATATGTGTCTGTTTAATGCCCCCTTACACGGGATACTTCGCTTGAAATAACTGTTTTCTGCTTCCTTTGTGGTAACTTTTTTCACGTTTTAGCTCTGTACTTCTTGGGAAATTCCTTCGTATGTCTCGAAGGGTCTTTCAATAAGCAGATGGGCCATTTCGAAAAGGAAGAGATATCTTATCTCGGACTCTTTTTTATTTTTATTTTTATCTTAGTTGTGATATACAGCCAACATCCAACAGCACAGCAATCTAATACTAATGGAGATTTGATACTAATTGGGTAGTTGCTTCACTTGAGATACTTAGCTTGTTGTACGCAATGCTCTCATCACCTAGCCTTTTGTACCTTGTACCCCATATATGAACCTCGTCCCCCTGAACTTGGGTATGGTAGCCGGGCTTGTTGTTTGGCCTTACCTTTATTTTACCTTATCGGTACTCTGGTTCCTCCCGCACCGCAGTGTCAAAGTTAATAAAACTATCATTCCTGTTCTCAAACGAGATTTCACATGTCCCTTCTCTGCCGCTTTCTTCTTTTCTTATTATTTTCTTCTTCCCGATTGTTTCTGTGTAAATCCTGGTTGTTGTATCTTGTTTCTCTTACTAACTTTTCTTTCTTGAACAGTAAACCGCGGGCCAAAGCTAGATCTAAATCTGCAGCGCCACATCCGAGGCGTAAAAACACTGCACACTATGAAAGTTCTTCTCTGTCATGGTAATTAACGCTAACTGAAACTTTTTGTAGCTCCATGCTATGTTTACGAGTTGGAAGGTGATTTTGAATGAAGTATCGTTATTTCTTTATCTTGTTTCTTAAGACCTTTTTTCTTCTTGGCCAGCAAACCTCAGGACAACGCTAGATCTAAATCCGCAGCTCCATATCCGAGGCGCAAAACCACAGCGTGTCATGAAACCTCTTCTCCCGTATGGTAATTGACTTTCACGGAAGCTTTGGCTATTTCTGTGCTTTGTTAATATGGTGGTGGAATCGATGATTTAAAGTTAACTGCTGTTATTCTGTATAAATTCTTGTTGTTTTATCTTGTTTCTTTTGACCATCTTTTCTTTGTTGATTAGCAAACCTCGCATCAAAGCTAGATCTAAGTCAGCGCCGTATCGGAGGCGCAAAGGAACATCACATCATGAAAGCTCTTCTTCGCCAGGGTAATTGACTGTAACTGAATGTCTGGATACTTCTCTGCTTTGTTAAGGTGGAAGTGGCGGTGATCTTTACTTTACTCTTTATTTTTGTGGAAATTCTCCTGCTTGTATCTTGTCTCTTCTGGTCATTTTTCGTTTCTTGAATAGCAAACCACAGACTAGCAATTCTTGATTTACAACCACGTGACAAAATGACGTCGTTGGTTGAGAAAACAATAGAGCGACATGACGTCACGGCGGCCATGTTGGTGTCCTAATCCAGTCCTGTGGGAGTTAAACTATTTTCTTATGCAAACGCTTTCTTTTGTTTCAATGAATTTGCATAGATACTGGCCATGTGACTGAAAACTCTCGATAAGAATTTTTGGCAGAATTTGCATGAAAAAAGGGTTAAGTTCCCAGTAGAAGAAATCACTTGTTTTTGTCAACCTAGATAAAGCTTATCGCTCAGAATCGCACTTGTCTTGCAGTCCCTCAGCGCCAGTCCTCCTGCCTAAAATCAAGAAAAAGTCAACAAAATCACAGACACTCAAGGTAGGAAATCTCTCTTTCCTTAGTAATACCAGACCCTTTTAGCAATTAATAATCGCTTTTGGTGTAACAGAGTGGCTCATATCTGAAGGGCTTTCCGATCAGTACCAAAAAATTTGCAGTCTCGTTCATGATTTCTTCTCTGCCATAAAGATGATGTTACACGGTACGATTCGCAACGACGATTTTTAGCGAAACACAACGTCGAATTGTACCATGGGGCTGTTTTTGGGGACAACAATTCTTGGCCCACTCACCTGCGCAACACTGTAATGACCAATAAAAGCTGCGATAGGGTCCCCAAAACTGTCCCATAGTGTAATTCGACATGACACCGACTCAGTCTCACGCGCAACCTTAAAGAAAGCCCGCGAGCAAGCTCTCCATTTGGAGGAGTCGGAGTCGCGAGAAGTCACGCGAGAGTAGCACACGAAAGGAGACGCGAGTGCTCCGCCCCTCGCTCGCGAGTTCTCTTGCACTTCGCTTCGCTCAATATATAAAAGGCAGATCTTGCTCCCAGGCTGCCTCAAAGCTTCCAATATCCTGACCTGATTAACACTTGTAATCAACTCTAATTTCTGCAGAGAAAAGAAACGATCGGAAGTATTGCTTGTAAGACTCCAGTTTTGTTAGTACGACATATTCACTGTTTGTAACGATTGTCATTCTTAAGGGTCTTAAAGCCTCAATCAAACCATTACCCTGGGTACCAGAGGTGTTTTCTCGCGTGCGACGGGGAGCTTCGTTTTGTCGGTCGAAGGCCGAGGACACAAGCGGCGAAGCCGAAACCCAAAACCGCGCATGAAAAGCCTCTGGCACCCAGGGTATCAAACCATAACCGTAATAATCACTAGTAAGCTTACGTAATAGGACGGCAGAAAGAAGAGGACGGCAAAACGTTCAAAAACTTTCTCGTCTTCTTTCCTACGCCGTCCTTTTGCGTAAGCTCATTAATATGACATTAATTTACCCATATTTGATAACAAAGCCATATTTTACGATAGAATAAATAGCACCGTGAAAGGCAATGCTCCGGAGCGTTTATTTGCGTGATCGTAGTTATGCAGGATTTCACTCTCAAGACTCTAAAATGAGGGCAACATTCAAGGTCGAGCCTTGAGCGGTAAGAATAGATTGGCTTTGTTAAACCTGTTAACCTTTAAAAGCGTTTTTTTCATTCTTTTTTCCAGTTTTCCTCCAGCTCTACAGTGGGGTCTGAAAGAACGCGACAGATGCTGAAATCCCGGATGAAGTCGAACATCTGACTAGTGCAGGACAGGGAGCCGCTTTCAGTGACAACATCCACCATCCCTCCTCTCCCTCAGCTTTATCAAGAGCCATTGCGAGGAGAAGAAGCGGAATGCGAAGGAAGACATGCGCATTGCACAATTGAGACTTGTCATCAAAAGCGGCTCCTTCACGAGCTTTTGATTCATCTTAACAGACTGAATTTAGGCGCCGACAGATATGCTTGAAATTTCCCTCAGGAAGGGAGAAAATCGAAATAAACAATAAATTCCTGATCTTATATTTGTAAAAAATTGATAACAGAGGCCATTAGATTCTAAGGCGAGGAGGGCTAAGAGAACGAGATTTTCTCAACACTAACATCTGCGCGCGTGAACCGGGAACCTGAGTCATTTTAGCGGGAAAACGTGATAGCCGTCGTCATTCTACTACGAGTTTTTTTGAAAATGTCGCAGTGGTTTTTTTTTAAGTTTTTAAATTTTGTGATCAGGAGAGGGCTCAACCTCCTGCAAAGAATATAACCGTGTTCTCTTTTATGGCGAAAAAAAAGTGAAAGTAATAATGAATACGCGAGAAAACTTCAAGTTAAATCTCGCCCTCGAATCTAAGGTCTCTAGTCCAGTTCTGGCAACGGGATTTTATTAAAACGGTCACATCGTAGGCACTATTATCACGTACTCAAAAACTGAAACGAAGTTCAAGTCTTCAAGAAAGAGTTGATTGAAGATATTTTTGATGGAATGTGACCATTTTTATGTTGCTTCATCATTACGAAAGCGGTCGTCCGTGCTTTTTGTTGTTCCCTTGGTAACAGCAAGGAAGGCAGCAATTTAGCATTTTTCTCGTGATAGTCAAATCTATTTTATTAAGCATTTCTGCTGTTTTTTAGAATTCTTTTTGTACAAACTTCTCAACAAAGGTGTCGCTCTTTGTGCGACCACATAAAAGTAACACCTGTAAAATTTTGTAAACTTTGTATTATATTTTGTAACGCAATTTTCTAATGCTTGTACGATATGTACATTACGTTTCAAAGCTGTACGATACAGAACGCGTCTGAATAATATAATTACTTCAAACTAATTTATGCGTGGAATCGACAGAATTTTTTGGAAAGAAGCTCAGTATTAAGTCAATTATTGTAATAAATTATGAAGGTGATTTAACTATGCGCTGCTTCATTACTTTCTCTTGCATTCCCTGACACAAAAAAACACATCCCTCCTGCCTTCTTGCGCAAATAATTTAGTGTTTAACTATTTAGAACCAAACCTGATGCCTTTTTTGCCTCCACAAGCCCGTAGCAAATAGAAATTAGTAGGGAGCTTAAGCAACGACGACGGCGAGGTGAACGAGAACGGCAAAAAAAGCAATTCGTTGAGATTGGCAAAACAACAACTTTTCACGTGCATCACGCTCTTTTGTATATTTCTTTGCCGTCACTACACGACTACGACATGAAACTTCTCAAGTTGACGTTTTATGGAGGACGTGAACACAAAACAACGATTTTCGTTTTGTTTTTTTTGAACTTACATACAGTCCTTTAGAATTCAACTCCTGAAAAATCGCCAACATTTTACAACATTTTACAAATTAAAGGAGTTTGAATAAGAGTAATGAAGTTTGAAACAGCGCAAATTCACTTTTTGGGTGACGTTTTTGCTGCCGTTGCCGTCGTCGTCGCGTAAGCCCCCTAATGAAAGACATCAAATCACGCTCACGATGTGAGGGTACCAAAGCCGCCTACAGTTTTTAGAAACGAGAAGAACTGGGCCGAGTTAGCTTTGCAAAGACTTCTGGGATCGTTACTGGGGACGCGCCGGTCAGCTATTGGCCAATTCAATTCATACTTTTATGAAATATTCACATTATATATAGTAAGGTAGGAATACACTAATAAAGAAGGAGGAGAAAAGAAAATTAATGGCCGGGATAGAAGTGTACGATGGCGAGAATAACAAGTCATAGTAGGGCAGAAACAATAATTGTGGATGTTTACCATTTACATGGGGGAACTGGTCGTTTCACGGTTTGGGAAAGTGGTAAGCAAAATTCAAGACTGGCAAGTTTCGTCCCGGAATCGCGTTTACCATTTGCAGTTACATTTACCGAAAGACGGCCGCGAAGGTCTGAAACTGGTATCAAAGATGGCTTTCAAGAAATGGAACACGAATTTTCGTTTGGAACATTCCGATCGGGAAAACAGGACTACTTTTTCAGACGTTCCGCTACTCCCGGAAATTTTCCACCGAAACGACCCGAAACGTAGTGCTCCATTAACTTTCCAACCGGGTTTTCCGCAAACGTTTTGTCAACGTTAAACAACCTGTATCTCTTAAAATAAAAAGTTATGAGCGATAGTTGAGTATGCGGGCGAAACGTTGCCTTATCAAAGGCTGCAATCAAGTATTAATCGCGCGCTACGCTCGCTCAAGAAAGCCGACAAATATACGCATGCTCAAATATTTACGCTGAAATAAATAAATGAAGGCTCTCAGAACCTACCAAGCCCCAGTATACGCTACCAAAGCGTCTTTTTTGGTATCGTGTAATGCTGCTCTAAACAGTTTAGTCTCATAACGTTCTGCTGCTATCCGTTTGATGCTGTACGTAAGAGTCACTTTAATACACGATCACAAGCAAATACAAGTTAAAATACAAAATGCAAGTTATACAAAAATATCTTATGAACTACAAAACCTATCAAATGTAACAAAAATAACAGGACTATAAATCAAAACAAATGTACAAAATACACTGAAACGTCTTCTATGGTACAATTTACATAAATAAATCACAAGGTTTAAATAATTTTCTCTATAGATAAATATTTTGATAATAAACGTGCTTACCAATAACTCTGAAAAAAAAAAGTCTCAAGGAACCAAAGCTTACAGGCGTTCAGACCGCCTACGTTCTGTTACGGATTCTTTAGATTTGGAAAGTTGATAACCATATCGCTTTGACTCTCGGAGTCGGGCTGAAACCTTTTAACAATATATATTATTGATCAATTTTCTTACGTCGCGAAATCATGTTTAGTTAATCAAATTATTTTACAACGAACGCTGCTATGGGTGGGTGGGTGTACCACGGGGCATTTTCTTATTCCTAAATGACACAAACTCGTTCTGATGACCAAATGAGTCAATCTTACGTCGCTTTTTTGTAACGTATGGTATAACAATATTCTATTAATAGCGATAATAGGTTACCTTAAACCTCTCAAGCAAGTATAATTTTGAAGAATTGACAAAAGTCAGGCTAACGCTAACTAGCTCTCACTCTCAGTTTTGTACATAACGCTTCATTCGATAACACGTACGATATTCTTTCTATAAGCAATAGCATAGTAATGTCACTTATTTTTTATACACTAATGCATAACTTGAAATGAATCTTAAACCCGTATTGATGCGTAATAGTTATTTTTGTTTATCATGTAATTTGATAATGTTGATTTTCGAAGACTTATTGACGGATGCGGGCGGCTTGATTTTAAATAATGCTTCTAGATTTTTCGACAGACATGAAGTTTAACGTAGGCGATTAGTATCGTCGACTTTTAGGCAGCGAACTTGTTGCAGCGCCTGAAAAGTACAGTAAGGATAACTGGTTAAAAGGGTCGAAATGAAGATAACATAGTAAATAAATAAGAGGTTGCGATCAGTCATCCATAATTGAATAAAATATGAAAAAATGATCGTCATTATTGTCATCATCATACAAACCGTAACTATCATCAGTCATCACCACAATAATCATAATCAACATCATCACCATGTTAATTAACAAAATCGTAACCATAACCGTAATCAAGATCACGGTGATAATTAAAATGATGATGACGACGATGATAATGATGTTAATGACATCGATAATGATTATGATGTTCATTATGAGACGACAATGATAATGATGATGATATCGATGATGATAATGACTATGATGATGATGATGATGATGAGTATGATAATGATGATGATGACGACGATGACGATGAGGAAGATAAAAAAATAGACATTTCAGTGAAAACTTGTTCTTTAGTTCTTTTTTTAGGTGTATGGTTTGAACAATGGAGAACTTGCAATTTTAGCAACATGTTCAAGGTTGAAATCGTCCTTCACGTCCTTCTCCGTTTCACACCACTCAAAAATCGTGTTGGGCTTAAACTATTTGGTGGAAGAAATTAAAGAACCTGGGTGTGGGATTTTTCACCTGATAAAAAGTGACTACACTCAAAGCACGAATTACCTCTGTTGATAGCCCCCAGTCTGTTCTGCAATGATTCTAGTCTGTGAATGTACAAATTCAACGAATGATCAGCGCTCTCGCTCCCGTTGTGAACCGATCCCACTGAAGAAGAACCCGACGGTGACAAAGGACGATCGTAAGCGTCAGCGTATCTGCGAATGGACGGATCGGAAAGTTCTTGACGGCGCGGCGAAGAGTGCCGCGGTGTCGAATCAAAATGACCACGATCACTATAGTCACGTCGCGTGCTTACAGTTTCCCGAGTTGGTGGCGATTTTAAGCGTTGAGTGTAATCGGAAGGTATCGGATCTGGGGCTCGGGGAGCCGATGTCGTTCGAGTATCCGACCAGGCTGTCGGGGAGTAAGTTCGTGGTGATCTGCTTGTCGACGAAGGATAACTTCGACGCGATAAAGGTTCATCAGCAGTGAAATTCTCGTCGTGATGACTGAATCTATCACTTGATGTAGTAGTCGGTGGCTTAATAGGACGAGTTCTTGAGTCATTCTCATGTGTTTCATACGTTCGCCGATCACTCCTTGGTGAATACCGATCAGTATACGTGGTTAAACCACCGTTTTGATATAACGTTAACTTTGGAGCAGAGTACGCAACTTCAGCGATCGATCTCGGAGAATGCCCATCAGTTGATGCTGGATGATAAACCGTGTGGTCGTTAATGTCACCATTCACCACGCGTGACCGACTAGTAGTCTCGCGCAATCGACTCGTACTCTCTCGCGATCCTACTATAGAAACGCGTTTCGATTTGTTCACCAGAAAGTTCATGCGCTGGATCGCCAGCACGGCACGTGCTGCAGTGCGGAACCTGCGTTTACCAGTGCGCCTATAGGGCCTCCCAGCGTTCGCCGGATATGCGCCCATCTGAGAGATCATAGCAAGCGTTGTAGACTCGCAATCTTGGAAACCACCCAACAGCAGTAAAAGGTACTTCTTCTGATAGACAAGAGCTTTCCTGAAACTTTCTGCCTTGACGAAGCGTTTGTAGAGCTTGAGGAGCTATTATGGACAAAGCAAAAAGAATTTACTGTTAAGATATCATTATCGTGTAAAGATTGTACGGTGAGGTCTCTCTAAAAAGGGTTATATAGGACTGGCACTAGGTGGACGTCTTAGAGAGGTGACCATCTTATAGAGTGTGATGCAATGTCTTAAGAACGGCAGGGACACTTCCCTAAAGTTCACACCTAGAGTAGCCAAGTCTAGGTGTGAACACACCCAGAGTTAGGTCAACTGTAGGTGTGAACACACCTATGGTTGTGAACACACCTATGGTTGCCTTGGACGAAAATAAAGAGGCTTACAAACAGAAGTGTGTTTTCCGTTGAGACCAACGAAGAGATTGAAGTATAAGTGAAAGGGGTCTTAACCGCAGTACATTTATCTAACCAGCAAAAGGGCCTTTTCACAGGGAACCCACCTTAGAACGTGGCCACGTAACCTCGTCTTCTGATTCGTGGCCACTGACCGATATGCTTGCACTCCCGTCTTTAACGGCTTCATGGCGGACACGTGACAACTCAGCCTGTGCGGCTCTCAAGGCCTGCTGGGATTCTGCTTTTTCCTGAGCCCATCTTTCGCGCTCGGCTCTTAGAACCGACTCTGCATGCTCCCTTGTTAAGCGTGAGCTCTGGGGAGGAGAGGGAGGGGATTAAATAGATTAGATTTCAATAGCAACAAAGTTACTGTATTAAAGCATGATCTTCGAACAGAGCTACATATCACTGGTTAAAGCATCCTTGGCGTGGTTCTATTTTATTATGCCTTATTTTTGAAACGACTCCACTATTATGAAAACATCTTCAGTCTCAAGATGATGAAAACAGAGACAACAATGTCGTAATTGAGCCAAGTGCAAGTGGAAATTTCTTTGCTACGACACTTAACGGTGATTACAGATCTCTAGTTTCACCTCTAAGAACATCTGGGCACTGCGGAAACCTCTTTTGGAGAACAGTGAGTGTTTAGCTTCCAAATCGAATTTGAACGCGTGTTTTTCACACCTTGTGGTATATTCGTATTAAAATTAATGCCACAAGACTCGGGAATAAAGAAACTACAGTCAAACCCCATTAAAACGGACACTGAGCGGGCCACAAGACTCGGGAATAAACAAACAAACTGTCCAAACCCCATTGAATTTAAAAAACGGACAAAGCAAACTGTCCGAGCGTATTAAGCGGGTTGAATTTAGAGAAAATAGAAGGGTGTCCAAACTGTCCCTTTTAACGGGGTGTCCTTATTAAGCGGGTTGAATTTAGAGAAAATGTCCTTACATTTTCTCTAAATTCTCTTTCCCCAGGGACAAAGCAAACTGTCCGTAGTAATAATGAGGTGTCCGTAAAGCGGTTTGAATTTAGAGAAAACGTAAGGGCTTTCATTTCCCAGGGACAAAGCAAACTGTCCGTATTAATGAACTGTCCGTTTAAAGTGGGTTGAATTTAAAGAAAATGTAGGAGCATTTGCCCCAGGGACAAAGCAAACTGTCCGTAATAATGAGGTGCTCGTAAAGCGGGGTTTGACAGTACCTGTTCATTTGTTCGCTCTCGTTGTCTGTACTGGGAGATTTGCTCTTCTAGATTAGCTAACGCATTTCTCAATTCCTTTTTCTCTTCATTCAGTTTGGAGACGAATTCTGCCAATTCTGTGTTTTGACGCACGATTCTTTCTTGGGCGGCAGCTTTTATCGGCGACAAAGGAACGGTCTGACCATCCTAGAAACAAAAAAGCGGCCTTCAGCTCACATGCAAGAAACAGAAGAAAAGTTGCTGTTATATAACCTCTGTTTATTTCGGATCAGGCCTCGGATGTTCAAAAGATGGATAACGCCATCGACTTGATTAATCTCTATCTAGTGGATAGCGCAATTGGTTTCCCAAATACTTATCTACTGGATAGAGATTTATCCGGTGGATAACACTATTCAATATTTGAACAACCGGGGCCAGATGAAAACGGGAAATTTTGTTCTGGAGGGGATACAATTTAACAAATTTGACTCAAGATGAGGACATACAACTCCGAACTACAAACAACTTCACTGGAAAGGAAATGAACGTCAGCTCTAATCTTATTGAAAAAACAGTACAAAGTAATTTGTCAATGATGTAATGGTACTGATGATGATGATGATGATGATGATGATGATGATGATGATGATGATGATGATGATGATGATGATGATGATGATGATGATGATGATGATGATGATGATGATGATGATGATGATGATGACGATGATGATGATGATGATGGTGATGATGATGATGATGACGATGATGATGATGATGATGATGATGACGATGACGATGATGATGATGATGACGATGACGATGACGATGACGATGATGATGATGATGATGATGATGATGATGATGACGATGAATAGGATTAATATTACGTTGACGATAACGAATGACGATTATGGTGGTGACATAAATGATGACGATGATGAGAACGATGATTACGTTTAATATCAGGATGATGATGATGGCTCTGACACCAATGATGATGACGATGATGGTGACAATGATGATAATGATAATAATAATGATGATGATGGTTACAATTAATATTATGTTGATGATAACGATGACGATTACGGTGGTGACACTAATGATAAAGACGACAATGATACAGAGGTCTGTGATGACGATGATTATGATGATAATGCTGAAGATGATGATGACGAATACGATAATGATGGCCCTGCATATATTATGTTTACTCCAATCAACACAAGGATATCTTGCCAATGGACAAAATGAAATAATATTACATCGTTTTTCTATTAACAACATACATCTATATGCACTGTAAGTGTGGCTCTGATTTGCTCTAGTTCTCTCAGCAGATTTGTAAGAGACTGCCTCACTTCTTCTAACTCCTTGTTATCCCTGTAAAAACAAAAAACACATTATTATTCAAAGCTCTTGAGATATAGGTGTATTTAAATACAATTTAAAGGAGTTAACAACAAAGAACGCCTTTAGTGCTCGTGGTCCGCAGTCGCTCGGCATGCGCATGCCCAGTAGTTCACTACATCTTTCACGTGATTTAGTGGCGCGTGGTGTTTTCCTACGTGCAGCGTTTTTCCTGCCACAAGGTTTCTATCAGCCCGTTTAATTACGAATTGACTGTATAATAGTATACCATTGTGATATTTAGCAGAATGTATTCAGACAAAAAGCCGAATTTCTTATTGACTGCGCTGAAGTGCATAATATACCCATGGCTCCAAAAAAAAAGAAACTCCAGCTTTTCCTTTGGGCAAGCAGGTCTCACACTTTGCTTGCCTGGGGCCACTTCTTGCTTGTCTTAGCTAATGATTTTGTTAGAGGATGACTGGCTTGAACCCTGCCTACTGGACAAGTAAGGTCTAAAGGTTACTTTCCCCACAAACAAAATCTGCTTGTACCGAACGACCGGAAGGGACTTTTTTCGGGCCCTGAGCCCGGTTCCTGAAAGGCCGATTAGTGCTAGCCCAGGATTACAATTTTGTTCTCTTTTTTTTGTATTTTACCTTCCTGTGTACTGCTTAGAGTAACATTTTGGGTTATCATTTCTGTATCTCGGAGAAAAGGCTTAACAGTATCTTAGGAAAGAAAACCGTGCTTACAATTTGGCGTAATCCTGGCTTAAACTTAACCATCTTTTGAGGAACCGGGCTCTGTTAGATACCTGTGTTTAGTGGAGTCTAATGAGTTCTGGTGCTTATTGATAAGCACTTGATGCTGTTGTCGCATGGATTCCAGTTGTTGTTGATGAAGCAGCAGTCGCATACGGAGAGGATATATGGACGCCTCCTAGGGATAGATAGCGAGAAGGTTAGGCCGGATATTTTACACTGTCAAGGAAAGAAATTATAAACTTGACAAGTGAGAGGTAACGTGCCCCGCTTAAATAAAAACACAATAACAAAGTTTACTAGGGGTTCAACGATGCGTGAATGTGGGAATGGGTACAAGCTCTTTCAGCGCAGCGATTCCTGGGATCATTGGGTGAAAAAGCGTTACTTGTGATTGGTTAATAGCCTCTTTGAATATCGTCGAGACATCGACCAATCATAACTAACGCCCTGTCCACCCAAAAGATCCCTGAAATCACTCCGGCCAAAGCTTGTACCCATTGTACCTAGTGTTTCTGCAGTGAGGAATTTGAACCTGTACAATTTCAAAAAGGTCAAAAATAAAAGAGAGTCGACTCTAACGTAACCCTAGTCAAAACTCACCTTGTCAGATTCTCGCAAAACTTGGGCTTCTAAGTCTTTCTGTAATTCATCAATCTTCGAGTCTCTTGCTGTAAGGTCTCTGTTGAGAGAGGAGCTCTTTTCTCTCTCGTTCTCCAGTTTCTGTTCAACTTGTGCTCGCTTCTTCTTCTCATTATCCAGTTCGCTCTGTAGATGCCTCTCTTTCTCTTTATGGCTCATTGCCGTTGCCTGTTGTACGTCTCGTTCGTTCTGTAATCGTCTCGCCCGAAGTCTCTCCTCTTCTAATGTGCCCGTCAATTCAATTAATTGTTTCTAAACGACAAAGAAATTATCGAATTAATCAGCCCGTTCCGTGCTAAATGTAGCAGAGGATGGACACAAAAGAGTCGCTACAATATTCTCGCTTTTTTGTCCTCCTCGTTTCTCTCTTTGACGTGCGAGAACAAAAATCCGCTTCCGCCTGAGAAGTCAAGGAAGTAAAATGGAGTGAGTTTTCTCCGCATGTTCTGTTTGAAACAGGATTTCTAAAACGTTTCCAGAAAAAGATGTTCTGTGAACAAACTAGCAAGATCATGACGAATGAAAATCATCTTTAGACTCCCCCACTTTAGGGTCCCTGTGCGTACTTCGTTAGTTAGGTTGTCCTGTGCATGCCTCACATCTTTCAAGTATAAAGTATTTTAAACCATTTTCGAGATCCTAACACCAACAACAAATTAATCTTAACCAATGTTAAGTACCTGCACAACATCAAGCGCGCCCTTAAGCTGATGCGCTACGAGCTTCTCTGTTTTCTCTGACTCATCGTTCTTCTCCTTTTCTGTCTCAAGAGACACTTCAAGGAAAGCACTGCGATTTTTCTCGTCTTCAAGAGAGGCACTGAGTTCCACAGACCGTTCTCTTGCCGCGTTAAGGGCTGCTTGTAGCTCTAGGAGAATAAAACAGAATTTAAAAAAAACGTTTTAGCAGACGTAAACAATGAAAAGGTAAAAAGTTTATCTGTTAACGAAACTCTGGAGCTGCTTCAGTTCGGTAGGGATTGAAGCAAGAGATTTGATTTACCAGACTGTTTACGTATTTCATTTGATGATTCGTCACGCCCTTCTCCCATACGTTGTGGAGGAAAGTTGCGAAAAAAAAGAGCGCCTGCGCAGTGGGCTAACTTGAGTAAGTGTCAAAGTGAAAAGACCGCCTAACCCCACCCCTACCTCTAGCGCTCGTTTCTGTACTTGCGTAAATAGAGAGGTTGGAACGGATTCGGTCACCCCTTGCGTGATGTCAAGGCAAATGCTTCCTCTACTGTTTCCTATTGGCGAATTCTTGGTTTGCAGCCACATGACAGTGCGGCCATGTTTGTGGTCGATACCAATTTAAATGAAAATGGAGGAGAGAAACCTCAAACGCTTATGTTTTTGACCACCAACATGGGCGTCGTGACGTCACGTGCAAGCCAGCAACGAAGTTACGAGAGAGACTGAGTCGAAGTTGTGTCGAGTTGAACTATGGGAACTGTTTTGTGAGACGAATTTTGACCCAGTTTCCCGCTCCATCTCACTACAGCCAATAAAAGAAACGTTAGCGTCTAAAAAACATTCCCATAGTGCACTTCGACACAATCCCGACCCCGTCCTACGTGCCACCTGGACACGACCTTCAGTAAGTAACCTTTGTTAATGCTTCTCAGTTGATCTGCCTGCTCTTTTACGTGTTTCAGTGCTTCCGTCTGCCGTTTTTCGTTAGTGAACGCCTGCTGAATCTGCTCTGCTCGAGTTCTCTCGTTTCTTAACGCTATGTTGAGTTCTTCGATTGTTTCGCGATCTGTTTCTGTTAAAAAGGAAAAAAAATAATGAGCACATAGAAGACAAGTCTTTTGTTAAATGGACGAGAAGAAAAGGTATCATTAAACGTTTCTGGGTAACTGCCCACCGACCCCTCCCCTCAGCCAACATTAACACTTCCTTCTTAGTTAGGGTAAAATGTTGGCTTAGGGGAGGGGTAAGTGGGCAGTTTCCCAGGAACGTTTAATGATCCTTAAAGTCATGAATGCCTTCACCCAAACACAAACTGCTAAGGTAGAGTCGTAAAGAAGATACCAAAGATATTTCATCAGGGAGCACTGACCATACTAATTTTTTGGCGATGTTTGCAGGCGTAGCATTAAACCTTGAGAAAAAATAGCCAAACATTTTTTCAAGTTTCATCCATGTCCATCCTTGCCATCCGTAGAAATAGAGGAAAGGAAACAGTTTTAATTTCTAAATACAGTCTTGAATAACAAAACTGCACCATCATCTTTGGAATTCAGCTGGCACTAAAACAAGTTTGAGCTTTTCACAAAGATAGCAGGTAGCGTGATGTTTACTGCTGTCCTGTTTCACTTACTAGGTTTGCGTCTTTTTCCTTTTAATTTAGTTTCTTTCCTTTATGAATTTAGTTTTTTTTTTATTTTCAGCCCGCAGTGAAAATAGAAAATAGTCTTCAATACTTAAAATAACATGTATTTGTAATTATTTTTTGTAAATAAGTAAATAAATATTAAAATAAATAACAAAAAAAGTAGCGTGACGTTTTATAAATCAAATTCCTCACCCAAAGCTTCTCCTTGCAGAACTTTCAATCTTTCCAGCTCAGTCTCGAGGGTTGATCGCGATATTCTTTCTCTCTCTAGCAGTAACTCCACATCTGTCTTGTCCTTCTTGGCCACCGCTACCTGACGTCGAAGAGTTTCAATGTCTTCGTGAAGCCGATTGCTCTCCTCCTTAGTGCGCTGTCTTTGAGTTTCCACAGCGTCCTGGTACTTCTTGGTGTTGGCTCGTTCTAGCTCCAAGGCTTGTGTTTGGTTCGAAAGACGCACCTTTTCTCCCTGAAGGCTTGTCCTACAAGAAGATAAGTAAGCATTTCTAGTATTAAAAACTTTTGAAGAAACTGCGCGACGCAATTAATCGGGTAAATGGCAAAGTTTATCAAAATATGCGTTGAAAAGGTTGAAAAACCAGACGTTTCATGGGTGCTCCCTCTTTCTCAGTGGTTTAAAAGCACTGAGGAACAGCTTTATCTATGCGCTTGGCGCCCTTTCGTTCTCCTCATGACCCCTTTCACCGGACTACGGTCGAAAATCCCGAGGAGGACCCGGGTACGAGGCAGCCCGGTGTATTGGCTCAGAGCTCTGATTGGTTGATTTCATATTAAGCGCGTCTTCTGATTGCCAGAGTAATTTTTCTACTTTTGGAAGAGCAAGGGTAGGGCAGTAATCCCACCAGTGTGGCCCGGGTTCAAATACCAGCGTCGACGCCATATGTGGGTTTGTTGTTGGTTTTCTCCTTTGCTCCGAGTAGCCACCTAGCAAGCTCTCCAATTATGGCGAGCGAAGCGAGGCGCGAGAGAACGCGCGAGATAGAAGCGGAGGAAAAGGAGAGCTCTCCCTCTCTTTCCCCGCCCCTCGCACTCGCATCTCCTTTCGCGTGCTGCTCTCGTGGCCTTCTCGCGACTCCTCCAAATGTAGAGTTTGCTCCCAGGCTTTGCTCCGAGAGGTTTTTCTCCGCCTACTCAAGGTTTTCCCCTCTCCTTAAAAACCAACACTTCCAAATTCCAATTCGACCAGGAATAATAGACGAAGAACTACTTTGTGGTTGTGCTACCTCTAAACCGTTATTTTTGTTTTTTAATTTTTTATTTATAGTTTTACTTCACGCTACTCAATTGAAAAGTCCTTTTTTCCCTTTTATCTCCACCTATCACCGATACAAGACTATTATGAACAAATCTCTAAACATGATTAACTTACTTAAGTGACATGGCATGGACTTTTTCCTTTTCCAAGGCGTCCATCATGTCGGCTTGCCGTCGCTTCTCTTTAGCAAGAGCATCCTTTAAATCTGCCACCAAGCTTCGCTCTTTCTTGAGTAAGTTGTTCAGGTCATTTTGTACATGCTCCGCGTGCTGGCTTTTTACAAGCACTAAAATAAAGGTTGGATATAACTGAAAAATTGTATCCTGAAAAATGGCAGAAAAAAACTCCACGACCCTTCTAAGTTGAAGTCTAAGTGACTCTAAAGCTTGCAAAAAGAAAGTCACGTCTGTTTTTTACAAGAACTGTACCCGTAGAGGCTAGCTGCAAATTTAAAATATGAAATCTGGGTTAAATGTAATCGTCGCGTTTCATTTTTTTAAGAACCAACACTTTAGGAAGAAATTGGTCTTCATCGTCATACAAAATCGATGTGGATTTACTCTTGCAGTTGCTCTGTATTATGATAAATGGGATAATTGTTAGGAAATGAAAAAAATGTCGATCTTACCGTAGGAGTGTTTTGTAGATATATGTTATTGCTGGTGTGACCGTCGTTTAAGTTGTAATCATAAGTTATTATTTTGGAGGCAATACTAGAATCTACAAATTTATTACCCACATAGATTTCGTTATCAACGGGCTTAAGGTAAAACACACGACGTGTGAATTGAAAAATGAAGCTACAATGCAAAGCAAACAAAAAATTGCATTTCTCTTACACTGCGTCCTGATGTCTCTTTCTCTTTTGTTAGCTTCGTCCAGTTCGTTACGCAGGTGCTCCAGAAGATCTTGCTTCTGGAAATAAACAATTAGAAAAGATAGATCACATTATTGTCGTTGGTATTATATTTGTATCTTTTTTCAATATGACACAGGCTTGATATTCACCATCGTCACTTATATCAATACAGTAACAATTGTAATCATAACTATAACAAAATTGTCAAATCTGATTGGCTATCAACTGCCCTGATTTCAGCCTTAATTGGACAGTTTAATAGGACAGTACGCGTCATGCCTAAGTAATTGGACAGTACGCGCCATCATGCGCGCGCTTAAATGGCTTTTTTTTTCACTGCTAGCAAAACAAAATTTCGAATTTCTTGTGTAATCGGCTTCTGCTTGTGTTTTGATTTAAAAAATAGCCTATTATATTACCAATTTTGTTAAAGTTACGATTAATTGGTAACAGAACTTCGTGTCGTCCAATTCGGTCCGTAATCATACTCGTGATTAAACAAATCGGACTCCCGCTACGCGGTCGTCCGATTTTGTTAATCACTCGTATGATTACAGACCGAATTGGACTCCACTCAGTCCTGTTACCATTACTAACGATGATTATAATGATGATAATGATGGTGATGATGATGGAGATGATGATGATGATGATGATGGTGGTGGTGGTGCTGGTGCTGGACTGGTCTGGCTGATCTGTCCTGAGAAATGTTAAGCACCCTAAGATAGAATCAATGACTAAACGGTAGGTTAATGTTTGAAATTGTTAGATCCACTAACCAGAAACACACGCTGCACAGCAAAATGTTCTAAAAGGGATAATGCGTTTATCATCCATGTCTAAATTACCTGGTCGATACGTGGTTTCATCACTGCAGACTTTCTAAGCTCTCGAATCTCTGAAATCAGAGAAGCGCGATCCTTCTTGCGAAGCTCTTCCATGACTCGACCTGAAAGCTCATCCTTAGAAATCAACAAAACGTAAGGAGTTAGGTAAGATGTAATTAGAGGGGCAAGTATATCACAGGTATTTGAGCCGAGTTCCCAAGAGACTAACCATACCAACGACGAGTTTTAGCGCAACACAGCACATTGTTTTAAACGGCTGTAATATCGTTCCAACATTAATATTGCAGCCCCCCCCGCCCCCTCCAATTCCCCTTTTTGCTTCTTCCATGCAGGCTAGTCAAAACATCGCGATCATTAAGCCAATCCAGAGTCCAAAAACTAAGTGCAAAACCTTTCTTGTGAAAATGAGTTTAATTTGCAGGAGAAAAAAATCATATCAATGGCTTCGCACTTAGTCTCGCTTTGAAACAGAGACTTGGGGCAATTCGGACATTGTAATTTTTGTAATTGTTATTTGTTTACGCACGGAGTACTTTGGAGTTCATAAGAACTCGTTAAAACGTGTCCGTGTGTTCCAGATCGAATTGGAATTTGGAAGTGTTGGTTTATAAGGAGAAGATAAAACCGGAGTACCCGTAGAAAAAACTTCAGGAGCAAGGGAGAGAACCAACAGCAAACTCAACCCACGTATGGTGTCGACGCAAAGATTCCAACCCGGGCCATATTGATGGGAGGCGAGTGCTCTCACCACTGTGCCACCCTTTCTTCGCGAAAAAAAAATGGTTATTGCAAAGTGACCCTGACGAGAAATACCATCAACTAGGCTGTAACATTCAAGCTACGATTAACAACTTGTCTTTAATTACATCACAAGAAAAGCTCTATACCTGCGTGTGTATTTGATCTCGCAGCAAACCAGCGTCCGGTGCGTCATGACCATTCATAAGCTGAGAAGTCCGCAGTTCAGCGACCAAAACATCTCGATCTTTCTCGAAAACCTACATGGCAAAATAACCACAACAACAATCAAATAAACCATCGAAAAATACACTAGTATGGGGAACGTCACCCACCCGTCACAGAAGCTCCTGTTGTGTTCTTGAATGAGGAACAGAAAAGGAGCCCGAACATCTAGACTAGTCAATCTTGTTTTGCCTCGTCAAACTGGTTTTCCGAGTGCGAGCATCCGTTTTTTAATAAACTGGTCATAATTGAGCCCGCTGTACCAAGCGCATGGCTATTAGGCCTCCATTCGTCACTTTGAGGTTGCGCGGGAGACCGGGACGAGATGGTTGTCAAAGTGCATTGTGGGACTTTTTTTGAGGACGCATTTCAACATGGCGGTAAATTCGCCGCCCAAAACAGTCCCACAATGCACTTTGACAACCATCTTGAGCCGGTCTCCCGCGCAACCTCAAAGAGGCGAATTACCGCTACTGAGAACCAACATATAATCAGCGAACACAGAATTACTAACCTTTTTTACAGCGTCGAGTAGAACTGATCGCCAGTCATTTTCCAAAGGAAGTTTAGAGGGCTAAAAATAGCGGATATTAAAAGAATTATTAGACACGTCAGTTCGATATACACAGTCCAGTCAGGGAGCCACCTGCACAGTCGTGTTTACCGCGCGTTATGTTGTATGTCTAGAAAATCGATATTTGCAACGATTTTAGCGGTATCTGTCTGCAATTGTTATTGTATAAACAGGGGTATTTTTGAGCAGAATCACTGGGTTTATGCGCATTGCTTGTAAACAAATATGCAAACAGACATTTGAAGTTAAAGTTAAACTAAAGTTCGATCATAATTGAAGCGCGACGATTGACTGCGATAAATCGAGCTGAAATCGTTTAAGGTTGACATGCACGCCAACAGCTCGCCCTCCTTGTCCTGTGAAAAGTCGCGCCACAAAAAAGCCTGCTTAATTTCAATCACGGCACGAAACGATAGAAAAAATGAACAAGGACTTGTTAAGCATTAGGAATTGGTGCTTTGATAATCAGCTTTTACTCAACCCAGATAAAACAAAACTAGTGATATTCGGCAGCCGGCAAATGACTGCTAAGGTTAGCGACTTTAGGCTATTTTTATTGGGGAAGGAACTCGAGCCCGTTAAGGCTGCAAGAGACCTTGGTGTTACACTGGACTCTAACTTAACATATAATGAGCATATTGTTTCTACTGTATCCTCATGCATGTCACGTTTGGGCCAAATTAACCGCGTTAAGCATATTTTTAATAAACACGCGCTAATTATTATTATAAATGCCTTAGTATTTAGTAAATTATTCTATTGCTCTTCTGTTTGGAACAATACTACTCAAACTAATCTGGACAGGCTCCAAGCAGTACAGAATTTCGCTTGTCGTATTTTGAGCGGCGCTAAAAAATTCGATCACATAACTCCTTTGCTAAAAGACTTGCGCTGGCTACCAATCAGGCAACAACTTTATTTTCGTTTTGCTGTTCTGGTTTTAAGTGCATGACGAGTTGTGCTCGGGTATTTGACATCAAAGCTCGTTGGAAGATCCGCCGTCTCGACAAGGAATACGAGAAATTCTCAACTTTTGAACATACCACTCTTCCGCACTGCCAGCGGCAAAGGGACCTTTCAATATAGAGCAACCTCTCTCTGGAATGAGTTGCAGCCTGCGCTCAAACTTAGCCCATCCGTGACGGAATTCAAGTGTTTACTCAGGCAAAAGCTTCTTAATGACTGCTTTATTTAATTAATTTAATTAATTTTATTGACCTTTGTCTTCTTTTATCATTGTTATATTCTTATTGTCATGTACTTGGTTTATAATTTTGTAACGTAAAATTGACTCTGAAAAGCCCCGTGGGGACGAGCCAATAAAGTATGTATGTATGTATGTATGTCTTTAAATTAGCATTCTAAAAGGGTGAGAGCCCTTGAGGAGGTATCGTAAATAGGGACTTGACGATCCGAGGACGCGATGGCAGCGAAAACGTCCCTCGAAAAGTGAATTTACGTTCTTCCAGTCTAACAATCGCGATTATTCCTACCCATTTACTTTAACAAAAGTAGGCGAACCCCCCCTGGAGTTGAATTCCTACCATCCCTATCTCAGTTCAGTAAGAGAAATAAAATTTCGTCATCGCTTGTTTACGTCCTCCGTAAAATGTAAAATTAGGCAATTTCACTTAGCAATTATTCAAAAACGGCAAAGAAATGTACAAAAAAGTGTGGTGCATGTGTAAAGTTGTTTTGCCTTCTAAACCTATTGTTTTTTGAGGTTCTCGTTACCATCGCGTCGTCGGATCGTAAAGTCCCTAATTTCTTACCGAGGACGCCTTTCCAGCCTGAACAACAAGATTTTTGTACGATTTGATAGCTTCAAGCAGAGCCTGTTTTTCCGCTGACCATGAAGACTGCAGAGACGTTACATCCGGGCTTGCCAGTGAGCGATCTTTGACTGGAGTCGATACTGCACTTATGAGGGACTGGATAGTTTCAGCCTCGGTGTGAAGATTATTAAGAAGACCCTAGGGATAAAAAAATAAAAATAAAATAAAACACGTGCGTCATTATTTAGATGCAAGGCGCCAGCCTCAATACGGGCTATGACACAGAGACGCCGCTGCGAAGGAGACAGCGCCGGCTTTCCAGACAAAAACATAGACTGATACGAAAGAGAAGGTTTACCTCAATAGCGGTTTGAGATCTTCGAGGAGAAGTAGCTGGGGACTTGAGTAAAGCTTGTCGGGCCAGGTGACCCACAAGCTCATTATCAAGCTGCTCATTCTGATCCAGCGCTGAGCCAAGGCGCATCCGCATCTCTGGAGATGCAGAATCGATGCCTGGTGAGGTAAAATAAAGACTGGGTAGCTACGATTTACATTTACAGAAATTCTGCTTGGAAAATCAAATGGTTCGCATCATTCCCTTTGGGGAACTTCAAGAAACGTGGCCTGTGATTTGAGGGGGTGCAATTTTTCTACTCTTTATAGTCTGTTCAGCTGATTTGGATATACATTGTGACAGGTCTTTCTCCCACCACGTCAAATTTTATAGGTTTATGATTCCACCCGGGTGGTTTGTGTCAGTTAATGTTCACCTATGAATGGTCTTGCGATGGAAAGTTGGAACATCAAATCGTAGAACCGCTAATGTCTATCTCAAAAACGAAAGATGGGGAGAACACAGAACCACTATAGGTGCAGGGGAGGGGAGGGGAGAAGAGCAGGGAGCCATCCGGCCCCCAAAATTATTACTCTGAGTAGTTTTGTCCTCTTCCCAGATTACCATCGCTAAATGATCCACAATAGCATCTTCGCGATCGAGCGCGATTTGTCGATGACCTAAGCGCCTATTTTGCGTAGTTCTAACTTCTGCTTCTATGGAAAAAATCCTATCACGATACTACTCAAAAGAAACCTCTTTAGCAGTAGTTTTACAATGTGCTCTCACCATTTTACAAAATGATATTGTAGATTTTTTGTCAACTTTGAGTTTGATCCCCATAAAAATTAAAAGGTTTCTCCAGATATATACTCACCAGATATACTTAGGAGCCGTTCAATCTCCCGTTGATGATCCTGACGCATTCTGTTGACCTGATCATTGTGCGTTGTTAAGAGTTCTTGTCGCAGATTATTCATATTTGCCAGGCTTTTCATCTCTAGTTCCTCCTTGACTTGCTTCACGTCACGCAGGCGCCTTTGCTCTTCGTTCTCTTTCACTGCGATGAGCTGGTTCTCGAACTGCCGTTTGAGATTTTCTTCTACGCTTTTAAGTTTCTAAAACAAATTTAAGGATGAACCATCATCATCATCACTTGTTAAAACGCTTTACGCCCCGATGTCTACATCGAATTTCTCCAGACTAATATTCAAAGATTGTAGTTGAGAGAATGTGATAAAAGATCGAACTATTTCTCTCTCTGGTGATCGTTTTATTAATTCTCATAACCTTGTCCCTGTTACTGTATGGATATCGTTAGGAGAACATTGAAGTTAGTCTCCACAGGGATGTGCAGTTACCTTACTGTGAACCACAAAGATCAATTGAGGTTTGTGGGTATCTGACCACCTACCCCTCCCCAAAATCAACATTAACACATATTTCTCACTTAGGCAAAATTGTGATTGAGGGGAGGGGTAGGTGGTCAGTTAGCCCAAAACCTCAACTGATCCCACTAACCTGCTGAAAGGCAATTTGTTGACTTGGACTCAGCGTGTCCTCCGCCCCTGAGGGTACCCCCCTCTGGACGTTATTTAACTCAGCCTTCAGAGCGTTTACTTCATCTTGATGCACCCTCCTTAGGTCAGCAACAGCTGCCACATGACTGTCCTCCTGGGATTTGAATCTGTCACGTAACTGATCCATCTCTGCTCGTAACGCAGTCAACTGGCGTGACTCGGCCAAAAGATTTCTTTGAATCTGCCCTTTTTCGTTTTCTTTAGTGCGAACTTCTTCTTGCACTTGATCCAACTCATTCTTTATCTTTTTCAGCAAGAGAGAGGTTAAAGCACGTGCTTCATTATTGAGGATTCACACCAAACTCAGTCACTTCCAGATAAAGGGGGCAATGTGAGTATGTCAGGCTATTTGCTACACTATTAAAAACCTAAAACGAGTATTTTGTGCCAATTGTATTCCAAAATAATGATCCAGTTTTGTTATTTAAGACCATATTTAGGCATTGGAAATGTTTGTTACCGTTTGTTGATACTGATGGCAAGGATGGACATGGATTGAAAAAGTTGAAACTACGACGTGAAATCTCTCAATAAGCCGTTTTCTGGAGTAGCCAAACACCGGAGGATGAATTTCTTCCTTCTTTTTTTGTACTTGGATACGGTCCTCAAGAATTCAATCCCACGAGAATTCGTCTACATTCGACAAATTGATCGAGTTGGAATAATCGCGCTTTAGTTTGAAGGAACGCGAATTTACTTTTAAAGTGACGCTGTCGCTCCAATCGCCGTAGTAATATTTTTAAACAAAGTGGCGATCTTAGACCAAAAACCGAAGGACGCTGTTGCCAAAAAAAGCAAAGCGCAAAACAAGGGAAAATGATAACGCTATGGTCAAAATGAGCGATTGTAAAGAAAAAAAAACATATTTCTCACCGGTTGTGCTAAACGCCAATAACTGAGATTTTCGCTTATTTTTTCCTCTTCCATAAAATCTCTACATGCAGGTCATATATCCGCCAAAACACTAGCTCTTGCGTAAACAAAGAGAGACTTGCGCGAGCCGCGTTCTGGAAACAAGCAAATACCGCGCGCGCCGTCACGTCACTTCCGGTTAGAGACAAACCTGTGCAGCGAGGAGTGTTCCAGCCTCTGATTCTCGCTCTCTATCCGTCTTCTCTCGGCTCAACTCATCTTGAAGCATTTTGATCTTTTGCCCTTTTACACCCAGCTCCTCGTCTTTTCGTTTCACTTCCTCTTCTTTGGAGATCAGCAGTTCCTCTTTCTTCTTAAGCTTGTCTTCGTTATCGGTTATCACCTCTTTCATTTCTTTCAATCTCTCAGAAAGTTCTTCAACCGCTCTTTGTTGCTGAATCAGAGCGTCTTCACTTCCTGTAATTCGGGATACAAGATTATTAAACCATGAAGCGCATGTCTTTATTAGCCTATGCGCACAAGATTGTCTATTTTCGTTGCTTTTCCACGTCAAATTTAAGTCTGCGCGCAGACGAGTTCCTTCCGGTGGAGGAGTTTGCTAACTGATTTTGCTTAAATTTAACGGATTTTCATTTTTGCTAAACGCTTTAATTAAGCTTTTCGCTTACTCTTATGCCCATACAATCACTACATGCATGTCATATTTCCACGAAAAGTTGAGAACACTAGCTCTTGCGTGAACAAAGAGAAACTTGCGCGAGCCGCGATCTGGAAACAGGCACTGAACGCGCGCGCTGCTACGTCACTTCCGGTTGGGGACAAACCGGTAGGAGCTTGTCAGTGCGAAAAGACTTTAATTTGAAGTGGAAAAGCAAGGAGTTACAATTTGATATTCATAAAAGAAAATGCGTTTTGCAATCACAGTATTTCATTTAAACATTTCTAGCCGGATTTTTGAAAACGTTACCGGCAAATGGACCTTCTCGTCCAACAGTTTTTTTTTCGGCCAAATCTTTAAAGTAGCCATTATAAAAACCAAGAGTGCAACCATTGCTGTTTTTCTCTTCTCCTCCTTTCTTCCTCCTCGCTCTTTCTTTCTTTTTCTCCTTTCCTTTTCCTTCGTTAGCGTGATTCTGGAGCTGATCGCGTCCACAAAACCTGTCTTTTGACGCCTTTCACTCAAATCACCGCAAATTTCGTTAGGCTGGTTTTCAAAAAATCGGCTCGATGTATAACACGAAGTGTTATAATAAAATATGATGCAACGAAGGGAAAAACCTTAAAATGGGAGTGTGTTACTGTATTCTTTTTCAAATGTAATAATAATGCTAATAATGCTAATGATGATGATGATGATAATAATTACCTTTGAGCGCCATATCATATTCTTCCCTATGTGGAGCTTCCTTTTTCCTCTCTTCCAATAGTAATTCCAGTTCTTTCATGCGGTCTTCGCGCTCGTTTATCAAGTTTTCCTGCCCCTGTAGTTTGCTGTGTTGATCTTCGAGTAATTTCTGTTGATCTTCCATCATCTGCTTCATTTCTTCCATTTGCTCGGTCAAGTTCTGCAATTCTTCTTCTTTCTTATCATGGGCCTCTTTAAAAGCGTCGAGCTGCTCGGCCAACGCTCGGGATTCCTGGTCTTTCCGATCGTAGGCTTCGCGCTCGTCTCGGAGCATACGAACAGGAGTCGGGGTCTCATCGCGTTCCTCTCCACTCGCGTGTTTTACTCGGTTGAGCTGTTCCTAAAACGGAAAACGAAACGATGTCGTTCTAAATGCAAACTGGTAACGCCCAAGAAGCAGTAGCAGATCTTTAAATCCAGAGCGTTTTAAATAAAAATCAAGCGGAAAATACTACCAAATCAGGGTAAATTTGTTCAATTCTACCACAGAGGAAATCCATTTTAACTAAGACAAAAAAAAAATCGGACTAGTTCCTTCAAGTTGCTTTCTTTGAGGAAGGGGCGGGCGTTATCTTCGAACACAGCGGAATTCTCGACCTCTATTTTACCTGAATCGTTTTTAATATTAAAACTTTGCCATTAATTTTTGCCTAGAGCAAACAGACTCAACCACGATTCACTTCTATTCCCCATTCATCAGCTGTCTGTCTTTCTAATTTTACCAGCCTGTCAAGAGGAAGATTAGGGACCTTAACAACCGAGGACGGCGACGGCAGAGAAAACGTCGCTGAAAAAGTGAATTAGTGTTCTTCCAATCTTCATCGCGATTACTCCAAGTCACTAACTTTGTCAAATATAGGTGAACCATCCTTAAGTTGAATTCCTAAGAACCATAGCCAAGTGCAGAAAGAGAGAGGAAATTTCGTCGTCGCTTGTGTACTTCCTCTGTCCAACGTGAAATTAGGCATTTTCACGTCATAGTCGTGCAGTGACGGCAAAGAAATGTACAAAAAAGCGTGATGCACGTGCAAAATTGTTGTTTTGGTTATTAAACCTATTGCTTTTGTGGAGTTCCCGTTGCCGTCGCCGGATGTTAAGGTCCCTATTAAGCAACAACGACGGCGACATCAACGAGAACGGTAAAAAGGCAATAGGTTTAGATTGCAACACAAGAAATGCACGTTCATCACGCTTTTTTGTACATTTTATTGCCGTCACTGTACGAGTCTGTACACAAGCTACTGCACGACTACGACGTGAAAATGCCTAATTTCACGTTTTGTGGAGGACGTAAACACAAAACGACTTTCGGTTTCTTTTCCAGAACTTCGATACAGTCTTAAAGCATTCAACTCCAGAAAAAAACTGCCAACAGGATGAACGGGATGGAATAAGCGCGATAAAGTTTGAAGCAGCGCAAATTCACTTTTTAAAGGGGCACCTTCAACCAGTGTGCATTGCGGTCGTGCACTTTACCGAAATAAATTGTTGCAATACGGAAATTACGTACGTGATTTTGTGTTTGATAACAGGATTGTATCTATGTTTTTTTTAGAAGGGTATCACAGCCTTCAGTGCCGTAGCCAGACCAAACGGCCAACCGAGGCAGGCGGGAGTTGCTAGGGGGGTTCGGGGCATGCCCCCCCGAGAAATTTTGAACTTTAGTCTCTCGGAAATGCGATTTGCAGCGTTTTCTGGGCCTTTCGGTAACTTTTCAAGTTAATTTAAGTGGAATTTAAAAAGCAATAATCAGAAACAAGCTACATAATCTGGGTGACCGTTAACCTCGCCAATGGTTTTGATCAGTATTTGTTCAAAAAAATTTGAGTTAACGTACGTAGTGAGATCGATGATATGGTAATTTATATTGTGTTTGTAATATCATGATTGATGATCGCTTATGTAAAATAAAAATGATCGGCGAAATTCGTCAAAATTTTACCGAGGCGAGTGCCTCGGTTGGCCTCATACTAGCTACGGCGCTGGCCTTCTATTGCCTAAGGTTGTGAAGATACAATCTGATTTTCAAACACAATCAGAACGTTCGTAATTTCGTATTACAGCAAATGATTTCGGTGAAGTGCACGACCGCAATGCACACTAGTTGAAGGTGCCCCTTTAATGACGTTTTCGTAGCCGTCGCAGACGTTGTTGCTTAAGCTCTCTAAAGTCTAAAGGTCATGTTACACGGGACGATTCGCATCGACGATTGTTAGCGCAACACAGTGTTGCAATGTTGGAACAATGTTGTATCCATTCCAAACAATGTCGCAACAATGTTGCAACGCTGTGTTGCGATAAAAATTGGCGTTGCGAATCGTCTCGTGTAACATCACCTTAACCCTTTAAGCCCTAAGAGTGATCAGCATCAAATTTCTCCTTGTAATAGCTATGCTTTGTAAAACAGAGTGGTAATGAGAATTACGAACATGATCACACAAGATGAATCTAATTGATACTTCAACAAATTCTCCCCACTTCTTCTATTGAAAACGTATAGGGATAACAAATGAGAATTTGAATTTTGATCTTAGGGTTTAAAGGGTTAAGAGCTAATACCTTAAGCGCGGAGATCTGGAGAAAGCTCTCATTCAGCTGCTTTTGTATCGCTCCTTTTTCCCGCTCCAGATCTTTCTGCGTCTCCTCACTAGTTTCCAGATCTTCTTGCAGCCTTTCCTTCAGCTCGTCCGCCGCCTTAAGAGCTTCTAATGCTTTGGTGAGTTCATCTTGCAAATCTTTTATCTGCGCTAACATGTCTAGCTCCTGTCTGGGATTTGGCGCTCAATTCTTTGTCTAACTCTTTATAGTTTTGCTCTGCCTCCTTCAGCCGTGTTCGTAGTTCCTCAACTGTGGACTGCATGCCTTCCGTGGATTGTTTATCGACGCTGAGTTTTTCCACTAACTCATTACACTTGGTAACCAAGCCGTCTCTCTCTGCACTTACTTGCTCCACCAGCTCCATGAGTTTGTTGGCTTCCGGTTCTTGGATGCTTTCCTCCAGGGCTTTCTTGTAGCTCTCGACTTGTCGTTCCAGCTCAGTGATTCTATCCTTGAGTTCCCGCGTATCTCCGCCAGATTGCTGAGAATCCCCGCCATCTGCCTGTCCTTCGACCCCCCATAATTCTTCCCCGTGTATTCCTCCTTCAACAGTTTCTACAGTGGTCACCTGTTCAAAGAGAAAATGAACAATAAAAGTATGAAACAATAAATTCACCAAAACGGACTGATTCAACGATAAGTCAACTACCGTAAAATTCCGAAAATAGGCCCCGGGGCTTATATTTTTCAAAGGCCCTTTTTGAGAGGTTTTTGCGTTTCAAAATCGATTAGGCTAGCTTGTAGTGGGAAGGAAATTTACCATTTTTGCTTTGTTTTACTTTGTATTCGAGGGCAAATTCCAAGTACAAGCCCCCTGGGGGGCTTATATTCGGAGGGGCGATTTAACGGAGGGTTTTTTTGCGTTACGATTTTGAGGGGCTTATACACGGAGGGGCTTATTTTCGGAATTTTACGGTATTTAAATGAAGACATGATCGTCGCAGTGGTTATTGCAATTAAAGCAATTGCAAATAAACCCGAAAAAAAATTTCGGGACTTCAAAGGGATTCGAACCCATGGCCTCTGCGTTAATGCCGCAGTGCTCTACCATTTTAGCTATGAAGACCCATACATTGGGAGCAGGCCAATTCCTTTCACGGGCTAAGATGAACTCAACAAATTAACCGCTCAAAACGAGGTAACCATGCAACGTTTACAGAAACAAAGAAGTTGCAAGGCATATTCAGGAGGGTGTTGGAGGAAGTTGTGTTTAAAAAGAAATTGGGACAAACTGAAGAAAAGCAAATCAGGGCTCTTGACAACAAAAACAACAACAACAAAAAAAACACAAAAACCTGTATCAGGGGCGCCTCGTTATGTAGTGAGGCAGCACGCTGCAGCTTGTCGATTTCCTGTTTGTCTTGTTCCCTCTCCTGCTTCAGCTGGCTCAGAAACTCGTTTTGTTCTTCCACCTGCGCTTCAAGCGCTGGAATTTTCTCCAGATGAACCTGCGCCTTTTGAAGTAACTCCCTCTTCTTCTCTTGCTCCAGTTCAGCGCTTTCAAGCTTCTCAGTCATCTCCGCCACCTGGGCTCTCAGTTGTTGAAGCTCTTCGAACTCAGTCGTGTCTTCTCCTTTTGCCCTGGACAACTCAATCTTAAGCTCTTCCTTCTCATCCCAAAGGCCTTGAACTGCTTCGCGGAACTCCTCAATGGCGTCTTTAAGTTTCTCATTCTCTTCTTCTAACTCAGTGTTGCCTTCTTGAAGTTTTTCTACCTCCTTCTTCAAGCGATCATTTTCCTCAATAACTTCACCTTCAGAGCCAGTCATTTGAGATCGGCTCGCTTCCTTCTCTAAAGAGGACGCTTTCGCAGCTAGGGCCTCCTTCTCTTCTTTAAGCTTCTCGCACGCTTGTCGAAGCTCTTGTACTTTGGACTTAAGCTCTTCAGGGCCGTCAAGCTCGTCGAGTTTCTGCTCCTCAAGCTTCAAGACCTTTTCCTCAAGATCTTTTTTCTCATTAGCGAGATGATCTACAGCTGCCTTAAGTGTTTCATTCTCCTCTAACAACTCATCACCCGACTCCTTCAAAGCCTCCAACTCTTCAGCCAGCTCATCTCGTTCCTCTTTCAACGCGTTTATCTCCCGCTCGTACTCACTTTCCTCTTTCTTCTTATCAGCTACCTCCTGTGCCAGCCGTATTCTCGCTTCTTCTTGAAAAGTCTCCACTTCAGAGGACAGCAGTTGTTTAACCGTCTCGAGCTCTTGTTCCCGAGATTTTGCTTCCTCCAGCGCTTTCTCAGCTTCCTCGATTTTGGTCTTGAGTTCTGCGTTTTCCTTTTCAACTTCTTTCAACTTTTCATCTGGCTCTCCTGCTTTCTCTTCGTCTTTCTGATCTTTTGCTTTAGCTTCGTCCTGAAGCCTGTCGTTTTCGGCCGCCATACTTTCCATTTGTTCATTTGCCTTATTTAGTTCGTTCTGCAGACGTTCTTTCTCCTCGTACTCCTCTTTCAGTCGCGCCATTAATTCCTCTTGGGCAGCCATTACCTGTTCAAGTTGCTCGTTGCGTTGAATTGTAATGTCATGTAGTTCTTTCTGAGCAATTCGAGCTTGATTCCACTGTAAACAGACCACATAAGAAATGGAACAGTTAGTGGAATCAGCGAGAAAGCAGACTACATGAGTCTTAGATGACAAAGTTCGGTGTAAAGTTCAAAAGTCGGGGGGAAAGAAAGTAAATAAAGAGAAAGCAAAAATAAAATGAAATAAATAAATAAATAAAAGGCAACACAATTGGAAATAATAGTAGTGAATGGTAAAACAATAAGTACGAGCCAGGAGTCGACCCTATGACCTTCTGATTACTGGTCCCGATGCTCTACCACTCAAATCTACAGAAGACTCGTGGGAGCTAAGGCCACTAAACTAGTTTCATGTGAAAAACAACCTGCATACTGCTAGAACTAGAATGAGGAAATTTCAATCAGAGAACAACAATACCTGTTTAGTTGTCATGGTAACTACATCCAGAAGCTTCTGCGCAGCTGCACTGACCCTGGCGCCGGAATCTTTAAAATTAAAAATAAAAAGTTTTATTCAAGGAGTGTTTTTCAAAAGAAAACATAATACATCAACATGATTGGCTGAAGGCTCGTCGACACATCAAAAGAGGCAGAGCGGTTCGTGAGGCGGGAAGAAACAAGTAACGCTTCAGGCGAAATCGAATTGTTCACGCGTACTTCAAGTGTTGTTATGCACCCGACGAAAATAGGCACGGTACTAATAGCCGATGGGAACGGATGCAAAACCGTTAGTGCGTTTATTCCCAGACCGGTGCTAAAAGATCGGAGGGCCATTTTGGTTTCAGATATACCGAGTGGGACATGGGTAGAAGTCCAAAAACTACCTAGGGGACGGGGGAAGGGGGAGGGGGTTGGGAGAAGGCGGCTCCCTCACGCTGCTACTATAAGCCTCGGTGCTTTCCTCCTGGTAAACCCTGAAACCAAGATGGCCACAAGTTACATTAAGCGTTTGATCTCGACGATCTAACGGAAAAACAGGGGATTGTACTGTAAGTTTTCTGCTATAGAAAAGAGGAGATCTACGAACGAAGTACAGAACATAAAAGGGTATGCAATGGAAAAATTCCGCTTTTTCGTCTTGTTCGCTATCTGAGCGAAAATCGCACGTAGTTTTTAACGCAGTGAGGGTTGAACCGATATAAAAAGGTCCTTTGGCAGTGAGTTTACGCAACAGAACGGCAGAAAGAGGAGGACGGCAAAACGGTTGTATGTGACAAACGTGACAGGACTATTACTGGCATGTTCTGCCCCGATCTCCACTAAATATCAATGTTTTTTTGGTCTTTTACAAAAAGATCTGTTTAAAGAAAGTTGAGGTTTGAGGCAAATTTTTCTCAAACAAAATTATTGTCACGCTTGTCAAGCAAGGTTTGCGTCTTCGTTCTCCTTCCGTCCCGTTGCGTAAGTTCACTGAGAACGGCTCTCTAATATCGCACCTATTACAAGCTCCTCCGCCTGTTCGTCTAAGCTCGGCCCCTGGAACATGGTGTCCGTTTGTCTCTGAGACAGTTCGAGACCTTCATCGCTGAGCATTGACAAGTCAGTCTTACTGGTCAGCGTATTATCCTCAGATTCAGAGAGGTCAGCGGAAGCACCTAAGAGATAAAAAACGAGATTGTATAAGCTAAAGACTACCATGGGTCAGGTTCAGTTCACCGAACCAGTGAAAGGTGAAATACATCAAAACATGGCTGAGTCACGGCCAACCTAATTTCAAATCCAGAGATATACAGGGAAGTCTGTTGAAGATGCTACGCCACACTATTCATTGGGGAGCTTAAGCAACGACAACGGCAAAAAAACAACAGTTTTATATTAGCAAAACAACAACAACTTTGCACGTGCATTTGTACATTTTCTTTGCTGTCATTGCACGACCACAACGTGAAAATGCCTAATTTCACGTTTTGTCGAGGACGGGAACACACGACAACAACTTTCTTTTTCTTTTCCTGGACTTTGATACAGTCTTTTAGAATTCAACTCCAAAAAAAAAATGGCCAACATTTGACGAATTAAACGAGATGGAATAAGCGTGATAAAGTTTTAGGCAACGCCAATTCACTTTTTAAGTGACGTTTTCGTAGCCGTCGCCGTACTTGTTGCTTAAAGCTCCCTATTATTTTACAGGGGCAATGTCACGCCATATCCTATCTCTTTCAAAAGCTTAAATGTGTCTTCCATCAATTGAATTCTAAACATAATGGTCCAGTTTTGTTATTTAAGACTGTATTTAGGCATTGAAACTGTTTCCTGTCGTCTGTTGCTACGGATGTGGCAAGGATGCATATGGATTAAAACTTCAGAAAGTTCGGCCAACTTTTTCAAGCGACCTGCCTGCAAAAATCTCCAAAAATTTTATGGTTCGTACTTCCTGATTAAATTTGTTTGAGATCTTCTTCATAACTCTACAGGAACATTTCGTGCATGGCGAAAGGCACTGAGTAATGACTTTAGCACAGAATTGACCTAAAACAGCATTATTCTAGTAAGGTTGAGCATGATCGTCCGGGTGAACGTACTCCCGTTGTTGACAGTGACTGACGTTTCGACAACCTGTGCGGTAGTCATCTTCAGAGTCAAAGTGAGTTGTATCACATCAGTTGATGGTATCAAACACTGGTTATCGACCTGATTGGTCAATTAAGTCCCAATGTTAATGGACGTAGAAACCCTTACTCGTTTTTTCGTCGTTACGTAAAGTTAAGAAAACGTTATAGAAGAAGCGGAATTTTTTTTAAGCAATTTTACTACGACATCCCCACCTCCAGCAGGTGTTCTGTGGTTGGCTGCGAGAGCACTGGGTCCAGCAGCGGGAGTGGAAGTTGGCAGCCCAGCCGGAAATGAGCTTTCAGGGCGACGGACAGAGTCGTTGGGGAACTGGGACTCGTGTAAGGTCCCCGATTCTAGAGGGAACTGGGTCAGTTGTTCCTCGGTTTGACTTGTCTCTTGAATGAGGTCCTCCAGCTTTTTGTTTATAGTCTCCTCAGTTGACGCTGCTTGTTTCACTACATCTGAGAGCAGTTTTAAAAGGCGTTCGTTTGTGCGGTGCAAGGCATTTCTGGAAGCAAAAACAAAGAAACTTGGCGTAGATGTAGATGAAATAAAGTCTACTTTTTCAAACACTGAACAGTTAATGTTCTTGTCCGTTGCACTCGAATTGATAAGAAAGAATGAAAGAGACAAGGCTAACGACTTAACATCACCGTCCAATGGGGCCATCCCCTGAACTGGGACAAGGCATTAGTTGCCTGTCGTTTTTGTTTGTTTGTTTGTTTTAATTTACGAGACCCTGGTTAGTGCTCCGACCGCCGATCTCCTAGTGTGTGGTGCAGGCGTTTTCTTCGGGCGCGCGAAGAGGAGGAAATGGGTTGCTATTTCTACTCTCCCCAATCTTCCTCTGTCATAAAATCAAAGATGGCGGTTACAACAATACGAACATAAAGAAGCAACTTTCGCCCGCCCAAAATACGCCTGCACTGCAGGCCGCTGACCTCCCGCTCAGTAGACATGCGCTCTACCAACCAACCAATCATTGGCCGGTGGTTAAAAGACAGTTTAAGCGGCATGAAAATGCAAACCTTGGTAGCTGTTTATACGAAGTAGTCACAAAAGGACCTTTAAGTAAGGGCCTGTTTACATGAAGGTAGGTGAGGTAACCCTCTTAGATGGGGCAACCTGCGTATCCTCATTATCTCTCATATGGTCACCCCACCTATCATGAAAACGTGACCAAGTTAAAATGAGAGATTATATGGACTGGTGGGTTACCCCACCTACCTGGGGTCCCCCAACTCCATGCTCCAAGTCACTGATCCCACTGACACCCGAGCCTATAAGTTTACATGACGACTATACACTGAAAAGTCCTAAAAAAAATGTCTTACCTCTCTGCAGCCAATCGCTCCACATCTGAGCGCAGCAAATCTGCGAGATTATCCTCTTCCTGATGTTCACGTTCGCGTCGAGACAGGATCAAGTTATACTCATCGGACTGCCGCTGTAGATCATTCTGAAGACGAGCTTGTTCCGCTTCCATCTAAACAAAAGGAATGATGTAGGCAGGGCTGCTTACCATTGACACAAACCACCCAGGTGGAAATCTTGTGCATAAAAAGGGGTATAATACTTTAAACCCGCAAAAGCCTCATAACTGAAGTGCGGGGTAGAACAGGGAGCGCTCACCATTGACACAAGCCACCCGGGTGGAAATATTGTGCATAAAAAGGGTATAATGCTTCACACCCGCAAAAGCCTCATAACTGAAGTACGGGGTCGAACCGGGGGTGCTCACCATTGACACAAACCACCCGGGTGGAAATCTTGTGCATAAAAAGGGGTATAATGCTTCAAACCCGCAAAAGCCTCATAACTGAAGTACGGGGTATAACCGGGGGTGCTCAACATTTACACAAACCACCCGGGTGGGAATCTTGTGCACAAACTTAAAACTATAAAATTTAACTAATTGGGGGAACGAACCGCTACAAAGTACATCCAAATTAGCTGAACAGACTGAAAAGAATAGAAAAATTGCACAACCGCAAATCACAGCCGATATTTTCTGAAGCTTCCCAAACCATTTGATTTTCAACCGGAATTTCCGGTTTTCCCATGGAAATCGTACGTACCCCAGGACTACCCACAAGGACAACTGGAGGTCCAAGGTGACCACGTTTGCGAGGGAAGAATGCCTAACTAAAGTCGTGAGCGATCATTCTTTACTACAGATTCTTTCCTGGTATCTGCTCTCTTCTCCAATTCGCCACTTTAGAAATGAGAAGGTAACTGGAGCCGAAATGCTTCCCGCAATTATTCTTAGCATCGTTACTAGGGACGCGCTGGTCAGCTATTGGCCAATTTTTTTCCTGTCCCTAGTAACAATCCCAGAAGTCTTTGCGAAAGTTAACTCAGCTCAGTTCCCTCTCATTTCTAAAGTGGCCAATTCGCAAAAGATAGCTTTTTTCGGTCCCTACGGTCGCGTTGGGCGGGGCGACAAAGAAAGCGCGCCGAGCAAACTGTTTATTACAATACAGGTTCTCCTTTCCTGTCTGATATGTTTCTCATAGAACTGTTACGGAGAATTTGTTAATATATCTTGAGTGATCATATCCTTAATTCTCCTGACCTCCCTGATTGTCTCACTTTTGATATTAACTGGAGAAATTTGATAATAATCACCGCTGGGACTTTAAGGGTTAAAGAAAAGTACACACACACACCTCCTTTATAAGCGACTGCTTCTCTTGGAGCTTGTTCAACAACTTTTCGCTCTCTTCCTAAGAAAACAGCCAAGAAAAAAATAATAAATCGAACAGCTGGAGAACCGTAGCCAAAGTTAAAACGAAACAGACGAAAACCCGAGAAACTTCATCAAAGAAGATACTTTACCAGGGGAGTTTCCGAATAAACTTTATTAAACAGGACACCAATTATCTTATTTATCGTCCTGTTACGTTGTGCGTGCATTTTCAGTTGCTTTTAAACCCATGAAAAGAGGGGGACACCCTCGGAACTTCTAGTTTTCATCACTTTTCAACGCGTACTTTGAAAAACGTTGACATTCACAAAATTTGTCGTCCATAACTCCCATATTACAGTATCTTGATGCAGTAAAATACAACCTTCATGAGTTCATGACTGACAACACTTGTGTTGGGCAACGATATCAAGCATGTACACGTGCCAAATGATTTTTATCATGTATTCTCGGAATGGTATTAGGGACCTTAAGAAACGAAAAGCTTGATGTCCCGGTTTTTGTCCCCTAGCCCTAATCCATGACAAATCGCGGTTACGAGACAAAAGAAATTGAGAATCAACTTAGGTTGAAAAATTTTAACCTGAATTTATTTTGACATGTAACATATACATGCTTTTAGCTGACTAATACGGAGTAAATCTCCTACCCTTGTTCTCTCGATTTCAGCTATATATTCCTTTTCTTGACTCTTCAGATATTCCTGCAGCGTTTCCACCTCTTGTCGAAACTGCTGTTCCAGTTCGTCCACACTTTTTGCCTGCTGGGCTTCTAGTGCTGTGGCTTTCTCCTCCGCGGCAAGCAACTCTGATCGCACGCGCTCCAGCTCCTAACAATCAATAAATATGCACTTGGCCCCACGTTCTTCAATAGCAATCTTAAGATTTGACTTGCCAGTACAAGTACGTGTATTCGCCACTCAAAACGGAGAGGGAACTGGGCCAAGTCAACTAGCGCGAAGACTTCTGGGATCGTTACTGGAGACGCGCCGGTCAGCTAATAGGGAGCTTAAGCAACGACGACGGCGACGTCAACGAGAACGGCAAAACAAGAAACTTGCACGTGCATCACCCTTTTTTGTACATTTCTTTGCTGTCACTGCACGACTACGACGTGAAAATGCCTAATTTCACGTCTTGTGGAGGACGTGAACAACGACTTTCCTTTTCTTTTCCCGAACCTCGATATAGAATTTAGAATTCAACTCCAGAACAAATTGCCAACATTTGACGGACTGAACGAGATGGAATAAGGGCCAAAAATTATGAAGTAGCGCGACTTCACTCTTTAAGTGGCGTTTTCGTAGTTGTCGCTCGCTACTGAACAAATTTCGTTTTCCTCTCCCCAATAACAGTCCCAAAAGTCTTTTCGAAACTTAACTCGGCTCAGTTTCTTTCTCGTTTATAAAGTGGCGATGGAACGTCTACGACGATTTGTCTCCAGAACTGATACTCTTTGAAAAACGATTGCTGTAGCCAGTGATTATCTAAATCACACGAACTTGGCTTGAAAACTCCTACTTGTGGTCCAATCTAAAAATGTTAAGGATGGTTTTATTCTAAAGATAAGGAAGTCTGGAAGGTGTTTCTAACTTTTGAGGCTGTTGATGAAATCCTAAAGAGTGACCATTCAAATGAAAGCCACTGAGCAGTAAGTTCCTGTGGTACTGTTTATTACGCTGTACAAGGTGGTTCTAACTTTTGAGTCTGTGGATGAAATCCTAAAGTGTGACCATTCAAATGAAAGCTATTGAGCAGTACTTTACTGTGGTACTGTTTATCATGCTGTACAAGGTGGTTCTAACTTTTGATTCTGTGAATGAAATCCTAAAGTGTGACCATTCAAATGAAAGCTTCTGAGTAGTACTTTCCTGTTGTGCTGTTTATTATGCTGCACAAAGGAGCTTTTTATTTTTCACCCTGTGGATGAAATCCAGAAGTGTGACCTATTTGGTGCTGGCACATTTTCATAATTATGATTGTTTTTAATTTAAGCAGAAGTACATATATCAGAACAAGCCACTAACCATTTTATGCCTGTCTTCCAGCAAACTCTGCAGCTCTTGTACTTGTTCACCATGAGCAGAATCTACATTGTTTCTTAGCCCCTCCATCTCCTGCTCGAAGTTTTCCTGCATGCGTGACACGATGTCACGGTGCGCTGTCTGCATGCTGGCCTGTACTGCCTCAAGTGCCAGTACTCTAGATTTCTCCCTTTCCAGCGCTTCTTTGAACGCGTCTATCTCTTTAGCATGGGCCGAGTCTAAATCCTCTTTAATCTGATGAAAGAGATGTTCAGTGCAGTCAAATCTCTCTTAACGACACCTATCTTAGGAGGTAGCGTGGCTGAGTGGTCAGCGCGTTGGACTAGCAATCCGGCGGTCCCGGGTTCGAGTCCCGCTCTGGCCACTAGCTGGATTTGTTCTTGGGACAAATCCTCGTCCACGCTTGTAAAGAGCCAACTGGTTGCCTCCTGCCAGTTGGGGTTTTTAATCTTGTTAAGTTGGGTTTGAATTATTTGTTTCTACGTATCAGAGTCGAGCGCCTGTAAACGAGCTGGATAAGCTAACTACATTTTCCACTATGATAAACAAGCCTTTAAACCTTTTTTTAAAACCTCTGTAAGACAAACACCTCGCAGACACGGACTCCTGCAATTGATCCCTGCCTCTCTGTACCACTGTCAGTGGACTCTCTTTAAGACGCTCGTTTCTCTAAGACACATTGTGCCGGTCGCAAAGGAATCAGTCTAACAGAGAGCTGACTGTATTAGGCGAATTTTGTTCCTGCAGACAGACTAGAAACACTCTATAAGAGTCTAACACTGCCCCAATTTGAATACAGTTCTCCTTCGTGGGACACCTGCGGCAAGTTATAGAAAGACAGCCCGCAAAGAGTTCATTGAGAGCAATTAGTCCTAACAGGTGCCAATTACAATATTCGCTAGGCTGACCTAATATACTCTCTTTTGTGGTTGTCTCCTTGGAACTGCTGTACGATTTGCCACTTTTTTTGCATTGCATATCTATGGAGGCTCTCAAACCTATTCAGCGTTTCAAGGTTTGTAGTTAATGTGTCTGTATTTCCCTTGTTACTCTTGTAACTGAAATCGGTCTTGCTTATCCCCTTGCATTCAACTATTATTTAACTTAACTGTTTGCTTATGTATTAGCTTCTCAAAGATAAATATTTTCTGGATGAACTTGTTGTGTTGTCAAATATGATCATATCAATCCTCTTCAGATTATTTCATGTTGCAAAGTTATTCGACCTTTGCACACACTGAAAGGGGCGGAAAATTTGGTCCCGAAATCTCGTTCACACCGCCCCTGAAATGACTCTGAACAGCGCAGTTTTTTAAGTAAATACTATTATACAAAGTTTGTTCACCTGAGAAACCTCCCTCTCCGCGTCTAGACTCACGGCCGACAGTTGCTCACTGTGCGCCTGCGCTAGCTCCTTCTTGAGGCGTTCTACTTCCGCCTCGTGACCAGCCTTGAGAATGTTAATTTCCTGTACGTGCTTCCCTTGAAGTTCAGCCAATCCGCGTAACTGTTCCTCGTGTTTTTGACCGAGGCTTTGCTCAAGTTGTCGCAGGTTTTCTAAATGTTCTTGTTCCAGTTCGTAGCGGGCTACCTCTTTGGCTTCTTCAAGTTCTGTTTGGAACTTTTCAGACATTTCTACTCGGGTATATTCTTTCATTTTCTCAAGATCCGCCTTTGATTTAAAGAAAACATCCTCCGTAAAACAAAAGAAATCACCTTGAATCTTCTATTAAATTAAATTAAGTTGAAGTTGAAGTTAAAGCTCAGTAATGAATAATGCATTTCTTTTGTTTTATTTCCCAAGCCTCGGAGCAAAGTATGAATTTCAATATATCGAAAACGATCTATTGAAATGGCTGGAAATTCTGAAAAATAGAAGACCTTTAGGTTCGCGGACGAGATTTAAGGTAAAGTTTTTTTTTTTCGGGTATTCTCAAAAAATAGACACCCCCGAAAGCTCCACTGTACTTTTTTTCACCAGAAAAGTTGGCACGGTTTATCGCATAATGATAACAATTCTAGCATTTGTTAACTTTTTTCCGCCACCCGTAGCGGAACTACGACGGCTATCACATTTTCCCGCCAAAATAACGCTGGTTCACGCGCATGCACTACTCAGTATTAAGAAAACCTCGCCCTGGTAGAAGTTCTTGTCTCGGAATCTAAAGGTCTCTAATAGCTAAAACCATACAACGTCATAATAGTTCAAAAGAGCGAGGCGAAAAAGAAAGTTGACATACATTACAAACGTCGCCCTCACTTTTCACCCGCACAATCTCGCAGCAAGCAGTGGCAGATCTAGTCTGCTACACAGCCGTGGCAGATCCAGCAACGCTCCTCCCCACTTTGTTTCGGGGATAAATTGCGTGGGGACACTAAAAACGGGGGGCGATCTAAAAGGGGGGGAGGGGCAAAAAATTTTTCAGTTTGGTCTAAAAATAAGGGGAGCCCCTCTCCTGAATCCGCCACTAGTAAAGATTCGCTCTAAAGAAGCTTCGCCCCCTAAACGCCATGTTTCCAATCCCATTACGATGGCCAACATTCTCTATCAACTCAATAGAAAAAATTTTTTTCGTTACATTTCACTGTCCTACCGAGGCAACAAGACAGTTTCTTTTAGAAACTAACTACTTCATTCATCTGCATATTTGAACAAACAACAAACAAACCCCGTGTTCAGCCTCCAGCTGCGCCGTCATCTCAGTAAATTTCTCCATATGAGTTCGCACCAGTTCTTCCCGGACAGCCTCGAGTTCACGATCGTGATGTTCCTTCAGCATCTGTAACTGCAACTCCTGTTGCTGGCTGAGATTTCCTCTGAGCGCTTCTTGCAGGCGCGCCAGGTCCGCCTCCTTCTCTTCTTCCAGCTTAGCTCGTTCAGCGGTCAGTTCTTCGTTGAATCGCGCCTGTAGAGCCTTCAGTTCATCGTCATGTTTCTTTTGTAGAACTTCAACATCGGTCTGGTGTTGGGTTTCCTGTTGCTCCATTGATGATTGGTGTTCTGTGCAAATTTACGGATTCATCGTCACGTTATTATTTACATGTTTGCTCATTAATGGCACTAAACTTAGCCCATAGACAACGAGGTCGTGTATACAAATTACGTTCAAAAATTGTAATAGTTGGTTAATTTGAGCAGTTTGTGCAAGTTTCAGCTCTTTGCAATCAATACCAAAGAAAATAGCAGCAATAAAAAACTGTGAAATTGCTGAGTGGCGTTAATAAGCTCATACATTATTTGTAAATTTTGGGGGTTTCCAAGGAGAATTTCTCCGAAACTATTCGGTATGTCGGGCTCAAATGTTAAGAGATAACTGAAATGGTTATGCTCCTGAATAACCAGAGATTTTACACCTGCTGTAGTTAAAATTTGACCTTAAAGTCGACAGCCTAATGTCAAAAAAATAAGGACAATATTCGACCAAACAAAATCCGGTTTTGAGCAAGGCGAGTAAACCTGACACTAAGGTAAAACTTCAAAATACCTTGTTGAAACAGTAACTGGTGCAATCATTCGACAAGAAGTCGTTCGCCGATGATGGCATAAAACACAGCGTCGCAACTATGAGCACGGCTCACCTTTTTTAAAACTGCTATCGCAAGCCATTCAGCAGATTTGCTGCAGCGCGGTGTACAATTTTACAATGTACATCTTGCCACTGAAATCGACTCAGTTCTACCCCTGATTTGTTCGCAATTCTTATAGAAATTTTCGTTCGATAAAACAATTACTCCGCGTTGACGATGTCTTGGCCTTACCAGTTTCTCACTGTGACAACAACATTGCAAAAAATAATGACAAATAAAAAATACGCTAGGAATAAATCGCTTTGGTGCATTGATTGTGTTACTTCGATAACACGATTATGGAAATGCTGAAACTTGCATTTCACTTAAGATAATCATTTGCACATCACTTTTAATGACGTTGTCCCAAGAGAAAACGAATTGAACAAAGATCAATTGCATGACTAATAGTGATACACAATTAAACAACAAGCTCTTTGTTTGCAGTAAACTGAATTACAACGCTCTTTTACGAGGAGATGGGAAGGTAAATTTCTATTTCAAATTAAATCATATAGCACTCTTCAATATGAATGTTACGAATAATTAGAGAAGATATTCCATTATTGGACAATTCAGTTTATAAGGAGAGAGCTATTAGCTTCCTAAGGGCGCTTTCCATTTGTCAGAACTGATCCGCCAGATGATTCCCGTCGGAATGAGAATTTCAGTTTTAATCAAAACTATCCAGCCAGATTAGTCAAATCGTAAACATAATGTACGAAGGAGAATGTTTTTCAGAAAAAAAAAACTCTTGAAAAAAGCCCATTTCATTGTCAAAATGACCAGTCCGGCCAGGGCCTGGCCTTCGATTCTGACTTTGGAAAACGCCCACAACAGAGACTAGTAAGGTCGTTATAACCTTTTTAATAATCTGTGTTAAATGAAATCCTTTTATGTGACCATTCAAATTAACCCTCTTCAGCAATACTTTCACATGGTGCTATTTATTTAGTATGTAGTTCTAAATTTTTAGTCTGTGGACCAAATTTCACGGTGTGACCATTCAAATGAAACCTCTTCAGCAGTACTTTCACATGGTGCTATTTATATAGTATGTTTTTCTAACTTTTGAGTCTGTCGATGAAATCCTATGATGTTACCATTCAAATAAAACCTCTTCAGCAGTACTTTCACATGGTGCTATCTATTTAGTATTTTGTTCTAACTGTAAATTTTGAGTCCGTGGACCAAATCTCACGATGTGGCCATTCAAATGAAACCTCTTCAGCAGTACATTTACATGGTACTTTTTGACTTTCCGCATTTTACAAAATAATAATTTAGAAATTTCGTTGAATTTTGACTTTGGTCACTTTCGGGAGTAAAAGGGTCCACAACCATTGAAAAAAAGATATTATGTTACATACCCGCTGCCAGGTTTGACTTCTCTTCAGCCATTCTTTTCTCGTATTTTCCTTTCATATCATTCATATCGTCCCGCATACGAGTCCTTAATTCCTCCATATCCTTTTCAGCGGCAAGCTGAATCTGATCCTGAAGGGTTTTCACTTCATGTAACATATCCTCCTTGAGTCTCTCCATCTCTTGGAGATGTTGAGCTTCGAGTTCAAGTTTCACTTGTTCGATTTCTTCCAGCTGTTTTTCTTGTGAAGGCTCCTTTCCTTCTTCATCCGTTTGACTTTGCCTAGAATCCGCAAAGGCCTGCTTAAGCTTAATAATTTCCTCCTCATTTTGTCGTTCTAGGTCTTCTCTCAGAGCAGCCATTTTGTTTTCGTGTTCCTGCTCCAAGTTTTCCTTCAAAATATCGAATCTCTCCTGCTCAGACAAGTCAAGCATTTGTTCTTTTAATGCTTCAACTTCTCTGCTCATCTCTTCTTTAAAATTCAACATTTCATTTTGATGCTGACTGACAAGTTGTTCCCGAAGGGCCTCAACCTCAGCTTCGTGTTTCTTCTCTAGTTCTTCGGTAAAAAGTTGCATTTTTGCCTCGTCCGAAGCGACGAGAAGTTCATCTTTCAACGCCTCGACATTCTCAGCGAAATGCTTCTTCAATTCATTCAACTCCTGTTCGTGTTTACTTTCCAGTTCACTTTCCAAAGCAGAAAGCTCCTCGTCGTGAGAAACTTTCATGCTTTCATGAATATCCTTAAACTGTTCTCTTTCTGTTTGTAATCTAGCTCCTAACTCTTCGACTTGGCTACGACACTTTTCCATTTCCTCCGACAAGTATTTCTCATTAACGTCTTGACTTATGGACTGATTTTGGTGCTTTAATACCGCAATCTCATTTTCGTAATGCTGCTTAATATCTTTAATTTTCGCTTCGTACTGTTCCAGCAGTTCTTCCTCTTTCCCTTTATCGTTTGTTGCCCATTGCTTAGATAATTCAAGCTCGTCTCTAAGTTCTTTTATCTGCGAATCATATTCCGTACTCAAGTCTTTAATCTGTTTTTCGTGTTGTTCTAAGATCTGGTGGATCTTATCTTCATATTCTTGGATGACAGCATCCTTTTTAAAACTGTCTTCTGCCATTTCTAACTTCGCTTCTTGAACTTGCTGTACTGCTTGCAACGCAAACTCGTCCCTCACGTTCGAAACCTCATCCAACAGATCATTGTACTGTCGATTCTTCACATCTGCCAATTCCTCGCCATGGCTCTTGGTCAAGTCAATCAATTGCTTGTCTTTAGCACTCAACTCCTCCCGTAATTCTTTCATTTCTTTTTCGTGTTTCTCAGTCAAATCCGCTTTTAACTGCCTCAAAGCTTTTCGATGTTCTATTTCCATGGTTTCCACATCTCCTGACAACCTCAGCGCAGTTCTTTCATAATCTTTTTGGCTCTCCATCCTTAATTCCTCCATTTCTTGTTCATGAGTTGCGGTAAGCTTAAGCCGCATTCTCTCCAAAGCCTGTGCATTTTGTAAAGCTAACTTAGCACTAAGCTTCGCAAAATCTCTTAATTTGTCCTCCTGAAATTGCCCTCTTAAGTCCTCCAGCTCAATTTCATGGCGAGACTTCAGCGACCGAATTTCATCCTCAAATTGTTCCGTCAACTCCTTGTTACACTTTTCTAATTCCTGTGCTTTACTCTGTTCACAACCAAGTTTTAAACTCTCAATTTCCTGCTCGTGTTTATCCTGTAGTTCTTTCACAAGCTTTCCTAAATCTTCTTCGTATTTTCCTCCAAGTTCTTTGACAGTACTTTGCAGCTCGCCGAAATATTTGTTATCTATGTCCTGTTTGACTTTGAGCAGTTCAGTCTGTAGTTCTCCAATTTCTTTCGCGTGCTGTTGCTCCTTCGATATATACCTGAGAAGAGGAATAAAATACCGCGATCATTTTAAGAATAAACTAAATTTACGTTGTAATGGAATAACCGTCGGTTATAAAGAACTTCTAAGAGCCCGTTTTATTCCTACCACTCCTGGAAGTGAAACGATACATCGAACTATCGATGTATTGCGATTGTTTAATAGTGTTCCAGAAGCAATGCATCGATTTTATGTTCAACTTACGATGATAGCCGCAATAGTTTCATTAATTATCGATAGTTTTAAATACTTTTGCAGCCCTTTTTCTTGTCTATTCCTTCGCTGTCCTTTGTTTTTTCTTGTCAAGAAGAAACATTTATTTAAACGTCGTGTCTGGTTTGTTTGTCATTTTGTTTGCCCCACGATTTTTCTAAAATTATTTATTGTGAAAGTTTTATGAAACATTATGCTCGAAAAGCATTTATCGTCTTAAAACAACCCACCAAGGACAGATAATTGTCAATTTGTCTTTTCACCAGTTATGCATAGATACACAAGTGGACAAGACGACATTTAAAAGAAACAGCTCCATTCCACACTTCAGAAACGAGAAGGGGACTGGTGCCGTAATGTGTCGCGCAATTGTTTCTGGGATTGTTACTGGGGACATGCTGGACAGCTATTGGCCAATTTTTTTCCCTTTCCATGGTAACAGTCCCAGAAGTCTTTGCGAAAGTTAACTCGTCCAAGTTTCCTTCGCGTTTCTAAAGTCTCTTCTAAGACTCTATTACCTTCTCTCCATGTCTTCAGCTAATTTTTCTAGCTCTCGTACGTGCTCCAATTCTTTCTCCATCTTCTCTTGCTCCATTGTAGACCTGAGTCTTTCCACCTCCTCGACGTGAGTTTGATCACCTTCCGCAAGAGTCTTCTCAAAATCCTTTTTCAGACTTTCAAGTTCTGTTAAGTGTTTTTCCTTCTCCGTAGCAAGTTGTTTATCCATCTGAGCCCGCATGCCTTCCAGTTGCTGCGCATGCTCTTTAGCGGTATGGTCGTAGGTTCCTTCCAAGTCCTCTCTCATGCGCGTCAGTTTCTCGTGTTCTCGTTTCACTTGCTCGTTTATCTCCTGAATTTCTTCCTCGTGCATCTTTTCCAGGCGTCTTCTCGTTTCCGCGGCTTGCTCTAGCAGCTGCTCTTGTTCTCCCCTCAAAAACTCAACGTCTTCAGCGTGCTTCTTTCCTAAGTCCTCCAACGCCGCGCTGGTGACTTCAGCTTGTTCCTGCTCGAGCTCATTCCGTAGATCTTCCAGCTCTTGAGCGTGTTGTTCGGCGAGATTTTGTTCCACCTCTTCCAGTTTATCTCGGAATTCTTCCATGAGTTTGTTTCTCAAAGCATTCAGTTCGTTCATGTGGGCTTCATTTGCAGCCGTTTCGCTTTGCTGCGCGACATCTGCGAAGTGTTCTTGCTGTTTCTTTTTCACTTCATGAAGCTCTTTTTCCAGTCTTTCCTCAAACTGTTCTTCTTGTTGTGAAAGCTTTTCGTTCAGTTCGTATTCATGCTTTTCTTTAAGTTCATCCATTTCCTTTTCGTACTAAAAAAAAGACGCATTTTAATGTATGACAATTAAACAAGACGTTTACTAATTATTAAAAGAGTTCATTAACGTGTGATGATATCCAATGCAATGTTTACAAGCAAGGGAGCACTGAATGACGGACACAGCTTCTTTTCTGCCACTGCAGATTGGGATTCATTGACTTTTTGCTATTCTAATTAGGGAGTTAAAGCAGCGCCGTTTTTGAGCGACGCATGTCGACCGGAAGTGAGCCTTTTTCTCGTGTAATATGTCGTAAGGCTTCCAAATTTGTAGTACTCAGTGTCGTTAGACCATCACTTCCGGTTGACGTGCGTCGCTTAAAAATGTCGTTGCCTAAACTCCCTAATATTCTTAAAAGGCGTCTGACACTTACTGCTCACTTAAGGCAAAATGTAGGGTTAGGGGAGGGGTATGTGGGCAGTTTTGATCCGGTGTCTGTAATAAACCAAAAGAGGATACAACCTTATCAATTCACTTGTTGTAATAAGCAAACATAGCTTCGTTGAGACATGCAATACATAGAGAATAGTCTGAAGGACTAGCAGTAATCGTAGATTATAGTGCGTCACCTTAGGGTCTTAGGCACCAGATTTGTGCATGCAGCAAAATGAAATAATATGCCGTTTGGACAGCAGGCATCACAAAAGCTTCAGGAATCATGAAAAACTTCCCTGATCAGCCTTTGATGTACGAAAGATTTAGAAAAGGAAAGATTGTGGAAGCAAAGATCCAAAGGTTGCGAAACGCGCTGGGAATGGGAACGCGATGTGCATGATGGATACTTTTGTGACGCAAACATTTTATTGTGACGTTTTAAAATAGCGCATGGTACGCTCCGCATGCCGGATGCTATTGTGACAATTCAAGATGGCGCAGATTTGGAACCGACACACCGACAACCTGTTTTCGCTCTTGAAACATGCACAGGCCGCCCTCGAACACACAGAAAAGCCAACGACTCAATTTAAGAAGCGTCTAATTCGTCGACGCTAAAACGACACGGGAGTTTCGTGTATTAGTAATATGGTACAAACAGCAAACAGAAGGACCGCACCTTGAGTCAAGTGGTCGCTTACAAGTGGTTAAAAACTATAGAAAACCATAATACTATAAGGACAAAACGTGGTCGAGGATGCTTGTAAGAGGTGATCGTTTACGAGAGGTTCGTACTACAGAGCTTTAAGTGGGAGAATTTTGGTGTTTTGGATAGGTTGTCGCTTACAAGAGGTGGTCGCACATGTAGATTCCACTGTATTTACTTTCCGAAAACATTAATTCCTACTCACTTGCGACAGTTTTTCGTTTAAAGCCTGGACATCCTCCTCGTGTTTTTGCTTCACTGAATCCAGTTTTTCTTGCCACTCGTGTTCAGTTTCCAAACGGGCAGACTCGACCTTGATGGCACTGTCTGCCAGAAAGCTGGCGGTGAGTTCGTTCAACTCTTCTTGATGGGAAGATTCAAGCTGTGATTTCACGGCACCCATGACTTCGCGATGACGATCGCTTAAATCTGAGAAAGAACAAAAAACACAACCAGAATGTACTGTGAAAAGGAGTAACTTTGAAAAAAAATTGTGAAGTTGTCCTTTGGAGCAAGGTTTAAGTTTTTCACCGAGGTTTACTACTCCACACATGGAAGGACAAATATGACTAAGCCTTAAGTCAATAGACATCTTTAGCTTGTACGTTTTGTTTTCCCAATAAAGGTCTCAGGGGTTCAGCTTGGCCTTTTGTCTTTTGATAAATTCTGCGTACACGTACACGTGAATAAGACAAAATTTGTTGAAAGAAACAGTTCTCAGGAGTGTTATCACACGACCTACTTTGGGAAAACAAAATAAACAAGCTAAAGAGGTCTATAACACGCAGCTCCAAGCACGTTCGCGGTGGTGCGCGTAAAATGTAAAGACAGCTCATTACAAAGACATTCACACAAACCAACACTGATAACAGACTCTGAGAAAATCTCCATTCATCCTTGAAGGAGATAATCGGAACTTACAATGAAAAATTAAAGCCTTGTAGAGAGAACTCTGCAAAAGTAGTGCTTTCAATCCCCGGTTATCGATTTCGTTAACCGTTTATCGAGGCGTAATCCAAAACTATAATGCATAGCCGATGTTGTTTTTATCATGTAAAATTGAGCTTTTACGTTTCTATGGAACCAGATGTTTTGATGGAGTATGCGACTAAGTATAAACTGACTTCCTTTAGTTTTGGATTTAAATCACGAACTTTTTGTCTATGGAAGCCAACATTTTATGAAAGGTTTTTCCTCAAATTATTGACCCTCTTTTTTATTTCATTTAAACTTGAAAATAGGGTAAAACCAAGAAATAATAAATTAATTGCCTCAAGGAATTAAAGACCATTAGGAGATACGCAAATTAGGAAAGTCGATAATTCACAAACACATTTTTGCAAATGCCGGCTGGATAACACAGTCGCGTAAAACGCGAAATCCCTTTCTCAAGCCAACAGCTAACCTGGCTAGGTGGGTTTACCCTTCTAGTTGAGCTAATTTTTTGTTTGAAATGTAAATGGTTCCCAAAGTTTTTTAAGGAAATATAAGAAAAGTTGGCTCGCACAGGGTAACTAGGGTAGGCGAGAGACCCTTCTATCTGGAACAGGTTTTCTAAATGTACACGGGACCTTGGTGAAACTGCCTGAACTAGACTTAGATTTTCGTCATACAATGCAGGTACCTCTACTTAATTTCAAACAATCCCTTCCTCCGCAACATAGCCGTCTCTGACCCACCTCTATAATATGGACACCTGGGCCGAGTTGTTCAAAGCTGGGTTAAGATAACCCAGGATTAGTGCGAGATTTGAATTCAGATTTGAAAGCTTAAAAAGCATTTCAGTTTAAATTCTTTTTTTCTACAAGTTGATGATTGGAAGCACTAAAAATAACAGAGAAAATTATCCGAGAAAGTGCTTTTGAACGAAAGAAAAACCTCGGTTAAATGTAACCCCAGGTTAAGCTCTAATCGGCCTTCGAACAACTGGGCCCTGGTCGACATCTCACTACAACTTACAGTTCGCTTGGTCCCAAAAATGCTACATGATACGGACACCTGTGTAATTAGGACCCTTGACAGTGTCCCTTTCGCGTCCGTATTAGGGAGGTTAAAAATGTCCTAAAAATTTTCCAAATTTGTTCAGGCCGTCTAAGATACTGATTCAAAGGAGTTCTACTTGAAACATGCAGGCGTTTAGAAATGAAAATGCTAGCTGGGATTATGAAGGAAGAACGACAAGGAAATTTGGAATCTTATATCGCTTACCATCTCTCAAGCCGTCCATCTGTTGTTGATGAATGTCATCTAGTTCGATCAAGTCGTTGGAGTGTTGTCTTTCCAAAACACTCTTCATGGTTCCCACCTGCTGAAGTCGCTGAGTTTCCAACTCGCTCTTAAGCTCCAAGAGCTTCTGTTCAAATTCCGCGTTCATTCGTGTGATCTAAACAGCAAATAACAGAAAAACATAAGCAACACAGACAAATAAGCTCAATATCGACTATCTGCAAGATCTTGAAATATTCGCTGGCTGCACATGCTCAATTCGGGTTCTGTTATGGTAAAGTAAAGAAGAATGAGATGATGAATAAAATCCACATTTAACTAAAACAAGACCTTAGTGAGACTGCGAGATTTTGTTCGTTGAAGCCAAGAAAATGTTACTAAACATTATGTCAACAGAGAAAAGAAAAATCTAATGGAGATCCACTTCCAACACACATTTTATCTAGGCGAATTCACAAAACTTGTTTCGTCTTATGACTTCTTCACTTTTCTCTGTTGACAGACTTTAATGAAATCCCAGCTAAATTGTGAAATATTTCTATAATGAATGCGTGTTGTATTTCTCGTCGCAATGAATGTGAGCATAACTTTGAGCACGCAGACACATTTCTAGGTAGTTTGGCGACAAAATGAGCAATCGTTTCCTGCGTTTATTTCAGTAACCTCGCAAGATGTCAGCAGTTCAGTGCACAATGTACGTACACCTGTAGCTTGCCTTCATCATGAAAAACAAAGTTTTGGCGTCCAAGCATCGCACAAAAAATAAAATAGAATTCTTTTCTCTACCTGTCTTATTCCTGGCTGGATATTACACCGTCAAGATTTCAAGAAAATCGTTGAAACGGGAGACTAAATAGCGCCTTAAAAAGCAGATTGCCTAAATTCTGTACCACGTACAAGGCCACAAAGCCTTCATTTAGGGGACGCCATCTTTGTTTACCGACAGAGTGGCAAGCGTGTTTAAGTTCTGACAGTTTTTATTGTTAGCTGTTTGTTTTACACAATGTACTTAACACTTGTAATTCATCGCACAAGACAATACAGTACAAGCTACCCGGGATTCTTTGGTTAAACAGATACTTCTCGATTAGAAAAGGAATCAGTTGCGCAGTTTTGTGTAAAATAAATTTAGATAATGCATAAAGTGAGAAAAAAAAAATTTTACCGAAAACAAGTTGCTCAACCCCATAAATTGTGTAGCTGCAGTTTCGTTGGAGCACAGTTTCGGCGAATAAAAGATCGAAGATTAAAGGAACCCTTTGATCAAGTGCGCAGCTTTCGAACAAAAAATAGCTCAAAAAAGAACTGCTTAACTTACAAGCCAATGCGAACAAGATCAACCCCGGTCAAAAAAGAAGTCGCACGTCCACATTTATTTCATCGTTGGGCCCCAGAACCCAAAATAAGCTTCTAAAGTTGAACGATAACCTTGGAACATTGAAAACGCTTATAGTAACAAAAAGTATTGACAGTGTTTAGCAAAACACACTTAGTTTACTGACAAAAACAAGCTAAAACAGCAACATGTGAATGTACTGCTGAAAAAATTTCATATCAGGATTTCGCCTACAGACTTAAGTAATTGAAATACGTCTCAAGTCTTGTCTCTGAGAGTGAAATGAAGAGTTTGTATAGTACAACGTTAAACTATCAGAACATATCGGAGCAGTCCTTGTTTCAGACGTGATCAGATATCACTGGGATATTTTTTCAGTAACACTTTTACGTTTCTTTGTACCGCCACTTTGAAAAATGTTGAAGTGAGTGATACACTATTGACAAAACACCTGCTCAAAAATTTGCGTCATTTTTGCTTGCTAATTAGAAAGCTTATCTTAAACCCTTTCGTAGCATTTTGTCTTTAGCTAAGCAAGCGTTGTTGAGGCTAAAGAAACACCCACTGATCAAAGTAAGAGTAACATAAGAAGAAACAAAAAAGGTTTTAACGCATAAAAGTGAACCGCAATTCGAAAGACTAGCCAGGTACCTTAGTAGAAAAAATACGACGAGTGTTTAACCCTTCACCCCTGCCATCAACAAGCATATATTTTCCACTGTTGCCTGCCGATTTCATGCGGCATTTATCCAAAGAAATTGTCTAAAATCAAGAGATTTTACCCTTTCCATCAACAGAAACATTGACAAAGAATAGGGTTAGAGCAAAAAAAAAATATCACACGAAACAGAGAGCGGTTTGTACACCACAACTCTACATGACAGCGAAATAACGAGCTCGATAAAATCCCACACATAAGTAGCTTGCCATGATGTGCGATAAAAATAAGATAGAGGCTAGAAGTCATTAGTGGCAAAATTATAAGGGATTGGATATAGATAGAAGCTATATAAAAGTGAACCACAAGCAAAATACGATAAGCAAAGCCAAGAACGCGCAGGTAATCATTTAGATGGGAGGAGTTCTGTAAGCGTAGAATTTGTCAATTTCCTGGGAGTCCCACTCTTGCAAAAACTAACGATACATTCACAAATTTCACAAAAGATCATGTTGACATGCATTCGTAAAGCGGTTTTCCAACTCTAGCCTGCGAATACGGTTGTCTCCATCGCTCACCGCCACGATAAACGTTTCGCGAAAGAGAAGTACGCATCAAACGAAGATCGTCTCACTTGTAGCACGTCATTCCGCTCAACAAGCACGCAAGTTTAGCAAAAGGAGATTAACCGAAGCGAATCGTGACACTAAAATTGAGTTGTCCTATTCCATTAAAAAATAAATCAGATCGATGAGGTAGACTTTATGCTTTCAGCCTAAAGAGTTAATTGCCAGAAGTGAGTTCTAATACATCCACTTTGCAATTATGCCTTGGGCGTAAAAACCGTTGCAAGATTAGGAAGTAACCATAGAAAAACCAAACTCTAAACAGACGCGCAAATGCGATGGGCTGGTAGAATAATCATAGCTTTACATACATGCAAGAAATAAAGAGAAAAATACAGTGACATCCATTCATTTGACAACATGACTGCACTCGACGCACTTAGACAACAAACACGAACAAAAGGAAATACTTATAGGATATGGTTACGCATCAAAGATTAAAACTGAATCGCCGTCGATTACCTACCCTAGTGCTAAAACTATGATCTGTGAAGACCGGTCAAATACAACTTACTTGTCAGAGGATTGCAAGAGGTAGCAGCCTTCTTTATATAAAAATGATAATGAAATATTTCAGTGTTTACAAATTTTCGCGTGTTGAGCGTTCAAGTGTGCAGAACAGAAGACCAAGAAGATTCAGGCTTTGTGCGATCGAGCGATCAACCCGAACAAACCTCAGGTAATTAACGCGTTTATAAATTTACGCTCTTCTGGGACGCGCTAGCGTGAGAAAAGTAGCCAATGAACATACGAAGTGAGAAAGACGAGCTATACGGATTAAAAATTCAATAACTTTAATTTTCAGATGACTTGTTTGTTTACTTGTACGAGCAACAAGCGGTATTGTCGCTTTCAAATTACTCCATGGGAACAAATCGGACGGGGTAAACCACAGTGAGGGCCGAATGTTATTGAAAACGGGTATTTTTATAAACAAAAAAAGTTTGTAACTTAAAACGCTGATCAAGAAAGCAAAATAGAAAGTGAAATGAAATGAAAAAGAGCGGTTGGAAAATAGATCGAAAGGGCACTTGTAAAAGCAGTGTGTGACACGCGAAACACCATGTAACGGATGTCAGTGTTTAGTCGGAATAAACTTTGTTGACCAATGACATTTACGGATCAAAACAGGTGCCTAACTGGTATAGCGTTCTCTCGCGATTTCTGATTGGTTGGTAGAAACAGATGGTAATAAATTCACATTTTCTACGGACAAAATAACACAGATCAAAAATATATATGCTATGACCTTCGCTGGATACGAGAGCCCTATTCCAGTTATTTTAAACTTTATCACGCTCGAAAGATTTCCGGCACAAAGAGAAAGGCAAAATATGTTTATGATTTTATCGAGCTGGCTCAAAATATTTTATGTCCACAAATAACTCTGAAAAAACCGAATTTATTTAGCTAAGTTCATGTAGATAAGGAAATGCGATGACCTCTCTGAAGTTTTTGTACCTAAGTATACAACTAACTTTTAATAGCTAAAACAAAACAGCAATAATATCACAACCTCCATATGCGACATAGAAAGAAATTAACATACAGTAAAATATAGCCAAAAATTTAGATCTCTTTTGTTAAGGGGAATAAATTTAAAGACGGCTAACCTTGAAGCAGTCTCGCTCTAGAAGTGAATCAACGATCCAGAGTGATAATTCGTGCCATTCCATCGGTAGATTTTACCCAAATCACCACGCGTAACGGTTAAAATCTCTTTGAAACTCGTTTACGTGGATTTCAGCGACACAATAAGCGGTGAACGGCTTTTGTCCAGCCCAATCGTGCAATAAATAAAAATAACTTGATCTTAATAGACTTGTCGTTAGCATCTGGCCCGTCCCAGATTTCTACTGGCGAAACACGATTTGCAAATTTCATGTACAGTAAACAATACAAGCCACTATTCCTCGAAGTACACATTAAAACGTGACGGCTTACAACCGAACGGATATTATAAAAGTTAAGCGGCAAATGATATTGACGCCTAATATTTGCTTAGAATCACGTTAATTTTTCACTTTCGAAAAGAGGAAATGTATCGCCCGGCAACCGGTGTCAGATGTCGAGAAACAGTTGAATACTGATGATGACAGTACAGTAGGAGACGATTCAAAGAGTTACTGTTTATATTTCGAAAGACAAAACCTGATTTTGTAAATTAAGTTTTTAATACACGAAGAGTTAATATTTTTATTCTGCGTTTACATTTATTCACGCAACTTTCAATTCACATGGAAACAAAAACAGACACGATAATAATACAGAACACCATTTCGGATTTATCATGCTAAAAGTACTACTTTCACAGATAATATCTGAGAACATTTTAAGACGCTTTGCTCATGATGAGCAAAACATCGTGTATTTTCAAGATTTAAACTAGCTCCTGTCACGCGACTTTTTCTAGGTCAATAATACAAATTTTATTTTCCGTTTGCTAAAACAGGGTGAATGGTGCACAGCTACAAGTATAATTGCATGTTTTGTTGCCAAAATTAGATGTTTATACAATGTGACGAACATTAAAATCAGTCAGCTGTACACGGCTCCACAGCACCGCCGACGTCATACAGCACAAGCTCAGGAAGTTTCTTACGTCAAATTCAGTTTCGATAATATCATAAGTTTTGTAAACCTTCATTGTTCGTGACGACAGGGTAACTAAGTATCGAAACTAATTCTGAGTTGCTTTGCTTTTGTATTGCCACGTAATGGGATTGGCTGAAACATTTCGCGCCACTTTTTCAACCAATCAGAGGTAACAACAACTCAATCGTTACTTGCTTGCAAACATTTTCACGTGCGTATCGCCAACTACACGCACCTGCTTTGAGTTTTGATTGGTTTATTGGATCCGAAAGTAATTTTGCGTTTCACTGATCGGCCAAAACCTTTTCCCGCCCTTTGGACCGGCGGCATGCACCTGCTTCGAGTTTTGATTGGTTCAATAAATTCAAAATAGGCCATTTCCGAGTTCCCGTGGGCCTCTGTTTCAAAACGAGGATAGGTGCTCAGCCGTTGATATGGAAATCATTTTTCTTTCTCATGCAAATAAAACTCATTTTCACAAGAAAGATTTTGCACCTAGCCTCATTTTGAAAGTGAGGGTTATTGGAACTCAGAAGTGGCCTATTAGTTTCGTGATTTATACGAATTTGATTGGCCAAAGCACTTTTCCGCGCTAGGCGCCCGATAGAAGCATTTGCTTCGAATTTTGATTGGCTCATTGCAATGTCTGCGTCAGTTATTTCTTTCCGATTTTTGGATACCAACACTCAACGTAAAAATAAACAGCTAACAGAAATGCAAAAACAAACAAACAAACAAACAAAAACTTTCAGTACGCAAGTAGCTTTTACGAACAGAGAACGTTAATTAGGGATTCAAGGAACATTAAAATAGAGAAATTAAATAAACAATTAGAGAAACAAAATACAGAAAACAAAACTTGCAAAATTAAACACAAAAGAATAGGAATGTCTGAGTGAAGGGGCAGCGCCGATAGAAAAAAGTGTTATAAAGCTTTTTTCTCGAAAAACCTCTTTATTTAAAATTAAACAATACGATATAAAATTATTAACGCCTATCTCATAATAAACTATTAATATTTATATGTTTTTCGTTTGATCTCGCAAAAAATCTGTCTGAGGAGAAAAACTAAGCTAACATTGTTCACCTCTAAGTACATTCCTAAGTTTTCGTGGACAGTTTACAAGACCAAACAAGATTTATTTTTTAAAACTGAAAGTTTACTTTCTTTTCCCTAAATTCAGAAATTTCATATATTTCCATTCATTTATTTACTGTTCTAATTATCGACTAAACATAACGCACATTGGTGCCAAAAATATTCATTTGTAATACTACATTTGAGTGCACATTAGTGCAAAAATATTCAGTTATAATCTTTCCTGACATAAACCTCTGAATATCATTTCTTTTTCCGCTAATTGTTTTTGTGACAAATAAGAAATTTTAGATATTGCCTAATTTTTTCCTAAATTAAGGTTTAATATTTAGTATTTTTATTGACGATCTGAGTCAACGAGGGCATCCAACATGCACTACAAGTTCTATTAAACGTTTTTGAATAAAAAACGACGCAGCTTATCATAGACACTGGAAAGCTAGATTGACGTAGAAAACTTCTATGGGCAGGTAACTATCTCTATGACAAAATGCCCTCGACTAAAACTGTTTTAAACTCTTTTTCTTACTTCTTTTTAGATACTTTAATTGTAATAACAGTTGATAGAGCAGTTTGAATAAGACATGGAAAACTACCAAGCGAGCAAAGTGGCTTGCCCGAATTACGATCATAAGAAAGTCAATGGTATTTTCCAAGCGCGGGAATTCATTGAGCCAATCACAGAAAGGTAGGCGGCTGCCCTAGTTCACTCAGACAAGACAAGAAAACTTTACATAAGACACAAACTTTATGTAACATGACGTATATAACATCAATATAAACTCTGTCAATGCAAAAGAGATACAAGCAAAACAGTTTCCAAAATACAAAACTGTGCTGTGTAACACCTACAGAAGCAAGTTAAGAAGTTACAGAGGAACAAACAGGCAAAAAATGTCAAACACCAACACGCGAAATAATCTTATGCGGAACTTAAAAACGCAAAAACACTAGTATATCAACAGATGGGCGACGGATATCTCTGTTAAGTGCTACCTTGATTGAAAAAAAAAAAGTTACCCACCCGAGCTTATATAGACCCAACATAATAAATTTGTTCTCAAAAAAAACAACAACAACACTTTGGGTCTGAATAAGTCTTACAACTCTTTGAATCTCACTAAACCTCACAAAACTAGGCCCACTGCAATAATCTACATAAAAGTTATTCATTTAGCCCCGTCCTGTTTTCTAAGTCGTGGTCTTGGTCCACTATTTTAGTTCTTTGAGTCTGCGACCATTCATTTTTACTGTAACAATGACATGTCATTTTGACAAATGTTTTGTTACTTATTTATGGCTAATTCGGGCGCTAAAAAGCCTTTAACTGACTTAGTTGCATGCCTAAAATATTCACCACAGCACCTGTTCCTGATGACGAGAATTTAGACGACCAATCTCAGCGCCATAATGAACATTCAGGTTGTCTTCCAGCCTCCTGAGCTGCTGCTGATAGTCTTCGTCCAGATCTGTCCGTAGCTGTTCCATCGAGCTAGAGTACTGGTTCTCCAGTTGACTTTTGGTCTGCAACAAGCTCTTGTTGTACTGTTCTTTGATGTATTCTTCTTTGCTCAGGAATTCCATCTCTTTCTGGTGAAACTCATGTTCCCATTCTTGTATCTGCTGTTCTTTTTGTTTCATCTCCTCTTCAAGGCGTTCTTTTTCCCTAAACAGTAGATCTTCCTTGTCCAGCAGTTTGATCTCAATCGCCTCCAGCTCAACCTGAACAATAAAAAAACACTACCCTTTCAAACTCGCAGACACCATAAACCGACGCTTATAAGCCTCCCCCCCCTGGCCCCACTTATTTGCCCCTCCCCGGCCCCACTTATAACCCCTCCCCCAGCCCCATTTATAAGCCCCTCCCCGCCCCCAAGACCCTTCCCCCAGCCCCACTTATAAGCCCCCTCCCCTGACCCTTGTAAGCCCCTATGTCCCAGCCCCACTTACAAGCCCCTCCCCCGGCCCCACTTATAAGCCTCTTCCCCCTGGCACCATTTACAAGCTTCCACCCAGTAATAGGCCGGAAGTTGACATCTATCGCACGTTTCATCTCAGAGGCCCTCGTATACGCTCCGATGGATAAAGGAAACACAATCTTCGGCAACGCGAATGTTTGGTTACCAAATTCAACCGCCGTCAAATCCTGAGAACTTTTTCTTAATTATCTTTAACTTGGTAATATCGGACACTTCAAATTCTGAAGTTTTGAATAGATGAAAATCATATATGTGAACTGTGGAGTGAAGAATTAAATGAAGGATGATCATTGCAGTTATTGGTAGCTTAATTGGTAGAGCGCTGCACCGGTATTGCAGAGGTCAAGGGTTCGAATCCGGTACAAGTCTGAATTTTTTTCTGGCTTTCTTTTCGCAACTGCAAAAGTTGCGTATACAACTGCGATGATCATCCTTCATTTAATTCTCCAAATACTGTTTTATTTAGCAGCCTAACACTTGAAATTTAGCCTGTTGCCAGACGCTCTATTTTCTCTAGAAATCGTCGAGCGCACTTATGAAAATAAATAAAAGAGATGCCAAGTTACAGTAAGTAGGTGAACGAAGAGGAAAGCTCTTGATTACAGACCTGCAGTTCATTCTTCTCCTTTCTGAGTTCTTTTTCAAACAAGTCCTTTTGTCTGATGATCTCGTTCAGTTTAGCCTGCTTGATCAGTTGCTCTTGCAGCGAAGCTCTCTCGCGGTTCAGTTCTCTTTCAAGAACTTCCTTCTGGCGAAGCTTTTCCGAAAGCCTTTCACGCTCAAGTCTGAAGAAAATCAACAAATTACTAATAAGCAAGGATCTGATATGGAAATAAAACTAGAACTACGCAGAAATCGATCTCCACGATTGTGGCGTAGAGAATCTTGACGGCAGTCAAAGGATGCTAATAGTGTAACAAATTTAGATTATTATTTTTTTTTTTACATGGGTCTCCTGTGGAAAGGCCACGTGTACTTCTGCACTAGCATCGTCAATCGCCCAAATGCGCCTGCGTCATGTCCCGCTGAGTGATGGCAGGCTCATAAATTTTAATTGAAACTGAAACTTTGCGCACAATACTCAAACAGTGCCAACCGAACGCTGTGTGCGCATGCTTAAATATTTTTGCTGACCAAAATGAACGAAGGCTTAGGGAACATGTAAAAAGCCGAGATACACACTACCACAGCGTCTTGTTTATACAAAACAAATCAACAGACTGAAAGCTTTTCTAAAGAACCCTGTTCTCTACCTTAAGCTATCTTCTAAAGCGTTTTTTTCTTCCAATATATCCACATAAGAAGTGCCGTCTTTCTTCTGCTGTTCCAGTTGCTGTAGAAGTGAATCTCTCTGATTCTGTAACACCAGTAACTGCCGACCAAATGCGTCCTGTACATCATCCGATACCGAGTCGGATGTCGAGATTCTTTCACGAAGCTCCTGCGATAAAACAAAGACAGTGCTAAAACCTTGGACAAAACTTGTTGAGAAAAAAAGGAATTAGGACCTAAAATCCTGACATTCTGACATTCATTTCGGCCGGTGAATTGCCTTACTCCTCCGTACCCTCTTGAAATGCTGTTTTAGGTAACACCAGAACTATACACGTTGGTTGTCAGAATTTAGCAACATGGAATAGGGAGCGGGGGTCTTTTTAGAGCAGATGATAGTAGGCGGTTACAGCTCATAGTAGCCCTCATAACTCATAACTTTGTATGTTTTGTTCTCCCAATGTAGGTTATAGGATGTTCTGAGGGGAATTACGTATTTTCAACGACCGTTAAGTTACGTACTTTGAACGAGTTTTAAGTTGATTCAACTTTACATGGGTAAATAATGGATTGATTGATTGATTGATCGATCGAACAACTGATTGATGCATAGACAAGCACTTAAATAAAATAAAAACTTAAAAGAAACATTTCCTTTGACTATTACCAAACGGCAAACATTGAGAAAACAAAACACTCAAGCTACAGAGGTCTATTTATTTCACGGCAATATTGCGCATACGAATGCCACTCGGCTTAGGCCCGGATCAAACATTGACATTTGAAGTTCGACGTTTTACCTGGGCCTAACACACTTTTTGCAGGTACGCAGAAAGTTAGGCTAATACGTTCACCGTTTTGCTGTACCGCACGATTTTTCACTTGCAACGTTCGACTAAGAGCGTCGCCTCTTTGGTGAATTCAGGACAGAAGGTATAGGTGGTCTTCATGCCATCTCGGGAGACACAAATAACAATGGTGAAATGAACAAATGCTGGTGGACAAACAAAGCGACTTAATGAGCGATCTTTTGTTTACCGTCCACCGGCATGGCAGCGATGACGTAACGTGAAAACCACCTATAACAAGTCCCCAAAATAATTTTTTTTTTAACCTTACAGCTTTGAAAACTCACCAGAAGAAAAGCAGTACTTACCTCTATGACTTGTTCATGTTGTTGTAGTCTATCTGTAAACTCGTTTCTCCCCTTGGCCAATTCTCCTTCCTTCTCTTTAACCACGTTCAACAATCGGGTTTTCTCTTCCCGTAGTTCGCTTTCCACCCGTATCCTCTCTTGAAGACGTTCCTTAAAAGTCACACAAAATTCCACTTGCTTATTCACTTGTTTTCAATTGAGTGACGAAAACGGATAGAGAGTTTAAGGAACAACGACGGCGGAGGCGACGAGAACGTTCAAAAACCAAGAACTTTGATAAGCAAAACAGCAGCTCTGCACGTGCAGCACACTTTTAGTTTTTGTATATTTCTTTGCCGTCACTGCACGACTAACACGTGATATTTCCTGCTTTCTCGTTTCATGACGTTCACACAACAGGACGATTATCTTTTCTTTCTCCGCGCGTACCATCGCCGTCGTGGTATTTTAAGCTCCACGATAATGTCGCAGTTAAAATGGGAGTTAAAATTGCCCCAAGAGAAACTGAAAACAATGCTTATGCAAAATTATGGGGTGACAAACAAAGAGCATTATGGTATGTTATGGTATTTTTTGTAGTGGTCAATTGTTCTACTTTACTACGTCTCGCGATTAGCTAATTTTTAAACCAATCAGAATCCGCAAAACAAAAAAAAATTAATTGTCACACGCTCGCACGTTGCTTGCACTTGCTTGTTCGCGTTTTCCCCTCGCTAATCCAAACAGAAGCAAAAGATTTATAAAACGTTGTGACAACAACCCGGCACACATGCTAGCCGCGCCAGTATGACTGTTAAGCTGTTAAGGGCCCACTGGAGTGGTCCACAAACCCGAACAATATAATCACTGCTGGTCAACTCTAGTTACTTCAACTACCCTACGCATTTTTTCACACACACAAACCTGCAAGAGAGACAGCTCTTCAAGCGACTCGTAGTTCTCTCTATCCACAGCGGTCAGTTGCGTCTCCAGTTGTCGTTTGCTGACTTCCAGGGCCCTCTCTCGGGCTTCTCGTTCGTTCATCTCAACTATGAAGTTCTCTCTCTCTTTCTCCAGCGCCCTTTTAGCTTCCTGAAGCTGTTGGCTTAGTTTGAGCTCAACTTTATTCTTCTGCCGGACTATTTCTTGCATCTGGTTGAGCTTGGCCGCAAGAGAGGCGGATTGGTCTGATGTTTCTTTGAATAAAAGGGTGAGGCAAGAATTATTTTTAATATGAAAGAAGAGCAGGAACACATTTACTACATTAAAGACAGCTATTTTGGTTCATATACAAATTTCAGACGCCAAGCCTGTAAAAACAACTCTAGGGTCACTACCCTCCGTAGATAAAGTCCTAAGATTGACCTTCAACTGAACAGCACATTTTAACGTCAGTGTGACGAAAGAAATTCGGTTAAACATTGTACCTTAGGCTACTAAAATGTCCCCCCTCCCAGATTCAAATTAACATTAAATATAACAAGCTGATACAACACCAAGATAACAGAGACCTTTAGACGCGAGGACGAGAACGATGATTTTTCGCGTATTATCAAAAAACCGACATCATGGAAAGAGTAGCTCGGTCATTTTTTTATTGAAGGAGGTTAAGCACTCTCTCCAGCGCAAAATGATCAATCAATTTCCTAACATTCGATCACTAACATAACTTGTTTTCGTCACTACGGCATTATAGAGCTTTAGATTCGAGGCAGGGGGCGACTACGAGTACTGTACGAGATTTTCTCAATTCTAAAGTAGTGCACGCCCCTGAGCCAGCGTCATTTTGGCGGGAAAACGTGATAGCCGCCGTCACTCTACGACGAGTTTTAGCAAGAATGTCGTAGTGGCGGGAACAAGTTATCAAATGTAAGAATTTTTATCATTTTGCTGTCGGGAGAGGGCTTAACCTGTTTCAGTATAAAAAAAACGTACTAACTTTTTTGGTGGAAAAAAAAGAGTAAAATGAAGCATTCCGGGGTGTCTTTGTTTTTTTAGAAAACGCGCAAAAACTTTAAGTTAAATCTCCTACTCGTACTCGTTCTCAAATCTAAAACTCTTTATTCTCGCTAAAACCCGTAGAAGAATGATGACGGCTATCACGTTTTCCCGCCAAAATAACGCTATTTCACGCACGCGCACTGTTTTGTACGAGAAAATTTAGTTCTCGTTGTCCTCCTCGTCTTAGAATCTAAGGGTCTCTTCCGAAATTCTCAATAATTTGAGATACCTTCAGCAAATCCAGTCCCCGGTAAGACTTCCAGCTCCTCTACAGACTGTCTCACCAATAGCGGTTCTTCGTGTACAACTTGACTGGACACAGAGCTAATGTTGGACTCCATAGGGGCTTGCAATCTTAGGTCCAGCATACTGTGTGTATCTGTGAGCACCTGAATCTCATTCAAGAGTCGGTCTCTTTCTGTGGTAACCTCAGAAAGGTCCTTATGCAGTTCGGTCAGCTTGCTTCGCAAACGCAAGTTTTCTTCTTCTTCTTTCGTTATTTTGTAGAGCAGTGTGTCTTGCGTTGAAGCGATTCTTTCTTCGCTCTCCTGGAGTAGTTGCTTCTTTATCTGGGCGATCTCTCTTTCCTTTTCTAATTTCAGCTGAGTAAAAACAACAGCGGGGTCTTCTTTCTGCTGTTCTTGACCTGAATGATGTCACAAAGACAATGGCAACGTTACTCACTAGTAATAAATATATAAGTAAATCAATTAGTTGTCTCAGTTTCCTTGTACCTATAGACTTCTTTTCTGGGGGAATACTTTCCTGAATATTATGCCGTGCAAGGTGCATGGTTCTAGCTTTTAAGTCAGCCTTCGAACAAGCGCTCCAATTATGGCGAGCGATGAAAGATAATAAGCAGTACTTTCCCGTGGTACTGTGTTTTACGCTGTACAAGGTGGTTCTAACTTTTGAGTAAAAGTAACCGTGACTAAGGAGCGCTAAACTTGCCTGTTTCCTGAAGAATCTTTTCATAGTACGTCTTCAACTCTGAAACTTCTAACTGATGTTTCTCGAGCACTTCCTCAATCACTCCCATGAACTCTTTTTCCTTGCTATCGGCTGCCTCTGCCACTTCCTTTTCACGCCTTTCTTGCTCGTGCTGTACTTGTTCCTTGAGCGTTTGAATCTGCTCTTCATAAGCTTCCTTCACCTTATCTGCCTCCTCGGACACCCTTCCTGTCTGCTCATTGCCAGCACGGGGTTTAAGCTCCATTTCGAGCGCTTCTTTACGCTCCGATAAAGTCTTCAGTTCTTTTTCCAACTTTGCTACAACCTCAACGTGTTCAGCCTTCACGGTTTCCAGCTCACGTTTGTGTTCAGCCTGCGCGCCTGCCTGTAATTCTCGTATTTGGTCCTCTAAGCCACTGGTATATTCAACAAGATTCTCTCTAAACGCTTCGATTTCTTGAGCGTGCGTAGTCCTCAGAGACTCATTTTCCGACTCTAGATCTTTCACTCTCTCCACAAGTTGCTGCGCAGCTTTTTTGTACTTCGACTCCAGCTGCGCTTTTGTTTCAGCGAGTTTCTGCTCGTATCTTGCCGATTCATTTCCAAGTTCCAACACTAACTGCTTCTCAAGCTCGGCTGTTTGTTCTTGCTGCTTTTGTAAATTCTGTTCATACTGAGCTACATCGCTGGTGTGCTCTTCTTCAAAACTCGACAAGTTGTCCTCTAGCTCGGCTATTTCTTTAACCTTCTTCTTCAACTCGTTCTGTAAATCTTTAATTTCGATCGCGCTTGAACTTTTCAGCTCTTCAAACTGCCCCTTGAGCACTTCTAAAGCTTCATCTTTCTCTTTCAACATCGTTGCCTTATTTTCAAATTCTTCTTTTACCCTTTCCATCTGCTGTTCTAGATCATTGTTCAGTGTAATCTGCTTATCGAGTGACTCCTTCAAAACGTTTACTTCGCCCTCATAGACCTGCTTCAGCTTTTCCATCTGTTCTTGTCTCGATTTATCCGCCTCCTGGCCTGTCTCCTCCAGTTGCATATTCATCAGCTGTTTTAAATTCTCCAGCTCGGCAAGATGTTTCGAGTTCACGGCTTGCAACTCTTCCTGATGCTCTGTGTGAAGTCTTTCCGCTTCAGTGGCATTGAACTTTTGAGCTTGGTCAAGATTTTTCTCCAACTCTTTTGCGCTGTGCTTGTACCTTTCCAACTCACTTTTAAGACCATCGAAGTCGCCGTTTAGTTGATCAAGAGTTCCATTCTTGTCGAGTAGTTCCTGATTGAGCTGATTAATTGTTCTTACTTTGTCTTGGAGCTCTTGGTTAAGTTCTTCTATTCTACTCTTGTAGTTCTCCTCATCCTTTTCTTTTAAATTGTACAGTTCAATAATGACGTTGTCTTTGTCAGATACTTCGTGCTTCAGGTCTTCTATAACCGATTTGGTGTCTTGTAACTCTTTGGTCACTTTGTCCATGTCTGACTGTTGCATTTTTAAGCTGCCATCACTCTAAAGGAAAGACAAACAGACGGAAGTGCAGTGTATGAAACCGGATGTCTAGGTTGTTTAAGTTCACCGGAAGTGAACATAAAAACATCCCACAATACCACGGGCACTCTGTTGCTGGTGTTGTAATGCCTTGAGAAGCGTGTTGTGTGTGTGTTCGGTTTTTGTTCAAATCCTATAGCATCATGGCGATTAAACATTCAACAAAGAACTTAACAGGGAGGGTGGAAAAATTATTTACATGATGCAAGAATGTCTATGAAAATTTGTTTTCAAGTTTTGCTATTTAGAACATGGCTTGCAGTTGGGCAGGAATCTGTAACCTGCTTATAAACTCTCAGCTTTTAGGGAGGAATTGGGGGGAGGGGGGGGCATAGGGGATTGGAACACATTTCTATCCCCATCACCACCCTTCAATCAGTGAGCTTGCTCTACAGAGGCTTTAAAAAGAACTATAGCTGTTAAACGCTGTAATTATGGCCTGATAACGATACAACCTTCAGTCCAGCATAAGCTACGGAACTATTACATCTTACATGTTCATGAAATGTTCTGTCTAATATCCTATGTTTGATCTTTGGATCACACAGTAAAGCAATAGTCTACAAGGCAAGAGTTGAAAGCAACAGGGGAAGCAAGACAAGTAAGGACCAGGCATAGAACAGAGGAAAGTTGACGCCCTACCCCTCCTTTACCTTTTTTCTCCACCCCATCCCCCCTCCCACTGGACCTCATTTTATGCTTTACTCATAAGACAACCCTTGTAATGTAAATTTGTCAGCCCAGTGGGGAGAAAAAATACAAGTCAGAATAATTTATCTTACCTCCACTAACTGCTCTTGCAACATCTTTATCTGTTCAGTCAGTTCTTCTGTCTGCATCTGAGCCTCATGTTTAACATTTTTTTGCTCGCTGTCATGATCTGCTAGATTTTGCATCAACTCTCGAACTTTCTCATCTCTAGTTTCCACATTCCCTTGGAGCTCAAGCAAGTGGTCCTGAGAAGTACTCAGCCTTTCAGCAAGTTCTTCAGACTGGGTGCGATAAGTGGTAACCTAGGTGTTAAGAGAGTAAAATACATTGAAGCTTTTATATCAATCTCCATGTTCTCAACACTATTCTTCATTCTCTCCATATGGCACTTGTAAAGAGAACTTGCTTAAAAATCAAGACATTTTAAATGAATCTGTGGTAGTAATTTCCTTATTGGAGTTTGTGCTTAGAAAACCACAAACAGGTACTCGTCAACACAGGGTTTTTTTCATTAATTCATTCACATATATTCGCCATATCACACATCATTACAATAAAGGTGTATTATAGAGAAAATTAAAGGAAGCAGATGGCAAGGAAATGTGAAAGAAACTACAGGGCTTATAAAAAATCAGGTTTCCTCCGAACTAAAAATTAGCAAGTCTAAAATGAAAATATGGACTGGCAAAAGTAGTACAAGCATTTACAAAATAAAAGTAACTCAAGCTTAAAGCAATATTAAGTTAACACCTATTGCGAAGAAATTCTTCAAGCTTTTTTTTAAAAGACGCATAGGAGGAAGATTCAGTTATCTTAGCAATCAGAGAGCTGTAAAACTTTGGACTTTGAGAGTAAACGGAAAACCACCTGGTATTGGTTCTGTATAGCAGTAAACAAAGATTGAGCACTCTTTGTATTATGATTATGTGTTTGGTCGTTCGTAGAAAAAAGTTATTGAATTTGGAAGGGGGTGTAGAGTTCTTAAACGTTTCTTGGTGTTGCAGACACTCTTGTTGGTTGCTTTTGTTTTGTGTTGTGGGTACTGTTCACTCAGTGTCTTTTCATTCCTTTGTACTATGTCATTGGTGATCCCACTCATTCACAACAACAGGAACCTACCCAATACAGGGTGTAAGGGGGCGTTTACACGAGAAACTCGCACCAGCGCGAATTTCATACTGGGATGACTTTTTGATTTCATATCGCATTTACATGATGACTGGGTCATGTCATATCTCGTTATTTGAAGGTACATTTCATGTTGATAAAATACATGTGTGATTCAAAATTGCAAACATCATGTATGCACTACCCATTCCAGTCTACTGGCAGACCGATTTCACACCGAAACTTGTGATCGTTTCGCATTTACATGATACCATTGCGAGATTTCGTACTGGAGTGAAATTCTCGCCCTGGTACAAGAACCAGGGTGAACTAACACCAGGGTGACGCGCGCCGGCATGACATTTTGTGGTAGTATCATGTAAACAAATATAGAGCCATGAAAGGGAACTGGAGTGAACTCGCTCAGGGCAAAAGTCACCTCGATGTCATGTACAGTAAACAGCCCCTAACTTTGATAAGAATGGTATATGTAATAAGGTTATTGTGAATTCACATGATTGTAAGAGCAACATGATGTTGAAAGAAGACTCAAACATTGTACTACTCACATCATTACTCAGCTGTTTGAGTTGTGATTTCATCTCTTCATTGTTCTTCCTCAAATCCTCCAACTCCTCTTCCTTCTCAGCAAACTGATCCATGACCTTCATCAGTTTCTCATCCCTCTCTCTCATCACCGTCTTCAGTTCATTCCGATTGTTTGTCAACTGTTCCGACAATTCCACTAAACTAGCCTGGCTTTGTGCCAGCTGTTGTTGCATGAACTCGTAATCTTTACTAAGTTGTTCCACAGTTTGTTGTTTGAGTTTTAAATTTTCCTTGAGGTTCTCCATTAATGAGGATTCAGACTGCGAGTTGTCCTCCATTGTATCTACCTCATGCTGCAACCTCATGACTTCTTGTTGTAACTCATCTGTCTTAGCTTTGCTCTTTTGAAGTTCATTTTGCAGCTCTTCAACTTGATTTACTTGCTCTTTTTTGGAATCTAGCTCTCTGGAAAGCTCTTCAAGTTTTGTTTCCAGTAGCTTGTTCCCTTCATTAGAATGATCTAGCCTGGTCCGAAGATCTTCATTGTCTTTGCTCAGCTGTTGGACAGTTTCCTGTTTAAGTTTCAGATTTTCTTTCAAGTTTTCCATCTGGGAAGATTCCGACAGAGAGTTGTCCTCCGCAACTTCAAGCCGGTGCTTCAAGAAAGACACTTGTTGTTCCAACTCTTTGCTTCTCTCTATACTTTGCTCAAGTTCTGATTGAACAGGCTGTAACTTTGCAAGTTGCTCATCCTTTGCAGCAGACTCCTCACTAAACTGCTGTAGTTTCTTGTAGCTTTCTTCGAGAAGTCCTTTAAAATCTGTGGACTCTAAAGTATTAAGTCGCTGTTTAAGATCCTCATTCTCTCTGTTCAACTGCTCCATAGTTTCCTGCTTAAGTCTTAGATTCTCTCGAAGATTCTCCATTTCCGATTTTTCTTCCATAGAGTTATCCACTGCACTAACATTAGCCAGTTGAGCTTCAAGTGCAGCGCAGTGTCGTCTACTTTCCTCCAGTTCATTTTGCACATTCTGTAAGCTTCCAAGTCTCTCTTCCAGTTGTGCCTTTAAATGTTGCAAGTTACCTATCTCACTCTCCTTCTCCCATAGCATTTTTGAAAGCTCGTCCACTTTATTAGATCTTTCTTTGACCTTAGCACCTTCTTCAACACCTAACGATTTTAGTCTCAAGTTCAACTCGCTGTTTTCTTTCTGAACTTTCTCCAAAATTTCCTCCTTGGATCTCAATGTCTCTCTCAAGTTCTCTAGCTCCAGAAAATCATTTGGCAAACCATTTTCTTGAGTAGTTGATGATTGTTTCTTCAGGGTGGCAATTTCAGCTTGAAGTCTTTGGTTTGTCGTATTTAATTCATCTAAAGCCAGCTGCTTTGCCTTTAACTCGTCTGTTTGCGCATCACCTGACACCCCTTTACTCTGATCGCTACGCTCCAGCTTGGTTCTCAGATCTTGATTTTCTTTATTGATGTCTTCAAGAATTGACTGCTTCGTTTGTAAGTTTTCTTTCATTTCCTCAACCTGTCTGCTGAGTTCCTTAATGACTGACGCTCCCGACTGGTCCTGCAGCAGTAACTCCACCCTCCCCTTCAAGTCAGCATTTTCACGGCTGATCTGTTTCAATGCCGCTTTCTTGGCTGCCAATTCTTCCTCCAGTTCCTGTGTTCTATTTTTTAGCTCATTTCTTTCAATGTTAGCAATGTCATAGCTGTCTAGGCCACCCTCCTGTAGAATGACACAAATACAACAGCTTCATTATTAAAATAACAGAATTCAAATCACATAGCTAGGAATTTATACCCAGTAAATGTACAAAAACTGGTTAATAATGTCTGTGAAGCAGTAATGAGATCCTTTTTCTGCGCACCCTACGCACTCAACGAATTACAGGTAGTGCATTTCCAATTTCCTTTTCAAACTGACAGGCAAATTGACAATGGCTTTTTTAACAGGCCAATCATGGCGAGTACCCAAATCCTGGTACACAGGTTGAGGCCCTAAACAAGGATTTTGGCACTGTTTCCCAGACCTACTTGAGTTTAGTTTCATCTGTGGTGCACCAGTGGTCACTCTAGAAATTAGTCAAAGTGGGTCATATGTCCCACATGGTATTTTAAATTAGGTCATTTCAAAAATGGTCTGAGTCAAACTATAATATGATGCCCAACACAAAATCTACCTCTACTTTAAATAATAACAATAATAATAATTACAGTTTGGAACAGATTATGCATTGCCTCAATGCATTTACAGAAATAAAAATCTGTCAAAGCCTAAGACTACAATCAATACGTTACAAAATACAAAACGCTTTGCTAAAAATGCTATAAAAAATGCTATAAAGAAATGCTATAAGAATGCATCCTGAAAGAAATGGGTCTTGAGCTTCCTTTTAATAGAATCTAGGAAACTTGTTGCTCTAATATTTACTGGCAGGTTGTACCAAAGTTTGGGTGCAGCAACTGTACAAGCTTAGTCCGCATAGGTGGAATTTAAGGATTTGGGGACAGCTAGAAAGCCTTGCGTTGCAAAACGCAAGGAATGAGTGGGGACATAAGTTTCTAGCAAGTCACTCAGATATTCCTGAGCAAAGCCATTGATGATTTTATTATTGCCTGCTGCTTTCGAAGTACTTATAATTATATGAGGTAACTTTTTTTTACTTTTCAGTATGACTCCACGATAATTTCATTTTGCAACAGAATAGAATATTCCACATCAATGACCCAAAAACACAGCCTACATCGAACACTGGTGCAGCCTACAGTAAATACAGCAACTTCCCATTCCTCAACATCAAGTGCAAGGCAGCTGTGTTTGTTAGCTATTGCAGTGGATGTTGATTTCATATACTGAATATAACAGTACTGTGATGGTCTTTCTTCCATTAAATCTAATTACATGTAGGACTTTATGACAGTGACTAATGTTTCAATGGACAACACAGTAGTCTCCATTTGAATCACAGTCGGCTGAGCATTGACAGCTGATCAAAATTAAGTCAATTGTTGTTATTATTATTATTATTATTACTATTATTATTATTATTATTATTATTATTAGCCCTATGAGTATCACTCCTATCAGTACAAAAGAAAAAACTAACAAATATATTCAAATATCATTTTATAAAAGCCCAAGAAATAAATAGCCATATATAAATGCCAATGGGGTTTCATATGAATTGTAACACCATGGGTTTAGAAGTTAGAGAGACAATCTTGCAACAACTTAGTCAAAGTGTTAGTGGCTTTTCTCAAATCCCAAATTTTTGAAACCAATATCACAATAGATATAGTTACTTTGAATTCTTTACATGAATTGTTAGTAAGTTTGAGAATATAAAATGCCAAGAGTGCATGTTTTCTGATAAAGCCTAAAAGTAATAGTAGGTTTTGCATGAAAGGAGAAAAATTCATCACAGGAATGACACAAAATTTGTATTTTTTTGAAGAAAAAAATTCAAACAGCTGCATGCATTCATGCATTGCACGCAACAAAACAAAATGCCTGGGGAGTTTTCAAACTTTACATTATTAAACTGTTTTGGCAACAAAAAAATTTAATGAAAATGTATTCGGAAGGCACAAAGCTGTATGTGCAAATATTATGAAACATCAGGGTTAAAATCAGGCAGGTGTTAGACAAGGAAAGAGGTTATATGTCAGTTTATCCTTAAATTGCATCCAAAATAAACATAATACTATCAAGAAACGTGTCTTAGAACGAAACTTAAAAGTGTATTTTGTCTTCACTAAAACAAATTACTCACAAGACAATAGAGTTGATACGAGTAAATAAGTTGGCAATATTTACATCCAAAAAGGACTCTAAGAAAGGGTATTTATGAACTCAAAATGTGTTAATTACCATTTTCATTAGATAATTATTGACTTTTTTGTCCTTGCGTCACGATTAAACTTTTTGATTGAAACCGAAGACAGCGAAGTTGTCTATTTCATAAATTTCAAAGTCCATAAAATAAACGTCGTGCAATATCAATATGAACCGATATCCCACAGATGTATTTATATTTATAAACATTTGGCGAGCGTCTTCATTAAACGCTTGACTGACGGAAGCATATACTCTTTTTATCTCTGTTCTTTACAAAAACAAAGCTTTCAAACAATGCATAGTGTGAAAAGATCTTTATGAACTCAGGTGAATGGAAGAATGCAACAATATTCATACCTCGGAATATTCTTCGCCGCTTGTGTATTCGCTTCCACTGACATAGCTTCCTGATTGTGAGTTTTGCTCTTGTTCAGCCTAAAAACAAACGAAGTATTATTTAAGTAAACCCTTTAAATATTTTATGAACATGTTGAGGTCATTGACTACGGACGGCGTCCCCTGTTGTCATGCGATAGCCCACGCACGAGAATCACACATACTTTCCACACCAAAATTTTGATTTTAAATGGAAGAGGTCACACTGAGGGGGAAACCTGACATTTTCAAAACATATCAACAAGACTTTGCTTAACAGCATGAGATTTTTCGTTTATGAACGGGACTAAAGTTATCAAAGAAATTTGCGTGTAATACAATTAGGAAGTCACTCGTATCCAATTTCCATGTTAGCTTCCTCAGATGAAGCTCAGAGACAGTAAATCACACTTCCTGCACTGTAAAAAGAAGAATCCGTATATTACTTCCATGTCACTTATAAAATGAAAGTATCGATATCAATGCGCAAAATTCGTCAATTTTGTGGTCGATTTCCTCCAAAGATTATTGGTGAAGTTCACGCTTATGAGTCCAGACTTCAAATGTTAAACTATTGTTTGCAACTAGAATTTCACTTAACAAGCAGCGCTTTCTGCGTTCTTCATAATTTTTTCAATTTCGTTCATTTTTTGTTAAAAAGAGACGATATTGCTTGAACACATGTGGTCGGTCTGCTTTATATTAGCATACTGTATTTCAAAGTTATTAAACTCACATCAAAGGGAATAGGTGATCCCAGTTCTGAAGCGATCGACGGAGCATCTCTATCTGTGTCTGCCTGACTAATTTCCTCCACCTCAACGTCTTCGCCTTCTCTGTGGGCCCCTTTTTCTTCCCCGGCCGCTGCAACCTCTGCAAGCGGTTTCGCACCCCGATCTTGTGATGTGCTTCTTCGTCTTCTCTCTTTACCCCCGGGTGAAGGGCTTTGCCCAGATCCGCTTGTGGAAGATGTCCCTTTCTTCTTTTTTTTCTTCGTGCCTGTGCCCGACTTCTTCTTCTGAAACATTTTGAGCTGGAAAGGTATTAAAATACAAGATGCTTAACCCAAAAGCTATTACGAGCTCAATGCAAAATCAATCAAAGTAGTTTCTGAACTTCGCGCGCAAAGCCACGTCACGCGGTTCAATTACAACCTTTTCTTTTCCTGCTTCCAGTTTTTTCTGCCTCTCTGACTCGTCGCTTTCCATGGTGAAGCCGTTGGGTACGTTGATCACGTCCACCAGGAGTATTTAATGAAGATCTCACCTACGCATCTTCTGATCCGCATTTGCCTGAACAACCGCCATTTTCAGCTAATCAATGTCGGCTCCGTTGTATATTGATCACCTGACTTCCGATTTATTCTTCGGAAACAATCGGGTGATACCCGAGAAGCCTGGGCTCTAGAATGACAATGCATGTTCTGATTGCATTGCATTGTGGGGTGCTCGTAGAAAGAAATCCAAAATGGCGAATGAACTCGAGTTAGCAGAAGAAATGTCAAACTCCTCGCCCGAGCAGGCGATGGAGTTGCTTTCCTCTATTGGTAATACACTTTCAGAGTTTTGATATCAAATTTTTATCCTTTTTCACCAAAAACCGTTTTCTTTTTCGATGCCCGTGCTCCAAAATTGACTTTTCTTTTATTCTTTTGATCAATGACTTTTCTAGTGAAACGCGACATTAGTAGCAACGACGAAGAGGGAATCAAAATGAAAGAGCAAGCGATCCTCAGTCTTGGAAATTTGCTCTCCAAGCATGGAAAAGCAGAAGGTAAAGTTAAACAATCTTCAAGTTGGGAGCACATCTTTTAGAACCACATGTTATAATAAATGTAAGCAAGTGAGTAAGCGTCATATCATCTTAAGCTTAGCTTAAGTTGGTATATTACAGAAAGATTTCCCAAAAAAATTGAGTAGCTTTTTGAATGGAACAGTTAAATCTCTACTTGCCACCTTGGAAACAAAGGTATGTGACCACTGCATTGTAGTGAGAAGGCCATTGTTGGAAGCGTGATCAAGGTGTTGGTGTATGTTGCACCAATTTTGGAGGAGAGGGTCAAATATGTCTTGAAATGCTTCTTATAGCAAATTTAATATTACTTAGGCCATCCCAATTTAATACTTTGTTTCCCATCACCTGACTGACCCATTTTTTGGAAAAGTCAAAAAAAAAAAAAATCCAGAATCACTTGTAAAGAAGCAAGTAATTTAATTTACAAGCTCATGATCTTGTCTTATTAACACGAATTGTCTTAAATTATCATCGATACTTCGTTTTTGTAGCCTTTTTAGACATTTGATAGTCCTGTTAATATACATCTTTTACCATCTGATTATATCTTACAGACTAAATGTGAGAATTAATAGGCAATCATGTGTTCATTCTTTTTTTTTTTTGCCCGACCGACTGACCCACCTTCACGAGAGGGAGGGCGATGGGAAACGAAACATTTTATTGGGATGGCCTTAACACAATCGCAATACAGTTGAACCGCTCCACAATGGCCAGCTGGGCATACACGCCAACTCTCCGGGACTATCCGGGGGACTCCCGGATATGGTATTGATCTCCCTCTCTCCCGTATGGGTTGATCACCATATCTCCCGAGTAAAATCATCTTTTGAGCTTTTCTGTGCCTTAGTTCGAGATTTAGCCCATTTTTAGCTCATAACGTGAATTTTTGTTATTCTCAGTATGGTTTCTACGGCATTTTTGCACATATTTAATCACTGACAAAGATTATTTCTGGCACCAAAATGACGATTGCGAATTTTGATAGCATTTACTGCATGTAAAACTTCATATATTGTCCTAACTGATTCCCATTAGGGGCTGGGTCAGTTTGGCGGGGGGTTCATTGAAATTCCGGGGGGGTAGTGAATTTAGATCCTGAGAGGTTGGCATCTCTGCCTGGGGGACAGAAGAAAGTGGCCATTGTAGAGCGGTGGCTGTTGTGGAGAGGTGGAAAGGTGGTTGTTAAAGGAGGTTCATGAGTCAATGTATGAACTGTCCACCAAAAAAGTGGTCATTGTCAAGAGGTGGCCATTGGGGAGAGGTAATCGTTAAAGAGGTTCAACTTTATGTCAATGAACCACTGGTCAGAGCAAAAATGTTAACAAGAAGAAGGGTGCAAAGAGGAGTAAGTTCATTAGTTTTCCAATCATTCTTTTTTATGGCTGTTGAGGAGAGTTTGTTTAGGCAACTGGAATGCACTCTACGGGCTGTTACAGAAGCTACAATAGATTGATTATGAGTGTAATTTTGTTTCTTAGAGCTTGGTGGGCTTATCAAGTTTATCAGACCATTCCTTAAAACAGTATCAAAAGCCAAAGCAGCTAAACTTGTCAGGAACTTGGTGGATGTTTTCCTGGACATGGAGGCTTCCACTGGGATGGAGGTATTTGATAAGAGTAACTTGTGGTAATCATAGATTGATAGAACACCTCAAGATAACCAATTCGTGTGTGATAGTGCATGGTTTTAAAGCACTAGAGATCATGTCATATTACATGATTTTGAGGCACTGGAAAAGGTGTGTGATTTGACATGGTTTTAATGTGAACATGAGCTATGTAGCTGAGGTGAGTACAACAATTAAGAAAATGGCCTTCATTCTAAACAAAACTTTACTTCTAATAACCATATGTTAGGGAGTGTGGGTAAGATTGATTGAAAGATAAAACCCTGTTTCTTAACAGGTGCTGTTGTTTACATAACTTTCTTGTGATAGAAGGTCAAGACCCGCTTGATGAGATTACGAGTGATAGAAGTGTTCAGAATGAGTTCTTTGCAATCCATTCAGTTTAGTGGAAGTCGAAATGAATACTGACTACATACCTGTATGTGCCACACTTGCATAATAACCTTCAGATTTGGATTGCAGGCTTTTATTAGTATGCCGTCTGTCAACAGCAATGACAGCAGGTGCTTTTCATACCTCATAGCAGTGCATGATTATTTAACATCCATAAAAAAACATCTATTTGGACAAAGAGCATCAGTAACTGGCGCTGAAATAATGCAATTTTACATCATTTCTCCAAGGTTGAACTGTGTAATGAGTGCATTGAGTGGGCCATGCAGGAGAAAAGAACATTTCTAAGGCAGGCTCTTCAGGTAAGTGATGCTGTATTGCAAAGTCAAAATCTTTTTGATTAAAGTACACGTAAATAATGTTTTTGCATTTGTCTTCTTTAATAAAATTATTTGAACACTTTGAACTCTGCAAGTACAGGAAAATAATTTATTGACCTGATTCTTGGAGTTTTCCCTACATTTCAAGATGTAAGCTTTTTGCCACACCTCAGTGAGTTGTTCAAAATAATGGTGGATAACAATACCAATAATTGTACAGCCTCATAATAAATTACTTTGGTTAATCAAATGGTGACAAGTGAAAAAGGCTCGGGAAATTATTAGGATTCGGAGAAAACACGGGTGAAATTATTCCCTAATTTCATGAGTGTACCATTGGATTACCTATTAATATCATGGGTGATGAATTATGTTCGCAATCTTGGATTTTTGACACGTTCATATCAATCAGGAACTCCACTCTCTCATAAGTTTAGAGCCTAAAGTTCAGAATTCTCTAAATTTTTCAACAAAATACCTGTTAGAATCCTTCCTTATGAGCTCTTTGGTGTGTTTAGGTTTTCTAAAGCATCTTTTAATGCCTTGACATCTTCATTCATGTAACATTTTAAAACTTCGTCGCCATTGTGCCGCTGAGACATACAGAAGGTTGCCATGGCAATTTCTTGAATTGCCCACACCCAAAAAACTGACAACCAGAATGCGGTGCGAGATAAGCAGACAATTCTTAGCCCATTTATTGAACTAACCAACTAATTGCAAAACAAAAACAATTGTTTACACCGCTTAGACACCAAAAAATCAAACTGTATACATTTGATCCGGCCAAAGTAAATGAATAAGCAAAACCACTTAATAATAACTGTCAATCATCAGGAAAGTACAACTGAAATTGTTACGAAGAAATGGATTACAGGATTTCAATCAAAACATAAAAAAGAACAAAATTGAACTGTCCGCTTGTAAAAATCCACAATGAAACTTGTTTACTGTTCAGCAAATATATACTGCTACTTTACATATCACACTTTCTTTGCATAATCTCATACCAGCACTTAAAACGCACCGCCGACAAATGCACCTGTGCTTGGGAATTCAAGAAACCATTTTTCTTTTGTTTCATTATGCTTCACTGCATTCAGGCAAAGATAAATGAACAATTTGTAATTTCATATGTGAAATTACAAATTAATGCTGAAATTTCATGCTTTATACTACCACATGAGAAATTACTGCAATCTGATTGGCTTAGGGCAGTAGTATTTCAGCTTAATTTGAAATACCTACATGTGAAAATTACAAACCTTTTGCGGGTAGTAGTATAAACAAATAATAGCATGATTTGAACGTGATATTTGGCATAAATACCACTCGTGATATTTCAAAGTTGTCTCAAATTTCACTCGCCTAACGGCTCGTGAAATTACGTATAACAATTTTGAAATATCACTAGTGGTATTTATGCCAAATATCATCACTAATCATGCTATTACCTATACAAATCTAAGGAGTAATTCATCACCATATGATATTATGGCAGTCATTTTTTTTATTCTTTTATCTTTGTAGGCAAGATTGGTAGGCTTATATCTGGAAACTAAAGACTACACGAAAGCATTACAAATAGGTAAGTATTGCTGTAATGGAAAGAGTGATAGAGCAAGGAAAACTTTATGTATAAAGCTAATAGTCTTTTTTCAATAGTTGGTCACGTGATCAACTTTCTGTAAACAAGTTTTTTGTTTTGTTTTGTTTTTAAATAGTTTTAGCAGGAACTAAAAGAGCACAATCTCAAATGTAGTGATTGCAAGGACTGCCAAAGTTAAATGGATTTGTAAATTAACTCTTGCCATCCAGTCACAGACTGTTTAGTTGTTTTCTATACAAATCCTTGTAAATTTTGAAATTTTCAAACTGTTGTAATACATTTCTCTTAAGCTTTATGGGGCCCAAATTTTCTTTTGTTCATAGTTCAAAATTTAAGCCCTGTAATGCACAAGGGAAAGATTTTAACATCAAGTTGAAAATATTTTTTATGTTTTTATTTTAACCCCTTTAAGCCCCAAAACAAATTCTCCAAACTGATCTCTATATATTTCTATAAAAAATTAGTTTTTATTCCTTTTTCCCAGGTGATCATTTTAAAATATACCTTTTTTTTGGATATTGTTAGGAGAATATTTCCACTAAAGTATCTTTTTTAATTCCTCCATACTTTCCTCAGGTTCAAAACTTTTGAAGGAGCTTAAGAAACTGGATGACAAGGCATTACTAGTTGAAGTACAACTGCTGGAAAGCAAAGTTTACCACAACTTGAGCAACATTCCCAAATCCAGGTTAGAATGGCAGCCTCTCAAGATCATTTTGTTGGCGGCATGAATTTTGCTGGTCATCTTTACACATCCTTTTCTCACATCAACTACATCTCAAGTTTCCTTCCTTCTACTTTGCATAGCTTACAGCTGTGTCTATGACTAGTTCATACATTGACTTGGCAAAGAGCAAATGAGCTGGAATAGATTTGTTTCCTTTTTCAAAGCCTGTATGGTAAAATCAAACTGCTCACTAGTCAATAAACATAGGAAATTACACTGTAGTCTTACGTCTAACAAAAATCGGGAGGGTGATATGAATCTTTTTATGTCTGATAGAGCTGCCCTTACTTCAGCAAGAACAACAGGTAATGGAATTTACTGTCCTCCAAAATTGCAAGCATCATTGGACCAACAGTCAGGTATGATCAGGTTATTTCTCATAGTGATTGTAAAATGTTATGATTGTAAATACATTATTTTAATCCCTGCTTCTATAAATTTAGAAAGCGAATTATACAAGTCGTAACTTTTTAGTTTCTATTCTCCAGGTATTTTACATGCTGAAGAAAAGGACTTCAAAACAGCTTATTCTTACTTCTATGAAGCATTTGAGGTACATACACTGTAAATGTTAATGTTATTGCCTTACCTAAAAATAAATAATTATTAGTTTTTGTTTTAAAGCGAGGCTAAATGCGAAGGTATTGATATGAAAATGAATTTTTCCTCTCATGCAAATAAAACTCATTTTCACAAGCAAGGTTTTGCACTTAGCCTCTAACATTTTGAAAGTGAGAGTTTTTTGAACTTGGAAATATGGCCCATTGCTTTGTTGATTTGCAAGCATGCCTCCTAGAGAAGTGAAAACTGCTTTTTTATGAGCCATTTCCAAGTTTCCCTGGGCTTCTGTATCAAAAAATGGTGAAGTGCTCAGCCTTTGATATGGAAATGATTTTTTGTTCTGATGCAGATAAAACTCATTTTCACCAGAAAAGTTGTGCACTTGACCTCATTTTGAAAGTGAAGGTTTTTGGAACTCGGAAATGGCCTGTTGATCAAGGAATGGTCAGATAAACAGCACATTTTGTATTTCTATTTTTGCAGGGCTATGACTCCATTGACAACCCCAAAGCTGTGTCAGCACTAAAATATATGCTTCTGTGCAAGATCATGCTTAACAGGTTAGTTAGAATATGGTATCACCAAGATCTGTCTCAATCTGAAATCCATCAAAGGTGTTTCTCATTTTCTACTTTGCGAGAAATCTGAGGGAAATATTCTCTAGTGTGGAAATTTTCATGGCAGATTGCATTGGCATAATTTCTTTTATTATGTCTCATCTTTTTAATGTGTGAATGGGGTACTCTTTTGTTAAATTTTTTGTTTTTACCAATGTTTATTTTGTCAAAAAATTTAACTACTTTTTTAAGTGCTTTTCATCAACTATACATAGATAATACATAACCAGATGAAGATGTTTGCTTTATTTTTTCCAATTATTAAATTTTTTATATATTATTTATTTATTTATGTTTGTTTGTCCTTTTTTCAGCCCTGATGATGTTCAATCAATAATCAGCGGGAAATTGGCACTGAGATATTCAGGATCACAGGTAAGCAAAATATTAATCCTGCTGTGTTTAACATTGAATTAACCGTCAGTGAAACGTTACGACTATCAGTGAACATGGATGTCATTTCAAGAGCCTTTTTGGGCTTTAATTTTACTCACCAAAATTTTTTTTACCACCAGATTTCAAATTTTTGCTCTGAAAAAAAAAGGCAAAGACATGGAGTCGTAGTTTGCGAAAAAAGTAGAAAAAAGAACAGTTTTGAGTTAACTGTGGTGTCGCTCTACATCTGAACTTTTAGGGCCAAAAAGCCTGCCCTAGGGATTTTTTTTTTTTGGGTCTTGACTTTTGGCTCCATTCTATCATCCCTGAGTGAAAAGTCCACTTAATTTACAGAGCAATCACATTTTGTGTGTTTAACCAAAAGCATTTGCAATTTTTCACAAAATAGTCTGTTGAGGAAACAGCATGTTTTTCAGTTTTTGTAGCCCAACGTTTCATAGCACACTTTGTGGGTTCATGCAAATGTAAGAAAAATAACTGGTTTTTAAATTAATTTTATGTTCATTTTTCAGTTGATTGCAATGAAGAGTATTGCCAATGCAAGCCACAATAGGTCCCTATCAGAGTTCCAACAGGTAGTGTTATGTATTAAGCATAGCTACTGTAGATGCAACTACTGCAAATGCTTCTATGCAGGGCTCAAATTAATTTGTAAGACTGATGCTGGTCATGTTGACAAGCCAAAGAAATTTTGTCAAAGGTCATTTGGCATTTACATGGGCAAGCCGGTTGGTTCACAGTTTGGGCAAATCGTAATCAAAAGTCAGGGCCGCTAAATTTCATCCCGAAATCACGTTTACCATTTGTACAGAGCGTTCCATTTGTCAAAAAATGGGCATGAAGGCCTAAAACTGGTATCAAAGAATGCTTTGAAGAAATGGAACGTGAATTTCCTTATGCCTTGGACATTCGAAACAGGACTACCTGTTCAGATGTTATGTTGCTACAAGAAAGTTCCCACTGGAACGACTTAAAATAGTCATGTTCCATCTTACTCCCTGGCCAGTTTTTCTGGAAACTTTTTGTAAATGGTAAGCACCCTCAATCACTAAGATATTATTTGTAATATGTATCAAGTAACGTTCTTTTATTACAAGTAGTTGTTCCTGTTTCAATGCTTCACAATCAGTATTTGTTTTTCTTTGTTGAAGGCTCTCAGCACTTTTAAACAGGAGCTCACTGAGGATCCTATTATAAGGGTATGTGTGTGCCATGAATGCAGAATTATGTTGTATATCTCAATGTTATTGTGCTGTACCTTTTTCAAAGGTTGGACTATGAGTTTAAGTGACGCTTACCATTGTCAGAGCTGGCTGGCTGGACTAATGCAGTTATAAAGAGAGTTCCACCATTAATCAGTACTTTTCAGCCAGAAATTCAAGATAAAACTACTCTTTCAGTTTGAAAATAACCAGTCCAGCCAATTCGGATATTTGGAAAGTACCCTAAGTGAGGCAAAAAAGGTGAATGATGGCGCTAGTGCTAAGAAAGAGGCTAGGCTAGTGAGGGACTGAGGAGGGGAGGGAAGGGGCACCACCATTTCCCCTCTTCCGACTCCCTTATCAAGCTTCACCTGCCAACAGATCAGCTCAAATTATCAAAACCATTTCCCATCTTGGGAGCCTGGAACCCTTAACCTTTACCAGAGCTAGCTGTATCTCTAGTCTGGATAAAATCTTCAACCAACTGATCAGCCAACAGACCCAAACGCTCTGATTTATATATCCTATCCTAGAAAACTGCTTGAAAACCATACCCTTCACAGCAGCACATACCTATATGAGGCTGGGAGTCTGGGAGGAGTAAAGCAAAAGAGATGAATTATTCAGCCTTGAATCTTAATACGATTTCTTTGTTTATACCATTCATCCTCAGAGCCGAGTATGAGTTTTAACATGTTTTTAAAACAAAAGTAGCCTATTTTTTTTGCACTACTTACCCCTTTATTTACTTTTTCCAGTTAAGTTTGAGTTGACTGTTTGACTCTTGGTTTTTTTCTTCTTTCGTCTTGATCATTTTCTAAACTTTTACTTTCCTTCTCTTTCTTGTAGACCCACTTAGATGCACTGTATGACAATCTGTTGGAACAGAACCTCAGCAGAATTATAGAACCATTTGCTCGAGTTCAGGTACAAAACTCTGTCCTATCCAAACGCAACAGTTCAATTAATGGTACAGCATATAGTTAACAGTTAGTCTGCATAACTGGCGGGAAAGTTATGCGCCTGGTACTTTCTTTGCGGCATCATAAGGGAAAATTAGCTGATTGCATCTACAAGTAAATGGAAGGCTTAACACTTTTACTCGATAACAAACAATTTTCAATTGCTTAGAACTCATATCATTTCAATGATTGCGGACAAAAACAGTCAGTAGAAGAAAGCAGGAACTGTTGTATTTTACGTGTCATAACTGTGTATTATTTCATTTCAGATTGACCACGTGGCCAAACTCATTGATTTACCACTGGTAAATATATCTATACCGTATTGTAATGTAGGAACAAATTTTCCATCCACAAGTAAAAACTATAGTTAGTTGGTAGTTTCCTTGTTTCCTGTAACAAAAAACAAAAAAAACCTGTGGATTAAGGGACCCTAAGTACCCGCGAAAAATGTTTTCGCGATATTCAATAGGCTCGATTACCAGCCGCTGCTCGGGAATTGAGCCCACGCTCCCTGGGCGTCGCCCTTGAGGATCCATCCAAACGAACTTTGTGCATTTCGTGTAATTATTTCTTCACTCACATTTTCTCTTTTCTCGAAATTAAGTGCCCGCAAAAATAATTATACATTTCTAACAGTTGGGTTTTTTTCCCACAAAATCGCTTTTCAAGGCGCCTGCATGATAATAATATTTTCGCACATGCTTAGGCGAACAAATTAACATATCGAATATGATCAAATGGCGAACAGACCGCAGGCAAACTGATCGGTTGCCGTCTCTCCGAACAGACCGTTCTCGAAACTCCCCGACTTTCGTTTCACCTTCTCTGCCCAGTTGACCTACGCAAAAATACACCCTGTTTTTCGGAAATTTGTTTGACAAAAATGGAAGCTTTTGACCGAAGCAAAAATAAGGCTGTTTGATGGGTCAAACTTAAAGGCAAACAATATCAATCAACCGAAGAGGTTCAAATTTGTTATATAGCTGGAAATTTCTTCCCAACAGCACGCTCTCATTGGTTACTTCGAGGTCACATGTCATCTAAGAATGAAACTGTTTCCCGCCAAAATCTCTGAGCGGGCAACATTGCAAAAAATCTATGACGTCACACGGTAACAGAGCACTGTTACTCGCGAATGTTGACCGAACACCGCCGTTACAGCGAGGTTTACTGAATTTCCAGCTTCAAGATCTTCAGCTATATAACAAATCACTTAAAGAGTGGTCCCTTTGAAACAAAATTAACTGTTTCCCTCAGGACCATTCATTAAGTGTTTATTATTAGTGCTCTGGGTACATAATTATAGAAAAGTTAATAACAGGTTGACATTTAGTAAAAAAAAGCACAGCCACTTAGATTTCGTTTTGTCTGTTTGTTTTTCTTTTACAGAATGTAGTAGAAAAGAAGCTTTCTCAAATGATTCTTGATAAGAAACTTCATGGTAAGTTAATGAACCAATCCTCAAAAGGAGTAGAAAACTCTTGAAACTGAAGAAAACCTCAAAATACTAGTCTGATAACCCTTGGTGCTCTGAAGTCTGACAAAACTTTTTTGGTGTTTTTTTGCTATTTTATCGGCTTCACCTCGGTGTAAGAACCCACAACTGACGTAACAGATATCGAATGGAAAATACTAGATACAACTGACGTAAACTACCGAATAAACTTTAACATTCTACTTGTCTAACACCTCGAACTCTGGATCTGGAGGTCCGGGGTTCAAGCCACGCCCGTCTCGTTGTTTCCTTAGACAAGGAACTCTACTCCACTTTGTCTCTCTTCATCCAGGTGTAAAAAGGGTACCAGCGACATACTGCCGGGGGGTAACCCTGCGATGGACTTGCATCCCGTCCAGGGAGGAGTAGCAACACTCCTAGGCATGCTTCATGCTACGGAAACCGGAAATAAGCTCCAGCTGTGTGAACCTTTGGCTCGTGTGCGCCTTTACCTTTTACTTATTCTAGTTGTTAGGCTCCGATAGTTCTGTGGTTCTCATAGCTCTTGTGCTTCTCATGGGTCTTGTGGTTCTCATACTCCATGTGGCTGTCATAGTTCTCGTGTTTCTTTGGATCTTGTCGTTCTCGTGGTTCTTGCGCGAATGTTTTGACGTAAACTGCTGGTACGTCCTGAAGGGAAACAAAGGCAAACGTACAGGGGTGCCCTCGGCAAGAGCTTCAATTCTAGCAGTCACTACTCCCAAACAGCTCCTTCAAACCGTTTGGCCACAGGTTCTGTCTGTAGAAAATGGTTTTGCAGAACTAATGAAGAAGCATGAAGCACAAGAAGCGCGTCGTTTCTTAACCCGTACAGTTGACGCGGCTGGTCGTACTTCCGGCTACCGTCTTTCCTGCGGATTGGACGTAGCTGCTCAACCAATCCTTGCCCCTTACAGGAACACCACGAGAACTGCTAGAAGCAGGTGAACTACAAGAACCCCAACTATCAGTGTGACAACCACACCGAGTATGAGAACCACTGAACTATCGGAACCTGAGAACTAGAATCTTATTGTTTATTTAGTAGTTTAAGTCACTTGTATCCAGCTTTTTATATTCGATTACTGTAACATCAGCTGTGATGTTCTTACAGCGAGGTAAAGCCGAAAAAATATCAAACTTGAAACACCAAAATGGTTTTGTCAAACTTCAGAGGAACTAATGGTGACGTAGTATAAATGAGATTAACATGGATTCGATTTGAATTAAACTTCATCGATTAGAATGAACAGTTTAAGTAACGCATGTTTTTCTTTTCATAGGCATTCTGGATCAGGGATCTGGAGTGTTGGTTGTGTTTGACGAAACGCCAGTCGATAAAACGTACGAGAGCACGTTGGAATTGATCCACGAGATGGGAAAAGTAGTTGATGCTTTGTACAGTAAAGCTAAAAAGCTTCAGTGAAGACTATTTATGCTTTAAGAATTTTTTGTTGAGTCGCACTCTGTAACATTTGAAAATAAAAAGAACGCTTTATGTGTGAATATAAACATGATCGCATCGCTGTCTGTTGTGCGTACAGGGTTCTCAAAGGCAGAGAAAGTGAGCAAATTTTGCGAAACGTCATGGACAAACCTTGACTCTTGTCAAAGTAAGTGCAAAAATAGGGAAAGTCATTTTCAGGTTTCATAGAAATTAATGAAAATACTTTCATGCAGTTAATCGATTTTCATCATTGGATTGCAATAAACATCGATGCCTTAACAAGCCTGTTAAGCTCATCCCAGTTCTCCTCTACACGGTCAACTCCTATCCTGTATAACAACCGCAAAGGGGGAGGGGGAAGGGAAAAAAACGCAAAACGAAAAGGGAGGAGTCCCTTCTCCTCCCTCCCCAATTCCTCTCCCGTTTTCCCGAGTCACCCTTTACCCCTTTCAACACTTGCCACAGTGCTACACAGGCTATCACCTCTCTTTATTATTCGGCTTAATTGCAGATAGACGACAAGTAGTCCCCCATTTTTCCTCAGCGATAGTAGAGCGAGCGCGCGTGAAAATTTTCACGCTCGCTCGCGTTTCGCTCGCTCTGCTATCCCTGGGGAAAAATGGAGGACTACTCGTAATCTAAATTGCAGACACCTTCGGGACGGCGAGTTTGTGTCCTTAGTTTCGAGAGCTCGTAATAGCAGGGTAGCTATAATATACAACAAGAAGTCTTTTATATTAACCATTTGCAAGAGAGAACATATATTTTCGTTTGCAAGATTCTAACAAAAAAGGAAGACAAATGTGATGACCAAAACGGAAGGCATGCATTTTTTGTATATTTTTTCCTAGTTCGCATAACAGGCATTTTTTTTAGCTAAGGGAGAACAGAGAGACAAAGTCAAACGCTCTTCTAATTTTTATGGTCACTTACGGTCAAGTCGCCCGAAACTAGCCCGAACTTATGTCGCCCGAAATTTTATCATGGTCAACAATATCCTAGTATCCCTGTTACCATTTGCAGCGCTTGTTTCTTCTGATCAAAGATTATAGAACGAGATATATTGGTCATTTATCGCGCTTGTTTCGTTGTTAATCAGTGCTTAAAGAGCGAGATACATTACACATTTACGAGAGCAGTTATGGGCTCCTGACATTTATACCGCTTGTTTCGTCTCATCGTCGCCTAAATAACGAAACACACACTCTTTATTTCACAAGTTAACTTTGTCTCTCTGTGCACTTCACCTAATAAAATTCGGGCGACCAACGAGCAGCCTGCACTTTCCTTATGTTTTATACATTTTCTTATAATCACCTGTAGTTGTTGGTTACAATGAGGTAACGAGTTGTTGTTGTAAACTTTTTCAAGTTCTTTCAAGAGCCATTATCACAGGAAAAAATAACAGATTCCCATTTTTGAATATTTTAGGGTATTTAAAGAATACCCACAAAAATCCCAAATTTGGAAGTCCCAACCAGGGAACTTGGTTGGGAATTCCCTCGTTGGGACTTGTCTCACTTTGCCAAATTTGGGATTTCTGTGGGTATTCTTTGAATACCCTAAAATATCCAAAAATGGAAATCTGTTATTTTTATCCTGTGGCTCTTGGTTCAAGTTTAAGGTTCAAGTGTACCGCGAGGGGTCTGGTGTTCTAGCCCAGGTCCTCGCGGACAATATTGCGGCCATCTTGTTTTCTATCCAACCGGCCGGTTTCCAAAGTCTGAAAATGGAAAATTTGAGAAAAGATTATCGGGCCAGGGTACGCGAAGATCTCCTAACAGAAGCTGCCTCGGACACTAATAAGGTCAAATTTTTCCAGGAGCAGTTCCAGGTCAGTCAAGGTTTTCGTTTAATAGTACGTGATACGTGATGATTATAATTTTGGAAACACCTTGATTGCTCGTACGCTGTCACTATCATCAGTTAGTGATGGAACGTTAATTCTTGAATTACGTAGCCAGTTTTGTCAATCTGAGCTTTTGATCAATATATGCGGTGGGATAATTTAGCCCTGAGAAAAGTGAGGTTACTGCCAAAGTTACTTCGTTAAGTCAACTTTAACCGTGTGTTTTCCTTTTTTAAGCTCTGACGTACTCATAAGCTTAGAATAATATTAGTGACGTAAACAAATGAAGGGGTTTGTAAATTACTATATAAACATAATGTAGGATGACGTTTTGGCCTTCATATCCGAACTTCTTCATCCTATGTTGTATTTTAGAGGGAACATTTACACAAACGAAAGATTGATGTATTTACCGGGCAACTTGAAATCTTAGTGACATCCCTGAATATTATTGTCATTGGACAGCAGCTGGTCAATGATCTCCGACTGAAAATTACCAGCAGAGAAAGTATGAGTTTTTCTTTCCAGTTCTTTCATCTAAGGAGTTAAAGGATGTGTTCATTTGCACAAATCAAAGATAAAAGATTTTTCCTGAATATACATACATATTTTTAAAAAATATTCAGTACACAGTGCACTCTGTCACCCACTGCTTGATTGATAAGGTCTTAAAACTAAGGTGGGATTACTAGCCGACAAAATGGTTGGAATGACTTTTTGAAAGCTAATCTCACAGGCATTTCCTCCTCTCTCCCTCTCCCTCTCTTCCTTCTTATTTTTTCCTGCTCTCCTACTTCATCATCTGACTAGAAACTAGGGCTGGAAACAGTGCCTTCAAAAATTTAGCTTGAGCTTCTTTCATGTGGCAGTTGTTTCAATGGTTGTCTCATTTGTATGGGCGATATCTTACAACTGTAGGGTTTGTGTTTATTTGTTGCAGAAGAAGGATGGATTGCCAGTATATATGAAAGGCAGATATGGAATTCCTATGACCAGGTAGTTTGTCATACTGTCAAGCCTTCTTGATATACCCTTCTCACACAGTCACATGTCAAAATTTGGGATACTGATTAAACAATTACCAGAGATATAAAAAGCATGAGAATGACTAGTAGTAGTTCTCAATTTTGACGCGACTGACACAGGTTTTACAGTGTTTTTAGTTTTTTTTAGTTTGTGTGGGAAAATTGCCGGTTAGACGGAAAAGTGTGTGGTCCATGAGCTTTTTTCATTGAATAATCAAAATACAATTATTGTATTTTGATCATTACCCCCCACTTTTCAAACTACTCATGCACAAATTAAAGTTTTTTTAAAATCTGAAATTGGTGGTGCCAGTATATTTTGTGTGCTCATTCTATCTCTGGTATTTTTAGGGTTGCATTCCATGACTTTGGCATGAGAAGGGTCACATGACCCCCTTAACGGCCTACACATGCATCAAAGGGACTCGCCTCCCACACAGGTGTTTTTAGGGGAGCTCGTTTTTCATCCCTCCCCACAAACGCCTGCTCAGCCGAAAACAACATTCCTTTCCCATTGTTTTATTTGCGTGGTAAGTGACCAATAAGCAGTTGTGCAATGTGGTGTTGACAGGCTAAACGTGACTAAAACGTGACCCTAGAGTCACCGTTTTCCTTCTTTTCTCTCCTTCGCTAAGGTTATGAAGTGCATGGAGTATTCTAAAATTTTACTAAACCTTATTTTTGCCGCTCTGAATCTAAGATTTATT